ATGTTTGGTTCAAGATGTTTACCATTTAATTAATGTACTTTTTTCCGGTGAAAGTTATCTTCCTATGTCACATGCTGTATAATAAATTCTTTTCGTCGGTCCATAAGAACGGTAATGGATAACAAGCAACTGACAGCACAAATAACTTAATTGTCGTTTCTTAGTTTTATGTACCTCAGAATATTATCACGATACATTTCATAAAGTTGAGAAGTGTCCTGTAAAAGGGCACGCTTTTTAAGACATAATGACATTGAATCATTATTATGATATTTAGTTATGTCATTCAGTGAAAGTTACCATCATTCTAACTCATCATAATTTTAGATATCATTTTATCTAATTTTATTAAGTTATGTCATTCATTTAAAGTTACTATCATAATTTTAGGTATTATTTTATCTTTTTTAGGCCCTTTGCAGCAAGAGTTGGTACATATATATTTAACCGAAGGCTTGGCCAAATAAAATCATTTAAGCAATGTATGTAAGTATCAATCTATATGAACTGCTATATCAAATGTTGCCATGTGCCATGTTGCGGGGTTTCATCGTTTACTACTCCATTTCTGTCTATTGATTCTTTAAGTGCTGTCAATTTTTAAAAGATGACAGCTATTGTACATTGTTTTAGTATAATAATTATATTATAGATCTAATTAGATTGCCTATAAAGGGGGTCTTCAGTGTATATATCTTAAATAAAATTAAATAACCCTTAACGCAATGTCATTTTCACTTTGTTCTTAGCTTGATTCGGTCCATGCTTACTTACTTTCATCATTGACACCTTGAAATTGTGAGATTTTGTTAATTTTATTTATTTTTCTCAAAATATTTTCAGCATAACTATGTAAAGGAAAGTGACGTTCCAGGGACGCATCAACCGTTTCGGGGCGCACCTCGTTATGTAAGTAATCAGATATTTACATACAAATAGTAAAATGAGATATTGTAATGATAAATAGTAGCGTTCAATGCAATCATTTTTTCAATTTTCAAATTAAATTATATTCTGGGATAGCAAGGAATTTTTATAGATTCACATGAATTTAAAACACATGTTGTCATTTCCCGTTTCACTATTGTTAATAAGCGCATCTTTACAGAATGAGTTCTGGTATTAGATTCTGTTATGATAAGTCTTTGTAGACTCATGTTGCAGAATAAAAACTCTAAAGATCTTCATTAAAACAACGACACGATCTTCATTTGATATTTCTACTTGCGTCTTTGGAGGAACATACATGTATATGGTGCTGTTTTAATACTCTTAACGGAAATTTATTTGGACATACACAAACGAATGATTAGTAAATTATCTTAAATGATAAAAGCTATTTACTGCTTTTATCAAATGCGGTATATTTGATGATAGAAATATACTTGAAGTAAGTTTAATTTGTTTAATTAAGAAAGAAAGTGTTATTATGAATGCATGTAATGAAAACATATGAACACAACGAATATAAACCTGAAACTCACAGGGAAAACTGGACTTTGCCAACTCTGTTACCTCGTTAAATTCTTTACTTACTTACTCACTTACTTACTTACTTACTTACTTACTTACTTAAATAAAACTATTAAAAAGGAAATAGCCGACGTCTATTCATAAACTTTATCTATTCATATAACTTTGTCCATTATTACTACCGGTATTTAGTTTATTTGGTTTTGAAAAAAATGGTTTGATAATTTCAATATCAAGCTTTTGCCCTAATTTTTTTCTGTTTTTTTTTTAACGGGTAGGTGTTAGTTGTAACTGGAATTGAATATGAAATAAAAAAAAAATAAGCATAACCATTAAAATCACATGTAAATTAATTGCTACACTCAATAAATTGTACTTCTAAAAATCAATTTTAACTTACATTCAAATATGATGTTTTCTCAAACTTCTAACATTGATTTAAATAGAATCTTTTCACACTTTTATATCAATGCACTGAAAGGCATCAATAATACCTGCTTTATTTCATTGATCAATATATGATAGAATTTTTTGCTGAAGTCTTTAATGTGTTGAAGAGAAACTATATTTGAACGCGTCGCTGGTGATGTATCGAAGAATATACTGAGCTTTCTTAAGCCTTAGCAACGGCTGGCATTGTGTCAGCAAAATAAAAAAGACAAGCGTGAAAAAAATGTAACTTTTCACTTGATTTTTTTCTCAGACAGAATTTTGTGGACTTATCTATTTTGTCTATCTGGTGCTTTTTATTTGGTTATTTTTAGTCGTGATCTATAAATCCTTGAAATATACACTGGATTATTTATTGCAACATAACGTCGGAAAAGTGTTGTTATCTTCAAGTCTTTAAAAGTGTCATTAGAAGATCATAAGCAAGTCGTACTACTTTACAGGTACTTGAGTATATTTTAACATTTTGACAAGCATATATCTTAACGTACAAAGTTTACACCCTTAAGATATCATAAGCTTTGAGTTTATAAAATTTATAAGCCTTCTAGACATAACACTGAAGAAATATGACATCCCGAACACCACCTCCTCAGAATTACCCTAGATTTGATAGTGAACCTAAAGAACGCATTGCCGAAAACTCCAATAAACGCGATAACAATGGTACAAATGCAAACAAAACGACGAACGACCAATCAAAGCCAGGCGGTAATAATAGCAATACTACAATCGAAAATAAACCGGTGAATAGAGGATATAGGCCTATACCTACCGAAAATTATAGTGCTTTGTTTGATATAGAATATATCCACGTGCCTTATGTAAAGAAAAAGGAAACGGTAGAGGAAAAGAATTTGAATGATGCGAACGGAAGTTTAGATAAAGAAAATAAACGTGAAATAAATACTGCAAATAGAAAAGATTCTCCTGGTTTAAAAAGTGAGAAAGACAATTCAGAGATGGCTTATGAAGGACGGAGGGTAGAACAATTGGAACAGAAGAATAAACTTCACTCAGCCAAAATCCATGACCTAGAACATGAGCTCAGGAAAGTAAAACTCGAGAATGATATGATCAAAGGACATTTTTCTGAACATGATGGGCCACATTCGCATAACGGACATTCAGACAGAGATACCCGTTATAACCCAGACAGAGATGCCCGTTATAACAGAGGTCCTGAAAGATATGAGGAAAGATCTGAGCCGCGGTATCCCGATCCATATGGTCAACGACAAGAACAGGCACCACCAGGTCCACCACCTGGCCGTCCGCAGTATAAGAATGAGCAACACCGACTTGGTTACAGAGATGAAGACACTTACTGGGGATTTAATAAACTTTATGATCCGCAATTCTTAACAGCTTATAGAAGGGAGCACATACCTTACTACGCAAATTTGGCTGAAAAAGAAAAGGTAGGAACATGTACTATAAGTTTATGATGCCATGCTAAGATAAGTGTATCATTTTTGTTTACAGATGTTTTTTTATAAACATCAAAGTACGATCTTGTTAAATGAATCTCTAGGCATTTTAAATTAGCATGATTGTAAAGGATAATCTTTATTTATCCATATACGTAAGACCGTGCAATTTCCTATCAACATAACTGATTGAAAATAGTTAAGCATTTAAGTTTTCTTTTGTATAGCTCGTGTTCCCTTTTCTTAAGTTCAAATAAGTAATCCCAAATATTTTAACTTCTTAATAAACCGAAATAAAATACTATTTGTAGAACGGCTTGTCTAAAAGATTACAATTTCAACCATGAATAAAAATATACATACCACTTTGTCTGTTTTGTTAGTTTTGTAACAACTTATTATTTGGTCTTAATAGCATTCTATTGTCGGCAATATCACTTGATAATTTTGTCTTTTCAAATACGTGAATATAATTTATGTCGGTACGCCATTAACTTACCTTTTCCACTTACGCGGTGGATGAATTAAAAAATGGCCTTCAAAATAAATTGTTTCTTTCAAGTATATTGTATTGTTAACTATATAACAGATAGCAAGTTTTCTTTCACTAATTTCACTTTTTGAATTGAAAGCTGATTTTCAAAGATATAAAGTGAAAAAATGTTAAATAAAGTAGTTCATTTTTCTTTTCAAACTAAGTACAAGTTATTTGTTCACAATTTGTTTTTTTTATTCATATGACATTTTTATCTGCAGCCGCAGTGAAGATAATTAAGGCAAACGGAGTTTGAATTTGAGTCAAGAATGAAAAGCAATCACCCTATGCCCCTACCGTTTTGGACAATATTAAAGATCAATTTTAACAAACAGTAATTGAATTTTTTTTCTTATATCACACTAATGGTATTTGTTTTGGTAATTTTCATTTTAACCAATAAGCATGATCCTGTGGATTTAAATTGTTAGGGAAAACAATTTGATATTATTTGAGCTGGCTGTAAATATCATAATCTAATATATTTGTGCTCATTTTATGAAAAATATATTGATTAAGTACTAATAATGTATACTAATACCATTAAAACCTTATTTCGTATTTGACTTTCTTTTCCTTAATCGTTCCCCGAGTTAATCGGATATCGATCTTGTAAAATAAAGTATAAAGATCAACCTTTCATGTGAATTAGGAGCTTTATAACGAAATCATTTAAACCTGATAAGAGAAAATGTCCCTCTATTCATATTGATCAAACGACCTTCCTATAATCCTTTGGTACATAACGATAGAGTTTTTAAAATATTTTCTTACTATACATGCTATATATATTTAAAGATTTATATTTAAATGCTATACTTTGTAAACACAGAAGCATATAATATTCTTTTTAGAGGTTCCTCATGTCGCTAGCAACGACATTAGATTAAGTACAAAACAAACAAATACATCACAGACAAGTGAAGGTTCAAGTTTTGCTTTAATGAAAAAAAAATTTAATTGCGCGCTTGTCTTTCGATCATCTCCCTTTCAAACACATCTACATTGTATCTTTTACATTCAATATGATATCAAATACACGTGTGCATTTCTGCATGATTCGTGCTTTTGGTAACCTTAAATATTCAATTTTACACACAACTCTCTCTTCAATTTTACTGAGTACATTCATTCAGATAAACACTTACGGCGATATCATACTTTCATACTTTTTATTTTTATTTCATACTTTTTATTAAAAACGAGACACATTGTCAATCAACTTTAAATGAAATTTGTCACTAAATACATGAATATGAAACAGCAAAGATATCTGTATAATATAATTTGTATACCATTAAGTAATTTAGTTGAACGTGAATTATGTGAATGTAAATTATCTGATACTAATGTAATAATGAAATGATTTGTTATCAAGAATGCCTTATATCCCCATATGTAAGCAAAACGTATTTTACTGACTGAATATATCACATTATTTTATATCAAATGTTTGATAACATAACTTCTCTTATTCGTGCTTTGCTTGTAAATGCTAGTTTTAGATTGTTGAAATATAGCAAATTATATAATTAATCTTATTGTTGTTACAGAAGGACATGCTGGACTACATTAATATACAATGTTATTTATTCCAGGAGATCAGTACAAACAGGTGCGTGTAAAGCAGCATATCAAAGATGGCATGCCGGTAGCAAACAGCGGTCATTTAACCTGATTTATAGAGCATATAGAATATTACTTTAATAACTTAACTTGTTGAATTTTGTAGCAAACTCAGTACTCCGATGACTACAATTATCTCCATGAAAGAGATCGACGCCAGGTCCAAATTACATGGCTTGTCTATGCACTATATAATCTCTACATCTAGTCTTTGATGTCCTACCTTCTTAATCACAGCTATGTTTTCTTCTAAAATCTGTCTGCTTCACAGATATCTTTCCCTGATATTATTTGAACGCGTGGTTTGATTTTGCATCTTAATTAACTCTCAATGTGCAGACTCTGAAAAGTTACTTTGGTGTTCTACTAAAGCTATTCTTTGTCCATAATTATACATTGTGTTTCTAATCGCATTCGTTTTCTGAGTCTGAGTGTTCGTTTTATCACTTTCATGAAAGTTTGCTCACTTGTCAGTTTGGAAGAGGTACAATGTTGTTCATGTTTCTATTTTGTCATCTCCTTGTAGTATTGCTCGGCCTGTGAATGGTGCACAGTAATTAAGGATTGCTTTTTGTGTTAATTTTGGTGGATTCATAAGGTGTTGATGCACATTGATCCTCTATACGAACACAAAACGTTTATAAAGATACTGATTATAATTATCTAAATATTTTAAACAATTATTCTGTTGTTTTATATTAATACTGTTTATTATACTCCTGTAACTATTCTAGTGTACAAGTTACAGTGATTTATATAAAACCTCAACTTGAAACTGTCCCTCGTGTCAATAATGTGTGCAATGTTTCATTTTCTGTTATGACTTTTATGTCATGGATCTATTTTTCGTTTCGTAAAAACAATCTGTGTTGAACAAAATATGATTTAACCGCGTATTTATTATAATCATTAGGAGGAAGAATGGCGCCGTAAACGGAGGGAAGAAGAGGCTATGCTAATGAGGGTACAGGTCGAAAAAAAAAAGAAAATCGATTTTAGTATTTTATGTTACTTGACTTACTTTTTAAGTAAAAGAATAGAATATGTTTCTATATAAGACCAAACATTTACAACGAAAACGTATTTTCAAATACAAGTATTCTTTTAACATAGTTCAATTCATGTTGTTATGCCAGTTTACACATAATGTTATAGTTCTTGTTTCTTTCGAAGAAGGACATTTACTAAAATATTTGCTTTACCTGCTTCTTTGTACAATATTAAAATACAGCTTCAGATATATATATGCATTTCAGGACAAACCAAAAACCTTTGAATACACCGCCCCTTACCAGGCCGATCAACCCCCGAGGGTGTGTAGAGAATAAATCTGACTTATAAACCTATTTTTAGTATTGGTCACTCTTTTACCGTGACCATTGTTTTTATGATATTATTATACAAATCAATATATTCAATATGTTTTCATAGAGAACTAAATTGACGAGACTGTATTTATAATTTAATACAATTTGATAAGAGGTTAATTCATACTGTTATGTAAAATATAATCAAATATTATAAAATGTCGTAGGAAAATCTAATTCAACCTTAAATAGCAAGTTACAAAAAATGTAAATGTATCAAATATTTTGTATGTCAACAGTAAACCATATCTTTTTACAGGACATCAATAAATACTTCCACGATTCCAAATATCTTAACCCTCCAACTGAGGAGAAACCGGATGAATTCTATTTCGTATGTTACTGCCAACTTCCTTTACAATCCTTTTCAAACAAATAATTATGGTCTCAAAGTAAAATACAAGATTGTTGTTCAAAAGCAGACCTCTAAGTAATAAAGAAAACATCAATGCATATCTTTTATAGCTTGCACTTTTGTGAGACAAAACGCTGAAACGCTGATGGAATATAAGCTTCTATGAAGTATATTGAAATCTTATTTTTTTTCCAACAATCTTTAAAAAAATAAAAATAAATAAAATTGAAAGAATATGAAAGGAAAATCTAAATACACATCTTGTTCATCAAATGAAACGATTGTTTTTCCTAGGGCGCGCATGCTCCATTCAAACAAAATCCAGGGACGGGCATGTCGACATATGAAAGGGCGTTTACTTCACCACGATACGGTTATATGGTATTAATTAAAACATGCATTGGATTTTGTCATACACTTGTCATACACTTGGGATTTTTAAATGCACTTTGTTGTTTTATGGACGGTTTGGGTGTGTATTATTTTGTGGACGGTGTGTGTGTATATTACATTTGGTTATTACACATTGGGATTTCAGCTGAGACGAACATAGCACTATTCTACCGAAGATGTATCGCTATCTTTTAGTACCTATAGCTCCTGTCATTTTGACACCATCATATCCTACAATTTCTCTTTAAAAAATGCACTATAAGAGCTTTGAATGTCGGTTTGATATGTTTATGGTTTACTGTGTGCATGTATAAATGTGTTTGAATGGATGGTTTAATGGATGGTTTAATGTGTAAATGCACTATTTGTTGTGCCGAATTTGAAAAAGATAAATGCTGTTTTGCAACTGATGTGTTGATATCGGTGTGTTGAAAAATCGGTTTCTGTCTTAATTTGACTTGTTTTCCTGCTTTATACCATTGTTGCTTATCATGTAAATCATGAATTCCTGTCATTTAATGGTTATATATATCTATCATATATAAATCATTTCAGTGAAACTGATATGAGTACATGTATACATATTGTCATATATAAAATTAAGTAAATGTGTAGCAATTGTATTGAAATCTTACTGTGAGAAATGCATATAAACAAATAGTCTTATTGACTTACTTTCTAACTTTAGTATTAGTATTTCTCTGTACACATATTAACAAATATCATGAATAATATTATTACTTAATGATATACATGTAGCAAGAACGGGTAGCCGATGGATTATACGATTTGCTTACAGTGGTTAAGGCGATGTACAATTGTATGAAATTTTTAGTGTGATTTATGCATTTAAAAAAATTAGTTGACTTTCCTATTTATTAGATTTATATGAATACTAAATGATGTAATTGCAGCAAGAGCAGGTAGCCGGTGGGTTATATATTATACGGTTTGCTGACAGTGGTTATGACGATGTTCTGGTTGCTCTTAGACAGCTTCAGCCAATAATGAAAGCCAACAGGGGACATCTCCTCGGAATTGCCAGAAAACAACACGTAAGTACACCAATTCCTATTTTATACTCTAAAAATATGCTATAAACCTCATGACATCTGACAGGAGAATGGTCAGTTTATTTTTTTGTGTGTAATCTATACAAATAGACTTATTGTAGACACATTCTTCTGTACCTTAGCTTGAACTTGCGTATGTTTTGATGATGTTGGCAATTAGCCATATATAACATTATATAACATATATATATTCTTAGAAAGTGGAATTGGCAAAGAGCATGCATTACAATGGATAATTGCATTTTCGGGTTGTTAATATGGATTTCCAAAATTATTAACGTTATTTATAGAATTGTATAAATGTTGAGTGCCGGTGGTGATTGTTACTGTTGTTCCTCTGTCGTATAGATGTTTACTTTTTATCGTAATTGTTAAAGGTGTATCCACTAGAAGGAGATCCTGAATGGTGGTATTCTAAAGACCAGCATTATAGACATCCTAAAATACGCGTACCTTACAAGGGTGTTGAAGAGGCGATTGCAGTGTTCTGGTTCCCGTACAAAGAGAAGGCAAAGGCTTTCTATGATAACAACTTCCACAACCGGTTTAGAGACCACAACTTCCCTACCACACGGTCATTTGAAGGACATTATATTCCACTGCTTACGCCACCAATACTTAGTAAGTGAACAACATTCATTATCACTTACACTCCTTTTTTCATTTTCGATTGCATGATTGATAAAATAATGCTAATATGATTAAAGTGAATATTTTTACAACGCAAAAATTATCCAATCATATTGTTTGATTAAACCATTTACATGTTCATTCTGTCAGCTGTTCTTGTGACATTACACTTCTGTACAGATTTTGCTCGTTCATTAAAACGTGTTTACCTACAGTCATATCGTCTTTTTATCACATTTTGTTTTCATGTTCCTTCATTTCCAGGGGACTTGAACACATATCTCGTTATTGAGTTACTAAATGCAAAGAGATATTACCCAGAAGATATGCAGAACTTCCAAGCCAAAGCACAAGATGCTGTTTTGAAACGTGTCAATAATTGCTTACCATTCGTCGCATCGGCACTAGAGGTACTATAAGTTTTCATATCATCTGTAGTGTTTTAGTAACCTTATTAGTAATAATATTGCTCCAATTTCTTTAAAATATCAAATGTTTTATAATTGCAACACCATTTTTTTGTTTCAAACATAGCATTTATTTCGTCTAAATAATTAACATAAACTTCTGACTTTATTCAGGGACGAGAGTCGTTTAAACCAGGTCCATTGTTTGATAACAGAAGTAAAGTTTTCATCAGCCGCTTTGACTCGATGGTGGATTTGTCAGAGCTATGGATGTCGGGTAACGCATTTTTATGTTTAAAAACACATAAACTTGTTATAATAAGTTATTTGTACATATTTATACTCGTTTATTATATTTATTTAACAGCTTTAGTTAAAAGTTGAAAATAAGTAAAACTTCAATTCAGCGTTGTATTGTTTTCTGGTCCTTCAGGATCATTGATCCAACGCGTAAGTGTTGATTGATTAATACCTCTTAAACCGGTACTGGGGAGCAAGAGATGTTGCAAATGATATCTCACAAACCGATGCAGTCTTCAATTCCATATAATATTCTTGTTGTCATTGCTTCCGATGGATCGCCATATTTTTTTCTAGATTATGATTTTTTATTGCAATATAAGGCATTTGTTTGTGGAAACTACAATTCTTAATAAAACTTCAACAATAATGCCAATAATTGCCAATAATATTTGTTGCGTTAGTATAATTTTGATTTTGTCGATATTTGCAGAAACCATACAAAGTGAGTTGATGCGTAATGGATTAAATGGGCCAAGACATGTGTGGGCATTTTCTTTAGTGGACTTGGAGGACTAAATGTTGATTATCGAGATGAGGACTAGATGTCTAAATGTTTGTCCTTTATACAAAAAAATGCAAAGTGATATGAGTATTTCTGAAAAAAGAGGTGTCCAAAAGAAACTTTGAAATTGCTCAACTGTTAGTGATAAAAGTAGTATTTTACCATATACATAATATGCATAATATTCATTTATACGTTTTAGATACTAGATGGAACAGTTCGCGAGTATAATTGATAAGTGTTTTGTTATATTTTAATAATTTTTAATTTTTTCCTATATCAAAGAGTGATACTATAAGGAACGGGTGGACAAATCAATTAAGAATGTTTATACAGATTGACTAAATGCCTTTATATTGTTTTACATAGTTGCGTAAGCATAACATGATCAATGGCAATTTGTTATCTTAATTCATATACAAGCACGGGTCATTTTTTCTTTTCTGGATAGTATGAATTACAAGAAAAATGTACTAGTAATTTTGATCACAACTGTCTTGTAATTTGTTGTGTTTGAAACTAACTTGTGTTGTATTTTTATTTTTCATTTTTTAAGTGTCCTATTTGTTGACCATTTCGTACAAACCCCCTCATATGTTAGATCAATTTTTTTGTCAGCAATGCATTTTCATGCATTTTTATCATCAGTGATAATATCAGTGATAATCTTTCAGATTGCTATTAAAATATGTCTGTTGTCTCATTATTATTTTCTCACGTGTAAATATTAGTTCACTTTAAGACAGTTTGAGGGGACACTTGAAAAAATGATCAGCACGTATCAAATTCGAAAGGCTAATTATCTTCCATGAAAAAGAATCTTTATTTATCTTAGACGTATTATCTTAATTAGCAAAGAGTGAGACAATGGTGAAGTGATTTGTAACATTATTGTATGCAAGCTGTACTTGTGTTTTTGAATGTTCATTTGAGTATATAATTCTGTATACACCTGAATAAACAAACTTGTAATACGATGACAAATGTCTAGAAGTGTTTTGTTTGTATACGTATATTCAAGATGATTTAGAATTATACAATTTTACAAGTTTGTACTTTGTTTTTATGAGAAAGAATTACTTATTAGCAACTTAGTGATATAGTCTGATTTTATTGACCTGTCAATTATGAATACATTATAGGACTCATTTAAATAATCGATCCCACTTCGGTTTGGTCCGTGTAGTTTACGAGAATTAATGTGGAGTATATTAGTCATGGATTGAAAGTCACGCCAACTTTATGTGAAGGTTTTCGTTAATTCACAATAGGACAGTAGGTAAAGAGAATGCCTGATAATTGAGAGGTCTGTGGTTCGATCCTCACTGTTGCCATTGTTTTAGTACTCTATCTTTATTTTTGCAGTGTATTTTAATGGAACAGATTTGTAGTGTGTTTTACGGCATTGAAAAGACATTTATTGATTTTAATCCGTTTTAATTTTAAATATGAATTCTTAAAAAACATGTTATTTAAAAAGAGTATATACATAACAAAATTAAGTAAAACATAAAAAAACGAACAACATAAAATAATCAAATATAGATTCAATAATGTTGAAAATATTAATAAGAAAAAAACATGGACCAACGCGGCCTCGAACTTAAAACACGTTTGGCACTTAGATTATAAACTCGTGATTCATCCTATTGCGCTATAACGCTGAGTACACTTACTTTAGAGATACAAATTAAATTAAATTCCATCGTACAGCGTACATCTCACGGAACTTACCGAACATCTACCGAAGATCAATATACTGTGTGCATCGACCGTGTAATCAGTATGTAATTGACAGGTTAATAAAACCAAACAATATCTTAATGAGAGAATATGATGTAAAACATTCTTAATTCTGCCATCATTTTACTCAATTTCTACCATTTGTGATGAAGCTATGCTTTGGACAATCTTGATAAAGGCATATGACAATTGATACAATGCGAATTCATGTGCCCATTATACACTATATACCGGGATATTACCAATTGAATGTTGAAATAGCTCTTTTGTACCTAGGTAATAACAAATTCATTGAAATGCGTTTTGAAATGAGGTTTAGGACTACCAATATATGTTGTATCATAGTTAGGGGACCTTTCTGTTGACAAAGTGTCAGAGTTAAATCGTATACATATACATGCACAGTGCGGTAACTGGAGTGCAGGTAACAGTTACCCGCACTCCAGATCATACCCGTTGATTGGCTCATTTTTGCTGGGGTTTACATATTGTGACGGCAGAGCAAGGGAATGCGGCAGAAATATCATATTCAGATGCTCGATCATTGGTTACTTTTTCCCGGGGTTTAAAATTGTGACAACAGGGAACGTGTTTTTATGTTTGACTATGATACAAAAGAGAAAGAACACCAAAACACTCGGCAATCTGATTTATACTCGGGGGCTACGCCCCCTCGTACAAATCAGATAGCCTCGTGTTTCGGTGATCTTTCTATTACTTAATGTTGTTTACTAAAGTAAATTCAATTAAGCCGCGGGTGCCACTTTTTAATGGACGACTTTAATTAGGACACATTACAATATATTACACATACACGATAGCTGTGTAATACGCTGTGATCCTTAAATTTTGAAGGAGTTAAGATGTGGCCTAATTTTCCTTAAATATTTAATGTACGTGATGACTGGTGTTATATGGTAAGTTTATGTCAAAGAAGAACTCTAACCTAAACAAGGCAAGTGACTTTTTCAAAATGGACTAACTTATTTAAAGAGCAATGATTCAATATTTGCAAAAGAAAGGTTAACACATAAAACAGATATTCATACACTTATGGCAGTAATACTACGGAATGTTGCCCTTTTATATGCCACAATTAAATGTGGGTGGCAAAATTTAGACATGGCAGTCACACCCTTGAGGCTGACTCCAATACTGGAAGGCCTGTTAGTGTTGCAAAATAAAGTCCACGATATTGTTATGGGTGGCAGATGAGTTATATAGCCAGTACAGCACATGGAAAATTCCATTGTTACAGAAAATTTCGCGATTAGAAAGCTCTTTGTCTCTAGGGTACAGTTGATCAAAAGCACACAAGGAATAGCAAATTCTGCTAACCGTCGACAAAGGGTTGTGACTGTGGCTGAACATTATTTTACTCTAGAGGCTAAATAACAGTCTTAAAATGGATGCACCCAGGTTCATTCTCACCAATGAAGATAATGGACGATTATACCGTTTATATACATGCTTGAAATAAACGATACTTTTCAGTATAATTGTACTTCCACATTATACGTTTAAACTCAATATCAGTTGTTTTGTTTACTTAGTTGCATCGATAAAATCTGGTGAGTTTAAATACAAATTGGTAATGTCCATTAAATGAATAAAAACACTTCCAAATAAACCGATTGCGAACACATATAATGTCTTTTAATGTTCATTGCAAATGTATAAACTATCCAACCTATTCACATCTGCTTAAGATTTACTTGGTTATACTTTCATTGTAGCTGTTGATAAATGAATTGAAATCTTACATCTAAATATTGTGGCTATCCCATGACATCATATTTATTTGTCTCGATAAGATAATCACGGTGCCTTTTTTTGTGATATTCATATGGTAAAAACCAATATACATACTTTCAAGGTTTTATTTTCTCCCATACATAATTTTCATGGGATAAAGATTTAAGGAATAAAGTTAAGAAATTAATGAAATATTAAAAAAATGTGACAGAAAATTAAACCTAGAACGTCCTTTGTATTGTTTATCTGTCGCACAAACGTCGCGTGGTATAGGCTCCATGATGTCATAACACAGATTCACCATTAAATGATTAATCTAAAGTGATAATTAGTTAATAAAGACATATACTGAGCAATCTTATTTAACTAATGCGATTTACATTGATCCATTCTCAAAAAATACCTTTGTTTCTCTAAAGCGGTACATTTCATAGATGATGACAAGAGTTTAAAAATATGATACTAAAAGTCTTTGCTCATACGGCGTATACATATGTACATGCTTGAAAGTATTCTTACGTCGTCTGAAAAGGTCATAAGGCGACTTTCTAGCCTGTATGTTTGTACGTACGTACGCACGCACGCAGGCACGTACGTACGCATGTTAAAAGAATCAATATGGTTAACTGTTTGTTTAGTGCGCTAGTTATAGATTCATGTACTTTTTCGTTACATCGATAACGTTTCTAAATGTGAAAATTTAGTAATAAATATAAACTTTTTCTCTTCATTTTCAGGATTTTTTAATAAAATTTTCAATTCTCTTCAAAAGAATTTCAACTCAACCTTTAGTTATTTCCCTTTGTATGTCAATGAATTAAGCAATTAAGTTCTTTTATTTGGCAGTTATCTCTGCGGCCACTTTTCCTTTTATTTGATATTCAATAGTTAATCACTAGGTTTTTGTTACCGAATATTTACACTAGCTGTTAAGGTATATACAATTTACCACACTGTATCGTCCAATATATATCAAATTGTAAATGACATATTAAAATTGGAAGCGTCGTAAAACTATTGTAGCAAAATAACACAACTTAGTACTTTTTTTTTGACATTTGAGATTGTTATATTGACAAGTTAATATTTCAGCGTTAAGTGACTAGAAACAAAGGAATATATCAAAAGGTATGTGTATTGTTTATTTATGGCCTTTCAATGAAATTAATCTATGTTTAATCTTATTGAAAATAGTGACCCCGTATAAATGAACGGGTTTAAGATATCGCATACATTTATAAATAACGAAATAATGCGTTAAATTTAAAGAACCACGTAAGAGAAAGGTATAAACTAACTAAGATTAAAGTATCACTGACATTTGAACACTTGAAAACAGTGTGCATATCTGTATACATGCTGATTATGACAATAATGTACAAACTTCCATTTACCAATTATGAATTTTTAAATACCCTATTCAGCAAGTGTTAATAGATCAATGAATTGCATTGACATAGCAAACTGTTTACGTCAAAATTTCTTTTATAGAATTTGTCGGAATATTTGCGGCTTATAAAAGTCAACGAAGGTGTTTAATGTATTTTGTATTGATTCGCAACGGGAATCAGTTGTGAAGACATTCAGCAATACGTTATATCCGAATACGACGAATGAATAAAATTGGTTTCAAATGACGCATTTGGCAGTGATTCAGAATAAATCCGTATATTTTGAGGTGTTGAATAATTTATCTATATTAATCAAATCTTAGAACATAAACACTGTTATTTATCAGGGTTTAGTGTTTAGATATTAATATATAGAATATACACATGTATTTTAATGATTTTCTTTATTCTCAGTGTCGTGCCTTCGTTCAAACCGCTGCTTATTGATGAAATTCATTATAATCTTAAGTCAAACATAAATAATACGCCTAAATGTAAAGCAAATCCTTGATTCAAGTGCAAGCTTTTTCTTCTTTAGATAAGATTAATCTTATTAAAAAAACTGAAATGGAAACATGAGAATGGCAACATCGATTAAAATAGCGTTTTGATCCTAAATTGTATAGTTACACATAATCTAAAACGGTTGTAACTGTCCGATCTGCAGCATGATATAAAATAAAAATGATCTGCTAATAATAATAATAATAATAATAATAATAATAATAATTATTATTATTATTATTATTATTATTATTGTAATTTTTCAATACGAATTTAGCTTTAAACATCAGTTAAAAGGTGACATACACGTATTTCTTTTACGAAATGTTCTGTGTTAAATCTTATTTATTCAAAATATTGACAGAAATGACATCATATACTGGCATGATGAACACTAATGACTCAATGTGGTATTAATTAATGTCTTACATCTCGTACACAATGTATCCGTCACGGTTCTGACGTGTATTTTTTAAATAACTTTTATCATAACGGAAACATTTAGATGTGCCTAATCGCTAAGAAGATTTTACCAATCAAACATTTTGCGAATACCTTGGGAGCTGACTCGTGCAAGATTTCCAATTGTCAATATTTTTAATCGACTTTTACATTTTATAGCAAAACTGAAAGCATTCATTTTTCTCCCGGAAATTGAATATACAGAACTGCCATTTCTACGAAAGCAAAGAAGGGAAATTTATCTAGTATATCTTTTTAAATTTTTTGAATGATTAGAGAAAAATGATAAGTGAAAGATGGGGGTCGCAACTGTCTGAGTCATCTGTTTTATATCATTTACAAAAGCAGATAACGCAAAATCAAGCACACAATTATTTTTCATTGTTTAATTTACAGTCATTATGTAAAGTTTGACATTTCTACACATCAGACAGTTTATATAAGATCAATAGAACAAAATCTGTTGCAAAGAATTTCAGCATATTTTGACTCTTATAACAGAATATAAAGTAAGAAATACAAATTTGATATAAAATGGGATGTTACTTACTGCAGATTTAAGATTTCTGTTCTTGAAAATGGCCTTAAAGTGTTTCCGATGAGGGTTTTTGACATGACGGGCCTGGGGATTTATGGTCGATTTGTTGCAGATTTAGACCAATAACTCGTTCGCTCATTCTGTTTTCACAGAATTCTTATTGTGCGAAATTGAAAAGAGTTGCAACGCTTTTCATAACAATCTGGTCAATAATAACACAATTATACGATTTTCAATTTCATTGTACATATACTAGTATTTCTGTGTTAAGAGCCCTAGCTGATCTCTGTAAGAATTACAAATTTTATGTGTATAAACTTTAGGACGTCAATGAAGTTCCTTTAGAGAGAAAATAGTTTTTATGGGCAGATAACTTAAAACTTAGCATGCTGACCCCCGTTTTTCATAAATGTTTTAATTATGATTTTCTTAAATCAAAATAAGTTAAACAAAATTATCTGCACTTGTTTTACTTTAATGTTTTCTTCTATGCCTTTATAACATAAATGCGAGAAAAAACGTTTCTTACTGACACACAGTATACGGTTTAAACAAATGTAAAAATGATATTACGAATGCCGAATATTTTCCTATATAATTGCCTAAATGTTGAAGGTTTCGACTGTGTATGTATATTTTTTAAAATGTTTGTTTCTAAACTAAATGCACTGCACACACACACACATTGTTTTGAACAATTTCGAGAACCTTTATATCAATGGAGAGGGTGGGAGAGCTTAATTCAGTAAATATCTAATCTTGAATTAGCAAAGCTGTAAATACAATCAGCTACTTACTAAGTACATTTTGATATGAATGAGTTACGTTGAAAGGTTTTAAATCAACGTAAACAATATTGTAAACAAAAATATACGCAATAACAGTTTAACATAACAGAAACAGGATAAACAACTGCAAAGAATTCAGATAGTATCTTTAATGTATATTGTCACATGATTTTTTTAAACAATATGTGTCGTTAAAATTGTTGAGCACGTAACAAAAATGTACATGCATGAATGACATCGAAAATGTTACAAGAACGATGTTACAATTAAGTTTTTGCTAATGAATTCGACTAAACCTTTTTGATTTTATACAATGTTGATTTTATACATTATTCTAAAATTAATTTAGAATGAACATTTTTGTTAGCACCAATGAATGATAATCTTTTCGACCCTGAAATAGTCATATTAAATTTTGTTTACTTTCAGTTTGCGTGCCTCGTGTAAAGAATGCACGTAAGTATGCCTTTAGGTTTTACGAAAATTTGTAGACGAGGATGCACATACATAATATATATTTAATGATATTGATATAGCTATCGTAGTGTGATATTCAGGCCATTTCATGTAAATAATGGTTGAAATTGTCATTAAGTAATACACAAACACTAGATATTGGATAGAGACTCATAGAAACTGATTTAAATAATAAATAAAAACGACAAGAAAGAAATAGTCAGGACTGTTACTAGTGTTATAAAGCATTTTTATTATATATATACAGTCGATATTCTATACATCTATCTTAAATCAGGTCATGGAGCAAGTGTTGGATGCATACAATAAAATTATATAAAATGGTAATTTTAAATGATATTTGCTTAAGCGAAAAGAAAATTTTGTACTAAAATATAATGCGAATACTTAGAATATATGTATTTGATTTCAGAGTAATTGGTTCACGGAAAGCGACACGTATGGCTCTTATATTGATGTGTTGCCAAGAGAAACGCATCTGGGCTCATCAGTAAGTACTTGTTTTACATTTTTGTCAGTTTTGCTGTCGGTCGTTCCGTACTGAAGTAAGGAATAGCTATACATTATAAAAAACCTTATCAATAAATTAGAATAAAATTTATCTCTAAGTTTGGGCAGACAGAGGAAAAATAGTAGGATTACAAAGACTTAGCGAACTTCTTAGAATTATATGCATGCTGGAGACTATGTCAGTGAATATGGAAAACAATATAATCATGGAAGGACATCATTCAATGAAGGAATCACCCAACACAACCAATCAACAAAGGACCACCGGCAAGGAGCACAGCATAAGACACCCAACAGGACAGGGCACACGGGGAAATCACGGACGTGATGACATCATAAACTATTGAAAGTAGAAAATCATAGAAACAGGTAATTGATTTAAAAAAAATAATTCAAAGGCCTACAAAAGGAAAAGGTTGTAAAGGAAGGGACCAGCAGGAGAAGGAAGGGTTGGGGACAAAATTGGGGGGCGGAGTAGAGGGAAAGGAATGATACTTAACTTAGTCGACGAAAACAAAGAGGAACACAACAATTACATGTAACACTAAAGAAGACATAACATCTAATGAACATGAAGAGGCGCTGCCTTGGAACGGTCAGCCGCTTTCGTATCAGAACTACTCTGGGTTTTAGAACAATGATTTAGTTTCAACCATTTAGATCCATAAAGAAAAGGCTAAAAATAAACACAGGTAGTTTGGCAAATAGTTTTCTTTTTTATTTAAATATCCATGAATTTGAAAGAGGTATATATATTTTAGATTTACATAAACACTGATTATACACATTTAAATTGTAAATTTTATTCAGCTTTCAAAACTAAATTCAATATTTATTATTGACAGATATTTAGATTTCAAAACAACTCTCAATACGCATTCAGATTGCAACCCTGTACGATATACAATTCACGGCGTATTCAACTCACATTCATATAAACAGATAAGATATACTTATCCGATTTAAAAGATGCACTGAATGTCTTATAATATTTCGTTGTCAATGACAACTGTATACACAAAATATATATATGACATCAAGGAGCAGTTATATAATAAATTAGCTACATTCAACAAGACTTTGATAAACATGCGATAGGGTTATAGATACACACAAAATAGATGTATCTATTCACTATTTGAGTGGTTTTCATGTCATGAACAAAGAACAAATACTTCTGGATAAGACATATTGATAGATAATGCTCATAAAAACAGAGATGATAAGTGGTTATAATATTTGTACAGGATTTGTCAATGTATTAAGAAACATTTAGCGTCAGTGTTTAGTTTATTACATAAAACTATTTGTTTAATAGGATGCCACAGAGCCTCGAAACTTCTGCGGTGGTATTTTAAATGTTTTCATACATATACTGATGTGACTCAGAAACTTGATGAAAGAATAATTTTCGGTCCAGATTGTTTAATTAAAATAAGTTTTAAAGACCATATATAATTACATGGGACATCGATTTAAATCCATCATTTCTGTTTACTTAGGCGTAATTAATGATTAACAACTAGTCGATGATTTTTTAAGGAGAAATATATACCCAATAAAGGAAAATAAATATATGCTTTGATAATCTTATGAAAAGGTCATCATTTCTTCAATAAATTTTCATTTGCACTTAATATAGTTCGATCAATACGATTATTGATCTGATTTGCTATAAATCACTGTACACTATGGAAACTGGGCGACTATCCGGCAATTCACATAGGTTATCGGCAGTGAAAAGAGATTTGGAAAATCTTCATGATAAAATAGATATAGTTGACAGTAAAGTTGAGACTTTGAGACTAAAACTTAACCCTGTGTCAGGAGATCGCAGAAATATGTTTAATCAAACAGATGAAAGATCAAGGAGATTGTTGGATTTAGAAAGAAAAAATGAGTTACATTCGCGAAAACTTCAGCTGCTTCAAAAAGAAATGGAACACGTTCAAACAGAGAACGATATTTTGATAGAACATATGGGGAAACATGAACTTCACCACAACGATTCTCCACGCAACGTCCCGCGTGACGTTTACAGCGACAAGATGCAAGATGATAGAAAGTTTAACAACAGTAGAGCCTCTTTACACAGCAAACACTCTAACCATGACAACAACGGTCTTGACAAAAGATTGATGCCAAATACACCAGACAGACACCAACCAACGACTGAACACAGACTGAACAAAGACTCTGGAAGAGATATTGAGTCGCCAAGGAAAGAGAGGGATCAAACGAGTCGGGGAAAGATCGCTGAGGAAAAAGATACCACATTTAAGGGGACAGCCGATAAAGATTTTGACTTTGAGGAATACCAGAGGCAGAGGCGAGCTCAGATATACAGTCATTATGATTCGACGGCAATTAATCCACAGTGCTGGACACCGAAACAAAAACATCATAAATATCCATGGTTTGATCACAAGGTAAGCGAAAATTAAAATATTAATTATAAATCATTAAAGAGTCTAAATTGATATATGAATATACTCTTGACCTTTGAATTTGATATTAATGAGATACTTATGGTGATTGGATGATGAAAGGTTTATCAAACGATAATCTGTATTTCTTAAAATTATTACCAATTTCTTTTATTTTTTTACTTTCATAATATTATATCTTCAAAAAGAGTACATATACCGTTATTTTTATTGCAGTCGCGTTGTAGCTTGCGAACGTGACTTTTTTATATTTTTCGTCATGTGTATAAAACCAATATGTAATGAAGCGAATGAAACGAAAAGTAAACAGCATTTTATTGCAGATTTCAATGTCAACAATGTAATAGAAAAATTACAATCGCACTGTTGAAGAGAAGTAATTCATACACATATAAAAGAGACACAATGGATGTTATTGTTAGGAGGGTGACAACTTTGTTAACAATTTTTGATGTTATGATTATAATATGTAAGGGTATATTATTGAAGGATATGTTTACATGTATTGTGACATTTTTTTATTCGTGACTGAAAGATGTAGGCCAGAAATGTAGGTCGGGCAATGATATACTTATTTTGATAAATCAGACAGAACGTTATATTTGATATTAATGGACTGTGGCATAAATATTATGAAAACATGTCATGATAAGATGAAATTTGTAGATATTGCTTAGAGAGACTCCTGACTACCTGTATAGAAAAAACGAACCCGATTGCATTATAATAGACTCCATACTGGAAAAGTTGTTTCCACATGAAGTAGTTTCAGATTAAAGATATGAGATTTCACCCGTGGCGCCGAACGGGTATTGAGTTTTAAGCGACACAGCAAAAAATTGATGTTATGTTTGCTATCTGCATATTTGTGTGCTCTTTGTGTGAAAAATATGCACTTCAAAGTTAATAAATACTTTCTATCGTTGCGACGGCCTAATGAATACCAATTACGATCAATGATTTATCTCTGTCTATTATATTTCCGAGACTTTTCAAATGATATTACTTTACTTCTGAAAACATCTTTAATGCGTTAATAAATTAGAACCATTTATTACATGATTCCAAAAGACAAAATAGAAAAACTTCATATAAAACGGATAAACACAAGGGAAGATCATCATACGAATGACATATAGATTGTGAGACAAAATGACATGTTTGAGAAATGATGACGCCAGATCTATTTACCAAACAATGGCATATATTGGGTCACAAAATTTTAAGTAATAATCTTTTTTACATGGACATGGTTCCAGGGATTTTGAGTCAGTTCTAATGACTGTTTCATTGCAAAGTGAAAAAAACTTTTAACTGTATAATGCATCAATATTTTTGACAGCTTGAAGAAGAACAAAAATCAAATTTTAAAACCGAGGACATTTTTTTTTGAATTTTGTTGCTACAGAGCAATACTGGAGTCACTGTTTGCACAAATGGTAGTGGAAGAAGTAGAAAATGCATGTGAATTGTTTGGCATGCACCTAGCTAGTTGGAAATACTCGTGTGTATTTTACTTTAATAACTACTAATTTATTGCCAGTTCTATTCACATTAACATGTATATCGGAGCTAAATCATTGCACTCAGATTATGTATTCATTCAACTGGGACGTTCCAATTAAACATTTATATTCTATACATGAAAATGGTGAATTCATTATAGCCGACCAAAATGGAAATAATGACAAGTTCGTTTCTTTTCAGACCCATCACAATCCTGGCGGGTTCTTAATCATCCGCTTTGACGACTCCGGTTGTGACGTAGCAACTGTTGCATTGAAAAGCCAACAGTCAATTTGCAGGCATGCAGGTGGATATTTGATGGGAATCGCAAGATGTGGCAGGGTAATTTTTTAAACGCAGTATAAATGTCTTTTAACTTTAATCAAGTATTTTTTGAATATATCTTTATTGTGTTGTTATCTAAAATACATTTCATTCTAAATTTTAGAGTATAATTTTTATTAACTTTTCACATATTTCTTTCTTAAATTTGAATTTAATCTGAATTTGCTGTATTTAACTTGAAAAACAGTTTTCTGTCATACATTCTCTTTTACTTTTCATTACAGAAAATAACGTGCAAACGTACAAGTAGTATAAATTTACGTATACTTATATAATATACATGTATTATTGTTTAGATATTTGTGTATGAAAATGCACCGAGCAAGGTACAGAACTGGTCTATCTCTAGGAAACAGCCTTATGATGACTGTCTTATGACTGATCACTCTCTAGCAGTTTTATGGTTTACAAAGAGGGAAGCAGCGGAATATTTCTTTGAAAACGGTCATCATAACCGTTGGCGGGAACCTTGCTTCCCAACACCAAATGGGCACGAGGCATTCTATGTTCCTCTATCAGAACCACCGACAAGTAAGTATTTATCAAACATATTATATATAGGAACCAATTTGTTTGTCGGTCGATCGGCCGCCAGTCGGTATCGTTGGTTCGTCTGGCTGTCAATCCATTTCATGGTTTCCGGACAATAACTAGAAATCAAACTATTTTAATCTATTTTTGTTTACAGTTTTTCCCTTTTTTCTTTGTTTTCTTTTACAAAAACATGGTTTCCAGGTGAATAGTTAAAAGAAATCACCTGGAAACCATGTTTTTGGACCACCAATTTATATTGATTCAAGTTTAAGTCATTTTATGCAAATCCAAACGTTTAAAGTGCAATGACATTTAACTTTTCTTTAAACTTATATCGTCATGAATATTTTAAGGATATTAAAACATATAACGATTCTTAACATGGTTGAGGTAGTGATAAACATTTATATATAATATCACTACAACAAATAATGAATCGTTGTACAATTATCTCGAATATGTATTGTTTTATGCAATGGTGTATTCATTGGTACGTGTACCTCTGGTTAGCGTCGTAACTGTTTCTCAATTTCAATATTCATTATGTCCCTTTAAATTGTAAACTTTTGATCATTCTTTAGTGATATCATCTTCTTCTATTCTATTTGTTTCTTTGCAGGGCAACTCAATTCGTTTTTCGTATTCGAATTGCTTGACGCAAGAATGTATAAAGCAGAAAACTTAACACAGTTTGAGGGTGAAGTACGTGAAGATATGTTACGATATTTTCCGGATTGTCACCCGTTGCTTGTCTCATCACAAATGGGCCGAGTCGTCTTGAAACCAGGCAATATGATTAGCCATAACAGTAAATTATACATTAGCAGATTTGAGTCACAAAGAGACATTGATCGCATCTGGCAATCAGGTAAATGAAATATTAGTGTCGGCTCTCTGTAATCTTATTGAGTGAAGAAAACATTCTCTAGATGAAGCACATCAAAAGAATTCTTCAACTTCTGCTCTGATAAATATTTTCACATTTCACTTTTCTCTTCAGTGTAGGTCGAATTCAATAAAATCCTAATATCATTTTCTTATTTAAAGGGAACTTTATGCATATCAATGACGTTTTAAGGCATTAATGAAATAATGTGAATATATGAATTATAACATCAAACATTTGTTATCGCAATTCTTTATATGTCGTTCTTATTTGAGTATATGATAGAACTTGCATTGAGAATATATAGTGCGTTATATCATCTATGAAACAATTACTTATGCCAGCTCAGCCCAATATGACCAGAATTTGTTTCAATCGCGCGTTCGTGCCGGTTAAAAACTCTACCTTATTTCTTGTTTCAGGTATGATTACAGGATTACGGAAGAAGTGGGATCTCATGGCAGGACATATTAATGCATACTCATTCACAATTGACTTTGCACCTTGAGTAAATATATGGTTAAACATGAACAGTGCACAAACTATAACCACACGTACTGACCGAGACAGATAATGCATTTAATATGTAGTTGTTCTCAGCGTAGACATTTTTTTTACAATTATGTGATGTCAACATTGTATGTAGGACTTGTTTTAGTCAATGTTATTTATACCCTTTATTTAGATAGGAACAATAATTTGATATAGAATTATAACGTCCGGTTTTATATGTTATTAAAATAAAACAATAAAACTAATTTTTGAGAGGAATTGTTATGAAAATTCGATATGTCTTTATGACGAAGGCCTTATTCTTCTTGATCTTTTCATAACTAATATCATAATTTTAGATAGATACCTTAATATTTTCTTTTTCAGATCTTGTTTATTATTATACCCTTGTTATCTTTGAAATAAATTAGTTCAGTCTGATTTCCGTTTGTGTAATTTATAACGCATTTACTTTCTTTATTTTAAACGTACATGTATAAAAACAGTGCCTTTGAAAAAAAAGTTATCTGAAATGCTAGATCTTGAGTTGCTTTTAGTTACATACAAATAACAGTATAACTACTACGAAAGGGTCAATTTCATTTAATCACATCAAGAGCGAATTGCCTCGTAATTGCACAAAGGTATCAGCCGTATATCTTATCTAAATCTACATATTGTTTTAAATGTAAATAAACAACATATATAATAAATATGTTTCGACCAAAACATCAAGTATACATTTAATTCTGCAGTAATTAATGATTAAGATATTTTATATGTATACTATAGTAAACATGTGTGCCAAAATGATAAAAACGGACACAACCTTGTTTGATATAAAAGACACTTCAATAGTAAGACCGTGTAAGTTGATTTAATTTTGTCAAGTGAATGTATCCGTTTAAGGTTTCTATACAAATATTTGCTGACTTTCAACTTTTTAAAGAAGAATCACATATACCTAATAATTAAAGAGTGGAAATAAATAAAAGAAATAAATACACAAAATGCCAAAACAAACAACGTGAAACGATTACTGAGGAGTGAAAACAAGACTAGCACTAAAGGACACGAAGGAGTACCGCCTAGCAAGACACTACTGGGGAGTTTAAAAGTAAAGGCTTAAGGTGCAACAAAACTTACTCTTCGGCATAAGACGAAACAAAGTAAATAAAGTAATTTACCGTGAAACAAATTTCTAACATTTGCTATGGTCACAAAAGCTGATCTTCATAAAAAACAGAAATAAAGAAATAATCATGAAAGTACTTACATGAAAAAATCTAATGACTATAATAAACGCACACAATGTTTCAATCGTTGAATGTATTGCTAACTAAATAGCTATTTATATCGAATGTACATCCGATAACCGTGATGACACTCTTAAAAGTACAATTTTGAGTTGTCCCCCTTTCGGAAAACTCTTTTTGCTTGTAACAAAATGATTCATGGCGGTATTCGAAAATATTAAGTTAAGAATAAAACTGACATCAACATTTTCACATATTTTATATAAACGAAGGAAAGTGTTAATAAAAACACCACCAGCAGCAACAGTAACAACAACAACATAAACGGAAACATAAAAAAGTGGCAACGACAACAAAAATTATTTTAAGATATTTTCATTTTTTTATAACATTTTATTTCTTAAAATTTTTAATCGTATCTCAATGCATTCATAAGTTGAATCTAAATCATATGTTAATGTCGATGTATAGACCAGTAAAAACAACAACAAACAAACAAAACACACGTTAAATACAAATAATTTAAGATACTGAGTCTTGCATTATCATCTCATGTTCTTGTCCTTCCTTTATAATTCTCTGCAAATAGAACTATAAAAATTAGAAAAGCACACCTTATGTCAACTACTCAAGTTTACTTAGTCAAATGATGATAAATATGATGAAGAACTAGCTTTTAAACAATGCCAAATATTTCTTTATTTTTGTTCCTAGCATTTCTGTGATAAAGAGCATAATTGGAAATACCTTTGAGCACAAAAGCTTAAAGTATAATCAAATGATAAGCTATAGAATGTTTACCTTGCCATTTTGATAATTGATGCCACATCTCAGATATTTCAACACAGATTCCGGTAGATACCAAAAAAGATGATCAAACACGGATATGAAGTAAATGTGATCTCCTTCTTGAGGTTTATTGATACCTAATGAAGGAATATATATAGAGCTATATATACCTATGGAAACAAGTATTGCAACACATCACATGTCTATATTTGTTAACAATGACTACGTGATATTAACGCACTAGAATGAGACCTTTTAGGTTTTGCTGAACGATCATCAAAGAGTCGTAACGTAGCAATAACAAACTCAGAAAATTGAAATCTCGACTGTTCATTTAAAGGGAACCGAAAGGCAAAAACACTGAAAGGTTCAAGTTACATCTGCCGTATGACAAGATTGCCAGGCACAATCTTTATTGAATTATTTAGGCCGTAGCACCAACATCATACCGCAGTTTAAGTACTAGTTTCTGATATACCTTCGCCTACCACAACAATATTGCAAACATTCCCAGATGATTTACCATGCTAGAAGTAACATTTTACTGTCCATTTCTATTGAAGTTCTTTTCCAAAATAGGCAAGTTAGTCAATTATTGCCCCGTATCATTTGTCTCTTGAGTCGAACGACAAACGTGTTGTTGAAAAAATTATGATATGCTGGTATTGTTGCTGGTATTTTAATGATGTAGTAATACTTCAACAATTAGAGGTCTGTTACGACAACATTTAAAAGCACATAATTTTGAACAACTCTTTGTCTCTTTCAACCTAATAAGTTCATAAGATATCTGGGTACATATCTTCAATATTATTGAAACATACTACCTGTAAAAATGGAAATAATTGATCCACATATAAAAACAGATGCTATTCCTACTGTACTAAACCATTGATAAGACATCGTGTACATATGCTGCACTCCCGAACTGTGAATTTTATTAAAAAAAACAGGGATAATAGACAGTCATATAAAGATATTGATATTGTTAGAGAGTGTAGTCTAATAACTTATTTCTAATGGAATTATAAATTGGCAAAATAGAAACCTTAATTTTTCGTTTAACTCAGCAAAACTAAAAAAAATGTTGCAGGCTCGGATTACATTATTGTGTCTATGAACGGCGGTGATCATGGAACCATCAATGTGACTCTTTGGTGCCATTCCACGGAGAATAATTGAGAACAAATTTCTCAAGACGCGACTCTTTACACATAATGTACTCGTCTTTCAATTTAATAAGTATATTTATACATGAAACAGGTGCAATGTCAAGAAATAAAAATGAAGCTAAATCTGTAATGAATAAAACAATAATCTGTAATCATATAAAACTTACATTTCTGGCGAAGATGCATCTTTTGCAAAAGAAGTTGAATATCCATTCAAAATGTCCGTTGTACTGACAGGAGTCACTGAGGAATACGTGTGATTAAATCTAGGTATTGTGAAGTTTGGAATCATACAAAGATCAGTTGGTGCAGGCGGTAATTCCGAGCTACTCACGGATCCATCCGTTGTCATTTGACCAATACATATCCATAATGTCAATATCACACCAATAATTGTCCCTCCAAAAGCACCCTGTACGATGAGTATGCATTAATGTTAGCATGATTTTAATGAAATATTATTTCATAGATTATTTTATTCGTGAAACTGTATTTCATACTTAATCATTCATATATGCTCCTTTTTTAATGCCGCTTTATTTCAAATTTAACTTATATTATCTGAATAAATGTTATTGATATTAATATTGTACCTGCTTTTTAAACTTAAATGAGCTAACTTATCTGGTATGGGGAAATAAACAACATTTCACACATGTATGTATTATTAAGTAATTTATAGTCTGAATTAAATGCATTTGCACACCTTTGAAGAAGCCCAGGGGCAAAATGCGCCAAACATAAACATTCCTGCTAGAGGGCCGTGAAATGAGGCTAGAATACTTACAGCGATCTGTAAACATAAATACGAGTAAATTGTGAAAATGGTTTATTACTTTTAGCTTTAATGACTTAAATAGATTAATGTAGCTGATGTTACAAAGATGAACAGTTATAAGTGTGTTTCAATTACTTTTTACCATTTGATAGCAATATTATTGATTTAGTTCAAACAAAGAGTAAAGCTGCATTCTATTACAATAAGCAATGTTGAGTTATTCAAGTTAAAGTTAATTAAAATAAAATAGCAAAATACCATGACATATAATCATATTTTACCTGCACCAATGTCCCACCAATTAAAGATGTCAAAAATGCTATTACAACAGCAACAATTCCAAAACAAACAACTAGAATGTATAAGATTTTCTGTTTTAAAAGTGTATTAACATTATAAATCATAATATAAACGTTCTTCCTGTTAAGTGTCTTCTGTGCTTTTTATTGTTAAAATTTCTAGTTAGTTTTAACAGTTACCAAAAAAGAAAGAGTGAAAATTGTCGCAAGATTCTCATAAGGAATAATTCATGATTTTGACTGTACCCCAAAAAAGTTACTAATTCTAAAAAGTATCAAACCTGTAGCTTTTGCTATTAGCGTTGCCCTGAACTCTGACATTGGCTGTGTAAATGGTTTAATAAGATCTTCCAATACAAGCACTGAAAGACTACTGAGACCCGATGATAGAGTACTTAAATAAAAAGAATTTGAAATTTTCTTTAAAAAAATGTGTTTCGTCAAAATATCCCAATTTATCTTATAGATGATCATTATTAAAGTGTTCTTTTGTATGCTTTTAAATCTAACGGCTTACTATGGATCATTCTTTAGATTTACATTGATTCAAAAGCTTAAAATACCAGAGAAGACTATCAACCGCCCAGTTATGTTTCATATTTAACGTGATGAAGAACTTCTAGAACGTCTAGAGTTGGCCAATCTCAATTTAAAAAAACAATCCTTTTTAGGAAAATGAGGTTTTGTTCAAGTACACGTGCATTTAAAATACGATAGCTAATGATTTACGTACGATTATTGACAATATGTATCTTGTTTCTAGGGTACTGGAGTAGTTGTTCATCATTGCTCGATTCATTGACATGTATATATCGGACACTCACCTTAATGAAGCACTGAATAATGACGCTAGGAAAAGTCCCGACATTCCAACTTGCTCTTGAAATAAGTCAGTAACCATGTACGGTATAATCTTAAACATTAATTGACATTTTCAAAATTGTTTGATCAATGAAGTCGATTTATAAATACTCGGTAGATTTGACAAGGCTATTTTTCAAATTACGTTGATCGAATTGATGAAATAATCTAGACTTTATGAATTTTAAAAAAAAACTTTCAACAAACGATAAATCTAATGATCTAACGTACATAACGTTGAGTTGAACATTTCGATACTAGTGGCAAAAACAGGGCCAGTATTCACGTAAGAAAGATAATACTTGTTTTATTACCTGACTGTATGCAAAAGCTAACGTTTACAATTCAGTGCAGATATACATATGCAAAATAAATTGTTTAACCTGGTTTGGATCTCTAATTTCTCCTGATTCTAATGGGTCACATCCTTTAACATCAAAATACGAATAAGCGACAATCCCTTCAACGCAAGCCAGGCATAAAGTGACCGAAAACGCGGGAGCCGTAATTATCAACACTCTGAAAAAAGCAACAGACCACACTCATTTGGACGACGAAATGTGTTTCAATGACAGTTTCTTTTTTGCATTTTTGAAAACGATCAAAGCATAAGCGATATGACTTTGTACAATCTATTTTTGCATTTCATTTAAAATGAGAATACTTATCGAAACGGACCACACCTTTACAACGGTCGTGAAGAAACAACAAAAAATAAATAATCTATAAAACATTACTTTCTAGCTGCACTTTGTGTTGGCATTGAACTGATTCTCTGGACAGACGACTGGTTAACAAGTAGTCCAAAGCTGCGGAAGAAACCATTAATAGACAAGCACCAAAATGTATGCCGTAGTGTTGGATCCGATCTGAAACTGTACAGTATAATACTTTCTAATCAATTTATTGTTCTTTTAGGAAAAAGTAATAACACTAGCCAAACGTTTTTTTATAAAGGCTTTATGGATTTCAACACATATTCTAAAGAGATCGAGAATATTTGTTGAACTAATAGCAGATTTCTGACAATATGCAGGATGACACATTTATGTATAAAAAAGTAATCACTTATCAATGATGAACCATTTGATATTGTAACATATCGTTAAGAAAACTTTTAAAAGGATTCCACTGAAGTTTTTGATGGCATTGGAACTATTTTTCCAAGATTAGTGTACCATTTAATGTAGGCCTTGGCCAATAACATGTACAAGCATGTGTACAAGATTTTTAGACCCTTCTCTCTCCACATTTAATCAGAGTAATCATTGCTAATTATTTTCAAGCAAATCGGACTTAGAATCGCACACAAACAAATCGATTTTCAATTTTATTCTGAGTGTATTTCTTTATTTTACTTTGCAGATTTTCGCCATTTTAAGTGTTTCACTTGATGTATGTAAGAATTTTTAATTTTATGCTTTAAGGCTTTTTGACCTCAGTGGAGGTCCTTCAACATTTGATAATTCTGAGGAAATTTATTATATTCTTACTAAAATAAATAGAGATTAAATTTTGTGTATTCTTAGCAGTTGACTTTATACATACTCAAAGAAGTTCAACTTTTGTTTATGAGCAATTGACCATGTACTTACTCAAAAAAATTAAGCCTATGTTTATTCTGAGCAATTGACCATGATTTGCCGATTCCTCCTATCCTCATTGTACCCTTAAAAAACAAATAATGATAATTATTTTTAAAGTTCAAGACAAATTCTTGTATTGTTAATTACATACATATCCATTACATTTAGTATCGGTGAAATTACATTTAATATAATAGAAAATGATAAGAAAATAAAAAGTTGCAAACTGTTATAATGATGTGAAAAATGCTGGAAATAAAATTTCTTCCTACAAATTCTAGAAACTGTGAATTATTTATATATATATATTGAGACGAACATGCAATACCTTTATTAAGACAGCGGCTACTCCAATAAACATGATAAGCGTTTGAAAGACATCTGCCCATACCACAGCTTTGAAGCCACCCTAAACAAAGAATAGAAGAGACCAGCACGATCAAGAATAAACGAAAAATTGGTACGTATTATACGAGTATAATATCTTGATGCAGTGAACAGAAGAAGATTTACGCTTTAAAGAGAACATATACGTCCAATGTAGTTATCTTTGTCTCGGATATAATATTTGTGTTGCTTTTTTTTGTAAATTATATAAGTAATAATACATGTATGTGAAATAATACCTCTTAAGATTAATATATCAATATCAGGCGTAAATCAATAATATAACTATATATTTCACAAAATGTTTACACATAAAAGGCTGTTGTATTCGGCATGTTTGTTCAGTTTTTTCTTACATTAGAGTATAAGTGAAGAACAAAGCATTGCAAGTGTTTCTATTTATCTTGAATGCGTTTTCCATAGTCAAATAATGAGTTTGACGACACTTTTCTCGTGTGTAAGAAGGACATGTCATTTTTCTCAAAGTTGCGGGGATAAAAAGGCGATGATCATATGGAATAATACAGACAGAAACGAGAAATATGGCTTGTTAAACTGTTTAGAAATGTCATGAGCTGAATGAAAAAAAAAGTGATCACACTTACTATTGTTGTATAAACAACGGCAGTTCCAGCTACTTCTATGATAGACAACCACAAAGGAACACCTGAAACTATACAAAAGATGTGTAACTATTTCCTTAATTTTGTGATTAAACACAAAATTTACTTTCTAAACTTGTTTTTATGCATTTTCTTTTCGTGTCTATACCAAATTGTATCTAAAATTCATGCATGAACGCGGTATCTTTATTTCATGGTATATGTCATGATTGATATAAAGAAATAACATTTTTTACTAGTCGTAAATCGTATTTTAAATGCACGTGTATTTTAACAAAACATTTCTTGAAAAGGTTATCTATAAACATAAAAACATTGACATTAAAAAGGTAAAGCTGAGTAATTGAAAGTTACTTACCAGCTTCCAGTGCAATAGCAGGTCCAAATAAAACAATTCCAAGATAAGCAACCTTTGAAGAAAGTATTTCGAAATGGAAACAAAAAAGAAGATTGCTCTTAATTGATAGAGTGCTAGTGATATACAATATCAAGCCTGTATGTTCTTTAGAATAGTTGAACATAGTATTTTATGAGGCACTTTTTTCACAACAAAGTAAGCAATATTTTAAGCAGCAACTTCAATGATTAAACTCAATAGAAAAAAATACAAACAAGCCTATGGTTGACAAAATAAAGAAAAGGCACACATACATAATAGAGAATACCAATCAATGTTCCCAAGATTCTGACGTATTTTGACTTGAACCTCCTCTCTAGATACTGAATATAGAGAAACATTATTTCTTTATTATCTTACATTACCAACAAATGTGTACAACTTTAGAATATCATTCTATATACTCATACATAAATCTGTCGATGATGGAAGGTCTGTAATACCATAAATAATTATGTTGATAGTATCTAGTATAATACATGACGACAAAAAGTTGTAATCCGGAACTCGGCAAATGTTGGTTTTCCCATGCTAATCCCCCGGTACAAACAAACTTTTACCGTTATAGCCTTACGGTGCACTACTGGTCACACTAGATTAGTCAATCTGTTGCACTTTTGTACGAGACTGCAACTGTAAAAGTTTGTTTGTATTCCCGGATTAGCTGGAGAAACCCAAAATATCTTTTATTATAAGGGATATTCAGGGAAAATAGTGACAAACATATCAAATGATCTCATGTACTCAAATCACGCTAAAATGACATGTCTTAAAGTTCCAGCAAGAATTTCTGTTGGAATTCTATTTATTTTAGGTTTGACGCTTAAATATATCTACATATGTTGAACAAATTTAGACACCAATAGAATCACCGAATAGTTTTAAAACAAGTCATTTGACTTGAACAAACCCTTGCAGTTACAACAGCAGATCTTGTGGATATTGTATGATTGGAGCAGGTCTAAGTCATTCATTTGACATGTTCTTTAACATTTCCAGAGTTCACTGTGACAACTATTGTGAAATCCTACAGCTCTAACCTGACCCACGCGAGTCAAGTTAGGAAACCACCATTTTATTCTTAACATAAAGAAAAGTTTTGTTTCTGTGACTGCCTAGTGTATGCATTTTGAGGGTATTTACAGAATAATGAATGAAAAATTCAAAACTAAGAAATGAAAATTTTGCCTGTGTCTCCCTTTGAAAGAATAATATATAGATTTTGTTGGTAAGTGTGACATAATATGACCAGAAATCATATATCTATTTATAGCAGATATTAAACTGTTCTAGAGTAAAAAGTATTATTTTCGTCGTATAAATGTTTATACTTGATCATTTAGAACTATTTCAACTTTTTTTTCAAGAAATATTTTATAAGAATATCCAAATGAATATCCAAATATCCAATTCATATTGTTTTCATTAATATTTAAAATACTTAAGGGAAGTGTGCACAATAATATTGAGCATTCCACTTTAAAAGTGTTCACTATAAAGTGATTTTATGCATAATTTCAAAAAAACCATTATATTAATATATATCTAAACAATGCTTTCTTTTGAAAACAAGTCCTTATGCACATATCTTTTGCAATACATGTATACTACAATGTTGCATGGTTGATTGTTAATGGACTAATCTGATGGTGTACCTCGTAAGCACTCGTTAGTTTAAGTGGATGAATCAACGCAACTACCATACCCAGTGTTAAAACATAGGAAATGAACCAGCCAAACGTTTCTATTATTATCTGTATACCGTATACATATACTTCAGCTGGTGTTCCTATGTTAAAATGTAAATAAAAAGAATTTAAAACAAAGACACTTACAATCCGTATATATTCATTTAAACAAATATTCATACTTAAACAAGAAGTTGTTGTACGTGTTAAGAAAGATACCATAATTTCAACATTGAGTAGACATTTTATCATGCAATAACAAAAGTCTAGTATATTGTATACGTGATTCCTCTATTTTGATGACATGTTTTCTTTTTCAGCATAAAAAAACTTTACTAAACATTATAGAACATTCTGATGTTTTCAACGCGACTTTGATTGTTTTATTCCTACGTTCTTTCAATTATGTTCCCTTTGCTAGACGTTTGATCTTTTATTTTCTGACTCCCAATCAAAGCAACAAATATATTAATTTTAAATGTTTTTATCAATCATGTTTTATTATCTAGTTTTTCAAAATAAATTCCTAAAAACAGATTCTTTCTACGGACTGACAGATAGACCAATCGACATGCAATAACCACCATATTATTTGAAGGTGGGTGTTGATATTACCTATCATTAGAATGGAAGATTCGAATGTGACCATCATCGATAAAGCAACAGGAAGAACTGACATTTTCCTATCGCCGACGAAAAACTCGGATGTAGTCCGCTGTTTTCCACCTGTGGCTGCATGGTAAACTCCAATTCCAAGTGAAATAAAAATTGTTATTAGGAATATAACGTAGTCAATTAGATGTAAAGGTAACTTTTCATTCGTCATTCTACTTTAAATTTATATCTTAAGAGAAACACAATGTCGGCATGAATATTTGTTTTATGTATTTGTCAGAAAGCCTGTCCAGAGTTACATAATGGGAAGATATATATTCAGATCCATCGGCGAATATTCATAAACTCCGGTCAAAGGACAATGATGACGTGACTATGTTTAATTCAACATATATATTATTATATTTTTATCTCTTAAAGAAGTCAACATGCTATGAGATGATAACGAATCATTAATTTAAGTACTGCTTTCCAGTTGATATATGCCCAGCAAGGTCTACGCAAGTCAATCTATTATTTGAAAATAAAATAAAATCATAGACCATGCAAATCACACCGCGTGACCACATTCGAAATCACCTTTTACGGGTTTCTCAATCCTCATGTAACCGTGGTCTGTGCATTTTTAGCCGGGGTCGGTACATTATTAGCCGGGGTCGATACATCTTTAGCCGTGGTCGCTACATTTTCAGAGCGGGGGTGGGGGCTGTGGTGATGTGATAGATTTATAGTCATCGATCTGCCAGTTGAGCTAAACATACTAGTTTTCATCTCTAATATGATGGTTTGACAATTTATCTGCATTTTTGAATAGATGGTGAACTTTAAACATCATTTATATTAATATGACAGATATATACATTTCATACTACAAAAACTATCTAAAGTATCTGATATAAGATAGCTTTAAGAAATAAGTTTAACACAATATAATAGAAGTGTTTTGAATACGCTTTCCGGCTTATATAACATATAAATTAGTTAAAAAAAGAATATTGCAACCTTCATTATTCAAATCATTAAATATATACTAATGTATGATAGAATAACGAACATTGTATTCTTCTGATCGATCACTTTCCCGCCTGAATGGAGACTTATCTGTATGTCGTCTGTTTACACAATGTCTTAAACCAACCTGACGTTTGTTTAATGGAATGGGGGTAAACGATTTTTGATTCGGTGAAGAAAATAGAAGCCAATTTTGTACTAAACAAAGTATTGTTTATTTATGGAAACCAAAACAAGGAAATGAGATTTTTATGAGAATCATATCTGGATATACATAGATTTTATACGGTAAGAAAATCTTATATTTTTGTTCTATTTGATATTATTTGTTTATAGATATATCAGTACACTACTTTTTTCAAGTAGGAACTTATTTGTTAACGTTTATTGTGATTTCAATAGCAGGACAATGTAACTATAGTCATTTGATATATACCATTATAGAAAATACACGAACCATTTGTTTCAAATACACTCATTTCATAAACAGAATATAAAATCAATTACACTAATTAAAAACAAATACCAGATATGGACACACTTATTTACTTTCATTGTGTCGTAGAAGTAGTCATATGACAACAACGATTAACTCTACTCAGATATTTTTCATAGTTTTCATATCATTTAAACCTGATATTTTCTTTAGTTTCTATTTATCAAGTAATTTAATAAAAATACAACTTAAGTGCTTTGTTACAAAGATACACAGTCATAACAACGTATTCACGTATTCAACAATATTACATTTATAGTTAAATCAATTTTTTAACTTTTCACCTATTGTGATTTTTTTTTCAATGAAAATTAAACCTTGAAATGAGACCTGTCAACGGCTGAATAGCAAACTTTATTAGATATGAGATTAAACCGATAAAAGCTTTTTGAACGGCGAAGGTTTCGTATAATCATTGTAATTTAACAAGTATCGAAAATTGTTAAGTAATATTTGAACACATTCTGTACAAAAGTTGTGTTACAAGTTATCGTTTAATTTGTATCTAATGTAAAAAAGGTGTTTGTAATGAGTTGTTCAGGATAAAATGCATTAACGTAAACTTTATTTATGATCTTCATACAATGTCTCTGAAAGAACAAGACTTTTTCCTTTATTGTCTGCTAATATCTTGATAACATTTCTCACCTTTCCTTTTTTGCCGACAATAAAATGTAAGATTTTGCATGTATTATTTTCAAATGAGAAATCGGTTGTATCTTAATTTTCGAAGACAATGTTTATGACGGCTATGTACATATTTTTTTTAAATGCATAATAATTACTTGTGATTTTATATCACTTGAGAAATGAATGAGCTTGAGTATGGTGATACATTTGATACTAACGGAGAAACAGATAGTTTGTTGATAAAAATGTATGGCAATAAATTATTAATTATATGTAAATATATCATATATATTTAGCACTTTATAATTATAATTATAATCTTTATATTAAAGATTGAAAAATGTTTTATCACACACATAACTTATTCGTTTATGTGTTATTCAGTATTTTGTTTAGATCAACTAAACACAGAAAGGTACTAGTATAGTGTGACCTTAGCGTGAACCAGATCATAATACTATTATTAGCTGATCTTAAACTCTTATTTCTGCCTAAATATTTAGATATACAGTTTACTCGGGAGGCCTTTTTAAATATGATTTATACGTTTTCTGTTTACATTACAATAAAACATCACTTTTTTTCTCTAAAGATTGATACGAAGATAATAATGGATACAATAGCAACTAAAATATCTTGAATAATGACACTAATTACACATGTTGACATTATGAAGATTCGGACAAGCATTGTGGCATGATTCGAAAGCATTATCTTTTTATATATCTTTTTTATATACTTTATAACCGTTTATGTATTTGAATCAACTAGACATACTCAGAACACTAAAGCACAAGTACAATATAAATCAAAATATCAGTATAACATTAAGATTGTCCTCTCCCGATTTATTTTATTTTAATGAGTGTTTACAAATTTAAACAAACCTAATGTAAAGACCTACCTACCCGGTACACTGAATTGTTTACTTTTGACATGCTGCTTTTAATTCACTGATCATCTTGGACGGTTGCTAAGTCAAGCTTAACAAGTTTGTTTGCTATAAGATAGTAATGTTTGTAGGAGATTTGAACTAATATCTAGACTAAAGTACATAATGAACATCCTGAATTGGAGTTAAGAACTCCAGTATTACGATCAATAAACACATTGAACACTTGCTGTTTATTATCAATTTCAAGACATGTAAATGATATGTTTTATTGGTTTGATATTGCGACCTCAACATTTTAATAGAAAGACAACAACGTTAAAACATTCAACGAGTCATAACGGAACTTTCCCATCATGCTAAACATGGCCTTTCACATGTTATGCTGTAAATCAATGATAAAGGAGTTTACACTTGTATTTGTTCTTAGCATTGTGTAAGTGAAAAATAAACAGTAGGTGGTTATTTAAAAACTTGAATTATTAAAATATGTACAGAGGTTAATGACCATATAATATACATATATACCAAATATTATTAATATATATAATACTTAGTCATTCATAAATGAAAAATGTATATATAATTATACATTTTAATCAGAATTTTAATTATATTTGACAAGAGTCACACTGGATATCTATCTCTTAACTTAATATTCATGAGTTTAACCACCGTAAGAAAACATCTGTAGATGTTTCTAACTTCAAAACGTTACCAATTTAAGCTAAATGTTAAATTCTGCTTCAGCCGGTGCTAGAGGGCATGGACGGTAACTTGCACGTTTCAGTATCGTCCCCGAATAAGCTCAATCAAACCGAAACCTGCAATATGTTTCAATTTTGCCGGTCTAAACTTTCTTTATCGATCTTCTTTCTTATACGTTTCTCCAAATCACCAGTTTTAGGGAAGTCAAAGAAATGGACACGAGAGTGGTATATGCCATCAAGTACTAATTCATTACATTTATCGTGCGTGCTTTGTCTTTCAAGTTGATAAGTAGATGCAACAGACTGTGTAGAGCAACTGTTTAGAGATAATAATATAATCTAATATTAGCAGGCTACTCAGAGGTGGTCTAACCCTATATAGCTAGCATAAGCCTGAAAATATTGGCGCCAATTCTAGATGAGTTGAATAAGTGGAAAGTGTGCTACTATTTTAAGGAATAATCAGGAACTGTACTTCATGTTAGATATAAAGGTGACATTTTGTAAACCCGTGATAATCTGATCAAATAAATGATGAAAAGAATTTGGTATTATTTACCATTGCAAATTATTAGTTTGGCCTAAGTTGAAAAAGCGTTTAGAACCTAAATTGCTATGTTAATGTTAGCTTTGAATTAAGTAAATAGTCAATAAAGAACTCTATAAGCAAAATGCTTCAAATAATTTCCAGTTTTAGCTTAGATATTTATTTAATATCGGGCAGTTTATGGTTCAGTCAGGATAGTTTGGTAAGATGAAAACGCCCACAATAGAAATATACCAGTATTCATCTATCAAATTTATACAATATATCAAAGAAAGTGTATTGAACTCATCCTTTTGATAGAGGAAGATTAGTTTATATCATGATTAAAGAGCGGAAAAGTTACCATAAAATGTTTTTATTCTATAATTTCACCATCTATATTAAACATCTTGCAACCCGCTGTGATTTAAAGGCTTAATCTCGTTTTGACACAAGCAGATTCGAACGTAGACTGTAATATTGCCTGTATACTTAGATTGTCATGACACTCACACATTAACACGATTTGGAAATATAAATTGATGTATTGCTGATTGAACGGCTTACATTTTATAACTATAGACACATATAATTGCCTATCAATGAAATTTGCATCTTTTGTTCAACTTATATATATGCCCGAGTGGTTAACGCGATAGACTAGTAATATAAGGGTTGCTGACCGCATGGATTAAAACCCTTTCCTTGAGCAAGAAACTTTACATCAATTGCTCAGTACTGGTTGGTTCCAGGAACGGATTCGAGAGTGTTTTAATAAGCTTATAGCTTCCAACACAATCGAACTAAAATAAATTTGTATAAACTAACTTATATATACCCCAAAAGTCAGAAGCAACTTTAAATCGTGGAATTTAATTTTTGTTTTCTGTACAATTTTTAAGTCTTACTAATTTTATAGGCAGACAATAAAGACCTGTCTTGAGGAAGAAATAATGCTTCGGTGATAAAACAGAAACACTCGTTAAATACATATATGCTGTACTTTATTCTTAACATTACTTAAATATTAAATATCGCTAATTTTCATTTCCCATATATTTGAATTAAACGTTTATATAAATCAAACATTTAACAAATCTTAGAATATATCATGGGTGTAAACCTTTAAATTTAAATAGACATTTTATAGTACTCCTATGTTTGGATGTAAACAAAATTTCCAAAAGAAAATTCTACAATTCTGAATAAAATATCATAACTATTTAGCTCTTTAGCTATGATAAATAGAAAGATTCAGTTGTAGGTGTAATATAATGTTAGGATATCGTAGAATCGAGGAAGTACAAGACAATGATGATTGTCAAACTCCCCCAAGGTAGGAGTTCATTTAAATAATATAAATGCAAATTTAAAGACATCTCCATGTTTGTTTGAGCGTTCTATACTTTTTTCTTATGTTTATTTTTCTACTTTAAATTCTGAATTCTGACAAAATACCTCTTTTGGTGCGAAGAGGTGTACGGAGTATGCACATTATACATGTAACAAAATGATATGGTTTCATGCACCTTTTATTCTTTGATAATTGTTGACATTGTTCCCAGGAGAGACGTGTTGTTATTGCTCTTTATATATTTGGATACATAATGTATTGGGATGTTACCCTAAAATTCTCTTCTCGATTTTTAACTTTGTATAATTATGTTTGGAAAAAAAATACTGTATGGTAATTGAGACTAAAATAGATTTTAATGAAATTATTTTCCTTCTTCTGATGATTTTTTTCAAATAAAAATGAAGAACAAGAAAGGTTTTATTTTGGGAAAATCTTTAACGTAGATGTTCGACGATTAGACAATATTTTGCTTATATGTAAAAATGTTAAGAAACAACAACAATAATTAACATGTGCTATTAAAGTCAAATATTATATTAAATTTTCTTTTAGAAATACAACACCATAAGCTACAGACTTAAACAAAATATATTGTTATAAAATCTAATATTGTAAAAAAATCTGGAAACAGAGTGATCCTTCGGAAGCATAAATCACAACAGAATTACATGAAAATTGCAGACTCAGTTTTATTGATTCTGTATGTAAGACTCGTCTCTGGTCTATTGAACAACAGATGCATTTTCAATATTGAAAATTTTAAACTGAATGCCTAATTGAAAGAACTATTGTAAATTTCCAGCCAGAAATTAAATATATTTGTATATTTATTATTACCTATTGCAACATGTCAATTTTTCTGTTTGTGAAACAACAAAAGTTTATTGATTGTATGAAACAGTAAAATAGTATAATCAAAACATCATGTAGCAGTGAATATAAAATGATTTTTTGACGAAATTTTCAGTTTCCCACGAACTGGTGATTCTGATATTGAGAGGCGTAAGAAGCGAAAAGAGTTTCAACAAGTCGAGTCCACCAACGCCTGGGATCCTGCCGCAAGATATAGCAACGATCGGGAAAAGGGACAAGCTAAATTAATAAATAAGGAACCGGTCTACTCATACAGAGACGGAGAAAACACGAGAATCGTTAGACATACAAATTCGGAACCGGTTAATAAGTACAGACAGAAAGAAGACCAAAGAGGTGATAGATATACAAACAGGGAACCCGTCTATTCATACCGAGAGGAAGAAAACGGAAGAGAGGACAGAGACACCAGTCTGAAACAACCTCATAGATACAGAGAGGCACACGAAAAGGGAGAACCAGTTCATTCAGATATGTCAAACGTATGTACCTTATATACACATATTCAAATTATATACATCACATTTTAAGAATTGTTATATTGTTATATATTTTTTATTAATTTCTGTAAAAGGATGTGCATAGTGATATTTTTTACGTATTCTGGAAATTATTCTATCTCAAGTACCCAGACAAATGTTTTGTATTTATGACCAGAAATTCTTTAGATAATACAAAAAGAGTATAATTTCAAATAAATGACCATAACCATATTTAAAGGTACCGATATTTAAGATTTATAATGATTTATATAAAAAAGCACTCTTATTCAAAACGAGTGAAATTAGAAATCATTTTCGTTATTGAAGGCCATTTCAGTAAATGTTATTTTAAATTCTTTCACCATGTAAATAGTATAAAGCAGTGTATACATAATAAGATATAATTGCTCTCAGATTTTATGGTCACCCTTTACCCTGTTTTCTTAAACAATTGTGAATTGGGTTAATCTTATTTCTACTTATTTCAAGTTCACACCGTTTTGATAGTGTCAATATTAACACAGTCAATACATTATACATTATTAAACCACTTTTCATGCCAGTTTTGACTATACTACGCTACTTTACTCGCTCGACATATTGAACATGCATATACACTGGGTTTTTATACTGGGCACAAATAAACTAAAAACCTAATTCAAATTGTATTACTATTTTTGTATTGCTTAAAAGTGTCATAAAGTCTTTAACTTGAAGTGACATTATGCCCATCCAAAGGGTATACTGTGAGTGAATAGTTGACAATCAAAATAAGTTAACATCTTGTCATAATTCCTTTCAATTATTAACTTCACATGAACGATAAGTAACACAAGTGGCCCAATGTAATTTCTATAAATATGAATCGACGTTCAATTCATAAAAAAGAGCGAGGCAGTCTTTTTATATTTCTGGCGGATTTACGTTTTGCCATGAACAATTTCCACTGTCAACTGTTTGTCAATCATCATAAAAACAGTCTATCTAGTGAAACATATAGTCAATTCAGCTCAAATTGACAATGAAAAAATGAGCATAATATTAGTTTAATGGTAGAGTAATACGTATCCCATACTCGAAGAATTATCCTGTTTTCTCGTAATATCGTGGGACTAAGGACTTAAATGAACATTTCGATATTGGAAAGCATTAGTACTGTGTTACAACAAATTTTTTTATGGCAAATTATATGTGCAATATCATCTAAATCATGGTCCTTAAACGCTTTATGAATAAAAACCTGTAATATAGGCTTACTGATATTTTATGACAGGTATTATCTAAAGAGGTACTTTAAAAACGGTATTTGCAGATTCGACGTTCAAAATATCTTAAATAGATTTAAATCTAAATCTAATATAAACAAATCAGACAGTTTTCAATTGGTAGTACGGTATGAACAATTTATACCTTATCCAATATTTGAATAATTGGAATAAACGCTTTCCTGCCACATTTGTGAAGTAGTGGTTACACGAATAATTTAATAAGTAAATAGCAACTTTTACTATGAATAAACTGAGCAAAATAGTTGACATGTTGTCATGAAGATTGGTGTTTACACATACATAGATATAATTATAAAACCAAACAACTGCCAACTTTAAATGAAAATATTTATATAGTAAAATCTTTGAAAAAAGACCACCTTTAGTGACTCTTCGAGAACATTTAAAATGAACTCGTGAAAATTTAGAAAATTATTCTTTAAATAACAAAATTAATAACAATTTTGTTCAAATAATGATTTTTTGTTGAATAATGTTATAAAAATCGGTTGCTCTTTTTAAGAGTCTCACGTATGTAATTCAAGGTCACATAAGGACAAAATAAATATTTGCATGTTTGACTTGTAACCAGGTTCAATGGCCGTAAATTCGAATACTTGTGTGCTATCTTTACATTGTTTAACAATGTCTATACCTCTCGTATGAATTCCTACTGATATATGAACCTATTCAATACTAAAATAAAATTTGATGAAAAATCGAAATAAGAAGACAAGACTGTGGCTTTTAAATTATTATCGCATCGGATTGTTTAGTTCAAATTCTTACAGTGTTTAATTAACACCACAAACAAGAACAAAAACACCAACAACATATGTGTATAATAATATTGCAGGTTTGCTCTTGAAAGAATTATATTCAAGTATGAGCAGTCAAACAGTATTCTTCAATTCATGTATAATATTTTGACGAAACATATACTGTAAAGTGTGAACTATTTTCATTATCCAGCTAGCTTACGGAACATTATTGGTTCTAGTCAGGTGCCGATTGTGCCTGCAATAATTCACGGAGGGGCACCTGAGGTATTCCTCCACCAGTAAAGCTGGAAATTCGCCATATGACATATACTGTGTTGGTGCGACGTAACTCGCCCCCCTCTCCACACACACAAACAAATCCTTGCCAATTTTGATAATGACAAAAATAAAGCTGATAACTATATTAAATGTATAATTTTCTTTCAAAGTTCTTTTTTTTTAAATTGAACTGAATTTCACTTGTTCAAAAGTTAAAACGAACGTTACTTATTATGTACAGATAAGGTTTTACACCACACTTATCTTTTATGAAAATTATGACAACATTTACCAAAAAGATCGAATCATACCTAGATGTTATACATTTTCTATTGAACTTATGTATCTAAATGCATCAATATACACTTGAAGGTTTTGTTTGATAAGCGTATTTACCTTTTAATAAATATAATATTAGAAAGTTAAGGATTGAATAAGTTAAAATCCTTTATAGTTCAAGTCAGCATGTATGCATAATTTATTCAGCTTTGAAATTGCCATATTCATTGACTTTATCGATATGCAGTATTTCTTTGTAAGAAATGATAATATTTGCATTTGTATACATTTCAGCCGTTCTTAGAAAAGGGCTATACTATGCCCTACCAAATATCACAAAACAAATATAGAGAGGTATTTGTGTCTGTTGTTGTATTATGTTGGTAACACGTTAGCATGTTATATGTTTAAATAAGTTTAGAAAATTATTGTCAGCTATGTTTTGAGTTTGGTACTACGGTAGCACTGTAATCCACATTTTGTATAAAACGCATTTTTTTTGTTACCGTGTCATTTTACAAAACATATTTTAATGCATTTTAGCATTTTAATTAACTTATTTACTGGTGTATCGATGTTTTAGAAATTTTAATTCTAGGCTATTTATTATGTTTATTACTGAAATCTTATAATATTATATTCTTAGTGGGATTTGTAAGAAAAACAAGCAAAATTTTAATATGCTTGTGATTTACTTTGTAGCGATTTTTTTTTTATAAAAAGTGTAATAACCCGAGAACTTTGGTACAAACATTTTCTTATGCACGGTCTAATTTTATATTATGTTGTTAATGTGGTAAAAGTTATGAAAGTTGTAACGATGCTTGCCTTGACATAGTTTTTTTTCCAGATAAGTTAAACTATCAATATCATTAATGCATTTGCAAATGACACTGTTTTACCCATGACTGTAAAGATGTGTTTAATAATTCATTAAATAGTCTGAGCCCAACAAACATTTCATTTCAGAAGAAAACATAAATAATCAGACTTTCCAGTCATCAATTAAAATAGTTACAAAAAATATCATGATTTGGATCATGCTTCTAACAACTGAACATTTTAATAATAAAAAACATCACCATGTACTTGTGCACATTTGACGTGAAATATTTCACTTGTTTTTTTCTGTTGAATTTATAGTCACAATTTATGATAGTTGTCTTGAGTTACAAATTAGAACAATAGTAGTTTGCAAGTTATGCTACACAAATGTTTCTGATTTAAAAATAACAATTTAGTATTAGACATTATGTAAATAGGTGCTGCTAAAACCTCTGTTTTCAAAGTATTGTAAACTTATAAAAAAGATTCAATAAGGAACATTCGGAAACTGTTGTATAAGATTATGATACATATTAAACTAATGTCTTCTATCAAGTTCTGTTTTCATAAAAATAAGTTCATATCAAGTAATTTGATGATGATAAAATATAGCATTTACCAATCTGTTATTTCAAGTCAAAATATAATAACAAGGATTAAAAATACCACAAAATATTTATGCATAATTCACTAACTAATATCAAAACCATCACTGCATTACAGCAAGTGTTTGGGCATTTACCAAAGTACAGCTACCCTCAGGAGAAGCCCGAACCCCTGGCTGGAAGGGTAAATATCATATATAGACGCTAGTTACATATTTAATAGAATACAATTCAACGTATTCAGCCCAGTAAAATGATTCATATATGTTAAGCAATAGTTATACATGATATTCTCCGATGTTTTAATTACTACTGGTACGTGTTTCTAACAATCTGGGTTATAATTTTATCATTTCATTTCAATATATAACATTGTAATAATTTAACAGCATAACATGCATAACAGAACAGTACAATGATTATAACATAAAGAAAGCGATATGACTGTTGTAGCTAACAATGCTATTTTTTATTAGAATATACCACCAAGAAATTTCCGACCGGGCAGCTATACACCACCAAAAGTAAGTTCATAAAATGCAAGGTGGTGGTAACTAACTGGCTTTACACGCACACATAGTAAAAATATACATATTTATATTGAGAATATTTGAGTTCCTATTTTTTAAAGAAGATACGTTGGTGTATTGTTTTGAAGGCATACATTTATAACTATACCATGTACCTATAATGCTGCACAATATTCTTATTTATTATCGTTTTATCTGGCGTTAGTGTGTTACATTTTATAGCGGTGTTGGTGTCGTACAGAGAGCATGGGTAGAAATATTGAAAACTGGAGAGAAATATCTCCATTGTCTTACCTGGAGGAAATGATTAAAATGTAAAACAATACTTGAATTATCAAATCAATCCTTGCAAACTATTCAGTAGAATTGAAATCTATCAACAATGGAAGTGAAGTGATATTAGGTTGAGAAATAAATAAAAAGTACAAAGCTAAGTGTTAAGTCGATTTAGCGACTGCTGATAGCGTAACAAAGCATCAGTAAACTGAAACAATATTTTTATATTACCATAAAGTTGTAGTAGAGAAAGTAATACGATTACAGTTTCATTATATGATAGTTCTTTCTTTCTTTCTTACTTAGATTACGAAATGACAGATTATGTTGTAATGCATGAAAGTTACTGATTTCTTAATGCCGTGTTTATAAAATTTCGTGATTTATTTCACATTTATACATGTCAAACTAAAATAATTGCAAACATGCTTTTTGATATAATACTTATGATCTCGAAGTTCTTTTATCTGTTATGATTATTGTCTGTATAACTTATGTATTATATTCTAAAGTTGATATATCATTAAGCTAAACATTAACATGCAAATATGAAATGGATCACATAATATATTCTACCAATTTTGTCAGGTTCCTTTATTCCTTTAAACCACTTTAGACTTTTTGAGAATATTGTTTTACATCAACATTATTTTATTAACATTAAAGTATATTTCAAGTAAATGTTACACATACAAGGGAAAACAGAATCCAATTTTTAAAGTTAAGAATCATACTATATTACTATAATACATGGTCATACAACGGACCAGGAGGTAGAATCGCGCAAATTGGGCATAAATTCTTAAAGGTAAGGAGATGAATATACAATTATCTATTAAAATTCATGGTAATTAGGTATACTTTGAAGATCAAAATAAAGTGGACATCCAGCAAATATAGGCAAACCTTCAACTTCAATGTTCGAAATATTGATATAAGTATATTTTATCATAGTTTCAGGACAGCACACCAAGAAATCCGTTCGAGTCGCCACGACAACCGTTCCAGCAACATGGTCAAACACATCACCATCGACAAGAGTTTGAACAACGACCACAACACCAGCAGCAATACCCATACCAGTATGAACAAAGGGTTTGTGTTTTACATATATATCTAACATATAAACATGTATCTTTCTTACTTTTTATCAATATCTCACCTGTCATATAATAAAATGTTAATAATAGAAACCCGTGTACGATTAAATTAATGAACCATTACTTCTCGAAATAAGTCTTTTCTTGAATTGAGAAAAATATATGAAAAAAAGAAGAGAAAAACATACCTATTTGAAACTGCTACAATGCAATTCAAGTGTCTTTTCATAATCATAAAACAAATGGACTATAAATAAAAGTTAATGCATTGTCGTGCACGGGTTGTAATATTTGAATTTGTTGCCAATATACTATTTGTGTGTTCCTATTGTAGTACCATTCTTAAAATAAAATGTTGTTGTTTCTAATATACCCTTAACACAAGCATTGATATGAACTGAGATAATACCTAACTTTAAAATACCATCATTTTGATATTAGACCTATAGGTCCGGACGGCCAGATCTAGGCAATGAAAACTTCGAGGGCTATTCTGTTCCGGTAAGACGAGACTTATTTTCAGATATTAACATTGGCTGTGAATCGTATCTAAAACGTTGTTTCCATTTTTTATTGTTTACCATTTGAATTCGTATTAGAGGCTGAATTATGTGCTAGAAATTCTTTTAAACGTTCTTTATGTATATGTGTTTCTATATTAGGCTAATAAATGTGTTTCTATATAAGCAACTCTATCTTTACTTGCTACATATCTATAGTTTTACCTTTTTGTGTAGTTTGATATACGTACATGTATAAAATTATACAGGTTACAGCAAATTGTTTTCAAATTTTAGTATCCACAAGAGCCTATCAGACACAGACAGAATTATTATGAACCACCTCCTGAAATTGGTGTAAGTATTTTAAAAGAGATTTTACTACACAGGCATAGACAATGGGTAACAAATGCCAACGGTATGAAAAGATTCAGATTAATTTGTCCAGATAGAAATTGTTTATAGAAAATTGTCCTAGACAAGCTACCTGAGATGTTTAAAAATAACACAGGTTTTCTTAATAACTTTATACTGCTATACAGCATTTTAATAAAAAATAAACACAATGTGTTTTTCCTTTTTCCATTTCAACAAAACGTTTAGTTTAGTTTTGACGATAACTATGAGCAAAGTTATAAGCTTATCGAGTCATTTCGAATGAACTCAGGGTACATCAATTGGATTAAACGGCGGCATTAACGTCAGTACTCTCATTATTTTTAGAGGTATACACGTCGTTTTAAGAAGAGCTCATTTCTTCTCACAGTATTCCTTGTACAAAAATAATTATCGGATTACAAACAATTCAAATGCAAAATCGTGAATTTTCTGTGACTGTATGTTGACTGGTGAACCTTTTATAACAAAAGTTTTACGTTATTTGTCTACGTAATTTTTGAACATCTATTGTACATTATCCTCAGGAGTTGCTTGTACTGCTCCACAATCTGTATCTTTATAAATTGCACGAGAAAGTGTCATCGCCTACCATGATTGTATTAGTGTAGATATGTCACGTATTATATATTTCGTGAAGAAGCTTAGAGACTTATTAAATCGGGATCAGCCATCTTACAGATTTTTACAATGTCTACAATATGACAGTCTCTATACTTTATAACAAATTTATAATATGAGTAAATTGTTTCAACTTTTAATTTTCTGTCTCAATATTAAAAATAAATATTAATTAATTATCTAATTTATCTATGATGTATCATTGTTGTTTGATTCCAGTATCGGGTAAAGGTATATATTCAATGTATTTCATTATTTCTTTAATTACTAATATTTCTGTGTGAACTCATACCATTTCATTTATGTCTTGACATTAAATGTAGTCAGGTGGCATGTTATTCATATTAAACTAAAATTGATCATTTTTTTCAAACACATATCGTCACAATATAGATATTAAAACAAGATAAACTTGAAAAAACCTATCTATCCTTCCATCTATCTGTTTCAATGATGCTTTCCTTAACAGTAATGGTGACAAGACATTGACGAAATAAGAAACAACACTAAAAATGTCAAAAACGATATCAAACTGAAATATTAACATTTTGTGTATATTAATTTGAAATGTGAATATCATTTCTTTTTTTCAATTTAAGTGTCTGAAAGGGTTTTGGTAATAATAAAACTAATGTCTATTAATTTCATTTCCATTTTACTAAATCATTACTTTAAGCCAGTAATTTGTTTGGCAATGTTTGGTTGAAGCTAAGGTCTAGAGAACTGTTGCAGTGTATATTTTACCCTTTTACTGCTTCATCTTTTCCTTTAACTAAACGAATTGTGGTACTGACAAAACAAACTAACAAATGATACTGTTACACAATGAAAGCAAGTTAACCTTATTGAGAATTCTTTCAACAATGAACCAAGTATTGAAATTGTAAGAGAGACAACTCCTTTTGCTTGTATAGGAAAATCTTCATGTTTTACAAAAATTGCTGAATTTCTTTAACAGATATTTGACGTGATTGCATTTGTACTTATGTTTACAATATCAAAGATCATGTATTCAAACTTAATGAGCAGCAAACAGTAATGAGTTTGTTCATGCTGCAGAGACGTGCATCAGTAATCATTTATTTTAAAGGGATTAAAATGAGCCTATCTGCATTAAAAGTTTGCATTTAATTTTATTTTTAAATTAAATTAAGATTAAAATGTTGATAATCTATTGCATAACATGTTATGTTTTTTTGTGGGGTTTTAAAATACCCAGAATACAATAAAATTGGTCCCATGTATTAGAATTTTTTTGGTAAATATAATTAATGAAAATTTAATTTTTTTCTCTTTAAAAAGAAAATTCTTGTTTTTAAATTTATTAAAATAAAAAAACCCTTTTTTAAATGTTGGGGGTAGGGACCCTTCAAAGGGGAAACAAGAATGATGAGAGAAAGAAATTTCCCCTTTAAATTATTTTTTTTTGGGTTTTTTAGAAAACAATGTTGGAGAACGAAAAATTGATATATCCTTTGCTTGCCCTTTTATTTGAAAAACAATAGTTTTAAAACCAAAAACTTGACATTCTGTTTTGTGAAAAATAACATGTGGGTTAAATTTCTTATTGTAATGCACTAATCTGATAAATTAGAGATTAGACAGAGATTCGATCTATTATCATGTTGCCAAATGGATATTTACTATTTTTATGATAATTTCCAAGGATAAAATGTCCAAGCACTGATGTTATAACATCTGTTAGGCCAGGAATGTGTCCACAAATCACATTCGTGCACAAGTTTTTATGAATTTTGTGGGACGGAATGTGATCAATTCGTCAAAATGACTTTTGTGACGAATGTTGGGATTGACCAAAAATTCGGGTAAAAATTGCCAATCACAAACGTCACAAGCAAAATTGAGAAATTTTTTAAACAGGGAATCACAATGGTTCAAAGTTTATTTTTCAATATGTGATACATAGGAATAATCAATAAGGACAACTCGTGGTTATAATCAGTGCGATAGTACAAGGGCGACAATGCAATAAATCGATATTGTGATGTCGACATCACGATACCAATATCTTTTCACCACCATTGCATTATCGCCATCGTACTAACTTGTTGCAATATCGTATCGTCGGCATTGTATTGTCTTCATAGAACTGTCGCATTGTCGTAATGGTATTGCTATCAAGTCGTCTTACGTTCTCGAAACCTTCAAAAAATTTTGGTGACAATGCACGGCATAGTATCAGACTTCAACTGGAAGTGATCTTTTACCTCTGTGAACCCTCAAATTTCTTCCCACCATACAGCGACAGTCTAAAGGAATCTCACAGACTTAATCTTAGTTTCAGTACAAATTATGACCATATTTACACCAATGAGACCATATATGATTGTTTGGGAAGTAGCTGAGACCCCCGTTGACTTTCAGGATATCTAATTAGAGATTAGGACCTTTTGACATCAATGAACCTTTTTTGGTCTGACAGACTTTTGACTTCCGCAGACTTTCAGGAATCTTGGTTCAATTAAAGAGTATGACATTTTGACATCTAGGAACCTTCTTTCCTGAGACGATTTTGCAAGTCTGTGCCAATTGCTTGCAGACGCTCTATGGAACTTTCCATATCTATTCCACTAGTAATAATAATATAGTTAATTCGTTTAAACAGATCGTGTCTTTGTGGCGGGGCCGCTTTATCGTTTCGACGCGTCTTAGCTTTTTTCGCCTTTTATGATTAGATAGTTTCAAACGACGGTGTTTAGTGAATTTTATAGAGGATATTTGTTTGTTTTGAGTGAATATGAAATATATTTCACTGAGAAGTGAGAAAAAAAAATGAAATATGTATCACGAGCGCGTAGCGCGAGTGAAAATATGAACATTTTCTCACTTCGATGTGAGATATAGTTCATATTCACGAAAAGCAAACACATTTTCTTTTTATTTTATGTGCCTTTTGAAAAGTGCTTTTAGACCGTTTACTACTGAAGCGCGGAGACTACGCGCGCGTAAACAATATGACGGCAAACGTTAACGCTGCAAGCAAAATAATCCTTATTTATTTATATTTCTTTTTGCGGTCTCATTGTCAACAATCTTACAAAATTACGGACATTTGAATCGAGAAATATGTCATTTAGAATGAAATTAAACAGTTATTTTTAATGCATGTTTAGGGAATCCAGACTTATAAATACGTACGCAGAGTGGGCGTGGCTTATATCACCCAAATCTATATCACCACACTGTGACTGATATAATATGAATATATTTCATTGATAGAACAGTATTTCATTAGTTAGCATCAAATAAATATAGGATATTACATGAGTGTCTTTTCATATTGAATTTATTAAACGAGTTTGATAAAATAATAAATTGCGAGGCTCTGCCGAGCATTTTATTATTTTATTCAACGAGTTTAATAAATTCAATGTTAAAAGACACGAATGTAATATTCTTTTTATCACAGGTAAACTTTTGCCGCCGAAAAAGCGAAAACTTGTCGTTATTTTCCCTTATAAAGCGCGGTAAAATTAAGCAACGTCCGCTAACGTAGATAGATATTTTATTTCCTTCAGTATACATGAAGAGCACGTCAAAACGATATTACACTAGTGTAATATGGAAAATATGTAATGGCTTTATTCCACTCCCGCGACTTCAAACGTGATAAATAATTATTTTGTAGTTAAATGCTGAAAAGTGTTGTGTAATACAGAATGTTGTTGCGCGCGACTGTATAGTACAGAACGTTATTAAACATATCAAGTAGGATAGCATGTAAGTTGTAATGTAATGTAATATTATCGTGTAGCAATTCAAAATATTGAAAAGGACGCATAATCAAACATTACGAATTGTGTTATATGTCCACACGGTTTCAATAAAACACTTTGTTGCTGATTTACGCCGTGTCTTTTTTGTTTCGTTTCTTCGCCGCGAAGATTAGAAAAAACGAAAAACCGAAAGACACGACAAATCCACAGTTTGTCGTATCTTCGCTTCTTTTTTTCTATTTCTTGCAGCGAAGAAATGAAATACGTCAGAATAAATGCGACAATACAGAGATAAAATGTGCCGTGTTTCCGCCCTAAATCTGTCGTATCTTTGATGTTTCGTTGTCCTTGCCAGGCAGATCAGGAAAAGACGAAGGCACGACAAAATCACAGTTTGTCTTATCTTCGCATTTTCGTTTTTTCTAATCTTTGCAGCGAAGAAACGAACACACGATAGAATAAATGCAACAATGCGGCAGATAAAATGTGTCGTGTTTTAGCCTTTAAGCTGTCGTATATTCGGTTTTTTTTTTCGCTTCTACGTATTCGATTTTACGTTTCTTTGTTGTTTTTTAATTCAGTTCTTCGTGTCCCGGTTTTACAAGCGCATACGCACATCAACTACAAAATAACAACAAATTTTTCGGTTTATCGGCTCCAAAATTTAACCTGTGATATGAATAAAATAATAAAATGCTCGGCAGAGCCTCGCAATTTATTATTTTATCCAACTCGTTTAATAAATTCAATATGAAAAGACACTCATGTAATATCCTCTATATTGGCCTACGAGACCGCTAAAGCCCTCGGGCCAATACCTCTTCTTGGCCAATATTGCATTCAGACACACTAGACCTGTGTAATAACCTATAAAATACGCAACGGCAAACACTATAAATAGAAAAAAAATGTGAATTTAAACGTATATGAGTTTTGTCCATGTAATATGACTGTGGTCAGGTGACGTGATGCGCCAAATATCGATATCGGTCCGACTTCCGGTTGGGCCGATATCGATTTCCACTTCGGGTTGCTAAAAAAACGCGGAAAGATTGACAATTTTATAAGAAAAAAATACGTTTAACTGAAATATATCTTGATAAAAAAGCAAAATTGAAGAAACACTTGAAAAACAATCTCCAAACAGTTAATAACGCCAAAATATATTAAAAACAAATGTTGTGAGGAAATGACGTCAACGTCATTAGACGACGTCAAAAGTCCCTCGCTTTTTAAAATAAATTATACATTGTCGCTGAACAATGTTTTCAAACGATTTTTTTTAATTCTAATAATGAAAACCAAAACATAAATGAGCACATGCAATAAAAAGGTTATAGAACAGGTCTGGTGTGCCTTAATGCGATATGGGTCTACAAGATCGGTATTAGCCCTCGGGCTCTTTTAGTGGGCCAAAATCGAATAAAGGCACATCAGACCTCTGTAATAACCTATAAATATATCCGCCTCTAAACCAATGAAAATTCGTGAACTTTATTAGCAGTATTATAATTGCGGCTAGTATTGTGCAATGTGAGTTTGCTTTTAGTCTTCTTGGAATCCATGTTGTTATTCATTACTTTATATTCTAGCATAAAACTGCCGTTATAACCATGATTTCGGGGTGTTTAACAGGACCAAAAAAGGTCTTTTAACAAGGAGATTCTAGCGCTCATGCGCTGTTAAAACACCTTTTTGATATACGTTTTCCGTGGCACAGCGTCAATACATTGTGGCCCGGACGCTGCTTAACTAAAACGGAAATGACGTCACGGTCACATACAACGCTGACGTTCCCGTGCAATCCGAGGAAAATCAGTGATGTTGCTTGATTGTGTATGGATTGTGTTAGATTTATGCATGCTTTATGCTAGAATAGCGTTAACGAATGATTGTTCCGTGTCATAACAACTGCTGAAACCCTCGGGATACGTTGGGTCGGGTACCAACTAATCCCTTGGGTTTCTACAGATATTTTAACACGAAAAAAGAAACATGCGTTTATTCCTATATTATATCAGAGTTCTTTAGTACTGACGGCTCATCTAGGGTTCAATATGGCGCGGTTCATATAGTTATTTTACCAGTAATATCTATAAAAGGAAAGGGTTAAAATGAGAATCATGAAGGAAGTTGAATAAATAAACTTAAAGAAAACTTAACATTTCTTGTAGAATATGATTGGTCTTGCGAAGCTATAATTACACGAGGTCATTCAAATATCTTGCAAGCAAATTCGCTGAATTAATGTTTACCGCCGACAGCATCATATACTGATTGAAAATTAAACAATTGCAGGATACATTTCGAATAAAGACTCCGGGGAAATAGTCGGTTAAAGCATAAATTATCAGGGCCCATATCACTCAAGGTCACGGCGATAATGCACATGCCTTTTTGTATTGAAGGTTCCCACACAATTAAAATTAGATATATTTAACATTTGAAGACATGAAATACTTAAGTTATCTGACTGAATATTAAGCAACCAGGGGTCTTAACTTCGGGTAAGTGCCGTCAATATACACATCTCCGCTTGGTATTAGATGTACCCACATAGTTTTGTTTAAATTATTCAGCAGATTTGTTGAAGAATAGGGTTGAATTAATGCTTTTCTATGAACAATAAATGATAATAAATTATGGATCATAACTCTGTATTAAACGGCCAAACGGGAAATACTGATGATGATGATGATGATGATGATGATATGCACATCTTGTTTTGTTTGTTTATGTGTTTATCTAAAGTCGCCGCCGAAAGCCCATTATAAGCGACCGTACCCTCAAGTCGGACCAAATCCTTTAGTGTCCCGTCGAGATTTTTCGAGATGCGCATCTCCTCTTTATATTAAACTAAATTTCGTTGAAATTCCTAGAGCGCAGAAAAGCAATAGTTCTATATACAGTGTTTTATAAATAACAACAACAACAAGGGGCAATAAGTCTGTTTTTAAAAAGAAATGGAGATATGCTGGTTATATGTGCAACTGGTTTGTGAATGAAGGTTCCTACAAAGTTGCAGCATCGATATCCATCCAGAAGTTGCTGAAAAATAGCGTGGAAACGAAATGATTCCATATACAGTGTATAATAACTAATCAATGGCCGGATAGTGCGGAAACTAAATCTGGACTGACAGGCGGACGAACACGCTAAAACAGTCCCATCACTCCCGATTTCATCAGCGGGGGAGGGGATAAAAATGTCTGTAGTTTTAGTTCCAATAATTGATTTCAGTCCTAAAAATTTGTGACGTTTGTGACTCAGTGAAAAGCATTGAAGAAAACAATATTTATCTCAAATTTGTGACATTTGTGATTTTAAACTCGTGACGAATGTGATTGTCTAAAACATTGGATCACATGCATCACAAAATTTGTGACGAATGTGATCTCATTCTTCACAATTGTGACGAATGTGATTTGTGACACATGTGGCCTTACATAGCTCGTATCTATGTGAAATACCTACAGTTAGTAAGGATCAGAATTAGTGTATGTTACTATTAAGACTGTGTTTCGACTTTAAGCCAATTAAAATTCCATTCAATTTTTGCTTTGTGTAATTATAAGCAATTCAAGTGTATTATAGATTAAAAAGGTCTCAGAAAATAAAGAAAAAGAAAAAAGTATATATACTTAACATTGTACATTTCTTTGATTTTCTTAACTTTTGTGAATGATTTAAAGGCACACTTTTTGGAGGAAGGCGGCGATGATGTAAGTTTTATCACGTGATTGCACACGGTTGATTGTAGACTTGTGAAAATGTATTATTATAAGAAAGCAAGACATTGCGGTTAAGGCATAATAAACATAAGATTTACGTTTTTGTGTATATTCTGTGTCTTTATTTATTTATTTTAAGCAAGTCAGGTATTTCTCATCTTCCCTAGTCATTTCTTGTGATTTCTAGCTTTCAAGATCATCAGTTTGACAGATCAGTTTAAGGGCAGTTGTCTGTCTTTTTATCTTTATTATCATGCGTGTTTCATCGATTCTTCCTCTTCATTTTTCTATAAACATATCATCCCAACACTTACTCTTTTGGTCTATAGAAGAATGACTTCTCCATTGAAGACGGCGTAGGTGTAAGTACAAGCACTGGGTCGGAAAATTTTCTTTTACATATACGTTCATTGTCAACACTTTCAGAAGTCTTCTTGCATATGAAACATATACGCCCTTTATGATTTATTCCTATTTTAATGTCAGTTTAAATGTATATTAATTTTTCTTTTATTTTTAGTGTGCGCGCTTGTGTAAGGTTTAATTACGTCTGGATTAATTACCGCACGGATATTTTCGCATTCCCTTACATTGACATACTTGGAAACATTTATCAGTTTATTTTATAACGAGTCTCACATATATATGAAAATAATATTTTTTAGGAAACTGTGTACATCCGAAAAGTATACTCTAATCTAGCCATCAAATGGCTTTGATTTTTCCTACCTAAAAATGTGTGTTTAGATAGTTAAGTTTGTTCTGGAATGAATAAGTAAATTGTTTTAACATTACTTGTTCTGGTGCAGGAAAAGATCATATATATTGGTGTCAGAAACGAAGCTTTGAATAGTACAGTTTAAATTATTTGGTTATAGTTTCAGATGATAGCAAATTTATTGTCAATTACTGAAGTGTTATAATTTTGAATATGACATGAATATTAGTTTGTCACACGTAAGAATTTATCTAGTATTTATAATTCTAGTAAGTCACACTTAAGGACATTTTTAACAATTTTCATTTGTATTTCATTCCAACGTTTAACTACCGGTTTTGTAAATGGTGAAACCCTTTATTTATCATAATTCACGAAACACATTTGACAGGCTTGGAACATTTTAATATGATAATAATTATAATAATTGTAGTATGAACACGAAAGTAACTGTGCCTTAAGTCACACACAACCGTAACTTTCATCGAAAGGGCAGATCCTAATGGGACAAATATAATAAAAATTTACATACTTGGACATACAGTTAATGTAAATGTTACTTTTTTTGTATTGTAGCCCCATCCAGGATGGGTACTTTTACTCCGGTTTAGCAAAGATGGTGAAGTCAATGTTCGCCGAGCTCTAACGTTTGCTGCAAAACATATCGAGTCCGACGGTGGTCGCATACTTGGCCTTGCAAGGTCTCACTCGGTAGGCAACATTTGAGCCGCGTCACGACAAAACCAACATAATGGGTTTGCGACCAGCATGGATCCAGACCAGCCTGCGCATCCGCGCAGTCTGATCAGGATCCATGCTGTTCGCTATCAGTTTCTCTATGTGTTATAGGGTTTGTAAGCGAACAGCATGGATCCTAATCAGACTGCGCGGATGCGCAGGCTGTTCTGGATCCATGCTGGTCGCAAACCCATTATGTTGGTTTTGTCGTGACGCGGCTCAATTGATTTTATCAATATTTAATGCAATCTTTACCATGTTCTTTTCTGATTTATGTCTTTTAAAAATGAAATGATGACTGATTCGGCTAGTATATACTACTAAATAGTTTTATGTTGTCTTTTTGACAACTTATGCAATGATCTAATACAATAATTTTATAAAAAAGCAAATCACCCGCAGTTTCTGTATATGATTGATCATTGTTTTTTATGTTTTAACCGCAAATGAATTCAAATATCTGATATTCCAGGTACGAATTCGAGAGGGAGGAGATTCCTGGGTAACATTTGGAGGAATGCGTTATTTTGGTGGCGGTAACTGGGACGTCCAGCAGGCCCCAAATCACAATGATACAACTTACAGTGTCCTTGCAATCTATTTTCCCTCTCTCACTAGAGCAATACAGTGGTTTGATAGGTATATCTGACTTATTAAAGGATTGCTGCAACTTCAACGTTATTCTAAATACATGATTTCTATAATAAAGTCAAAGGGAATGGTTTTTGATATGAGAAACAACACAAAACCTTTCTAAAACTTTTTACATACATTGTTTACATATATTTAATTAACCTCCTTTGAATGTAACTGCAATATTTGTGTTTATGGGGTCCATAATATATTTTCCTTCTATTTGAAATAAGAGTGTGAACACAAATTAGAAAAAAGTATCACTTTTGACTAGGTTTTGGGTTTCATTTGTCTTCAATATCTGATAAGTGTGACTAAAATATAACGTTATCGCTATTGTTTTTTTACAGAGATTCATGCTTCAAACAGAAAGATTTTCCCCCGCCCTACACAACAGATTGCATAGCACTTCCACTGAATTCTAGTGTTGATACAAGTAAGTGCAATGATAGTTAAATACTTTAAATAATGTTACTGGTCGTCAGTTAGTATTGTTTTCTTTCACCTATTTACCTAGTAACATAAAAACTAAAATTCATAAAATCACATGAATAATCATTTATTTATACTTTTTTAGTTTTGTCTTGTTACATTTGAAGTGCAGTAAATTTTCTTTTCGGAAAATCAATATTTTCAAAGTTTTGTGCCTTGGAAAATGATTAAAATCCAAAAAGCGTTTCCCTTTCAACAATGATAAGCAATGTAGGTTTTACCAAAAGATTACACAAATATCATTACAAGATATTATATATTATATGATAGAGAATTGGGTAACGGGAAACTACTGTACAAGAAAATTACCGCAACTTGTACGGTCTTCCAACGAAAACCTTTCAGTCCATAATCGATTGTTTCCCTTGATCAGAGTGAATTTTAATTTTCAGAATTTTGCAAAACATTGGTATTGACGGAATACCCACGAATCAGTCATCCCGAATACTTCAGGGACAAGTTCTCCATACCAACTCAAGAAATGATGAGCAAAAGATTTAGTGCAACTCCATATGTTGTTAAAGGTATTCTTGTTGAAATCACTTCCATATAACCTTCTATCGCAAGTTAAATTGAAATGTGCAGCGTTATTTTCAAAATTAGAACTCAATATAAAGCAATAAATGTTTCCAATTAGTTAAATACTGCCAATATTTAAAGAGAACTGGTTCTTAACGGAAGGTCCGTAATTCCTTAAACAGTTATGTTGATAGTAGTATGTATCATACATGAAACAAACATCGAAAGAACCATATATGGATGTTATACTTTGAGATATATGATCAAATATATGTGCGTACATTCATTCATCATATTAAATGTCTATACTTAATCACTTAGAACTATATTAACATTTTTTTTTTCAACAAATATTTTATAAGAATATCAAAGTGGTACATTTTTTATTATTTTGATAATATTTGAAATACTTATTGAAAATGTGCCCGTTTTAGACCATATCATTTTAAGATTTTCCTATACGTTTTTGTAAATGTCTTCAAAATGTGTCAGGAAAGATCGATGAAAAGATCCGTTGTTTACCTTATGGTCCAATTTACAACAATGTACGACATTATCAAGTACAACTGATACGAATTTCACCATATAATAGTCAGTAGTTTCTTTTATGTTGATCATTTGTTATCGTCCTTCTTTTGTAGATTTAACTTAGCTGAAAGAGAGAGTAATAATAATTCAAATAATTTTTGTGTGTGTAAATTGAACTATTTTGATATCCTTTAGACCATGGCATGTTTTATCCTTTGTAGATTCGCCACAATTATTTGAATCACTTTGTTGCGTAGGCTTGTCCGTCGGGTTAGACCATCTGTTTCTAATGTGTCTGCAGTGTAAATAAATAACCATTGAATGACTTATTTCAAACTTCGCTCAAATGTTCAACTCAACAAGGCAATATTCAAAATTCACCCACCATGTGCCATCTCAATGTCAATTTCAAAATTGAAAGTTAAATATCAAACAATTTTGTAACCGCTTTAAAGGTCCTATACGCCTTGAAGGATTTTCCTAAATTTTGGTTAAAATGTACATTTCTTTAAAGTGATGTTGCAACACCTATGCCACCGCTGCGCAGACTGAAGATCAAGGTCCAATGTCAGATAATTTTGTCTCCTCATTATTAATTCTTTACTCCTTGAAATACTTTTACATATTCATCTCAAATGTTTTCCTTCAAATATGATGATAAATGGACCTGCATTAAATCCTGTGTCATAGAGATGGTTTGGGATAATTGTCCCTCCTGTGATAGCTCTAGTTAAGGCAATTAATTAATTTAGTATCAAATTGTTATTGATTTAAAGGAAATTCGATTTGAAAATTTAGATTCCAAACATACTTCCAGTTAAGAAAAGAAATTAAGTACCAAATTGTTTTTGATTTAGATAAGTTCAATGCCAGGCCAGGATTTAGAACAGATCAGAAAATATTGATTAATTTTCGACAATATTCCAATAAAACCAGAACAATATACAACTTTAATATTCAGCATTCAGTATGATTTTAATTGTATCTCTCACAAAGTTAATAATAATTAACAATAATTGAAGAAGCAATTTATGACTTGGTATATATTCAATGAATGGGAGGTAATGAGAAAATACAGTCTAAACAGTATGGAAACAGTTAATGTTCCTGGCAAAGTATATGTACCAAACTAAACAACAACCTAAATAAGATGAATGAATAATAGTAAATATTTAAAAAAAATAAAGCTCATCGTATTCTATTTAGTGTTTGATATTTACATTTTTCATGAATAAATACGAGCAATAGCAATATTTAAATCAATATTCGTTTTAAGATGGAACGGAATTATGTTCAATTCTTCACTTGTATAATATGTTGTTAAAGAGCGAGTTAAGCTCATGCCTCACCTTCGATAAATGAACACAAGCGGATTTAAAAAAAATGAAAATCATTCAACAATAGGTCATTAATGTTTCGTTATGCTTTAAAACGGTGATTGCGAACATATGAACTTGATTGCGAACATATGAACTTGATTGCGAACATATCATCTGAAATGTTTATTGGCAGAATAACTAAATGTAACATCTGAGTTGATGACATATAAGTCTTCCAATGAACTTCTTGACCTTCTTTGTTTTGCTGTACTCTCATTTAAATATTCTTCCAGCAACCTCGATTCCCACTGACGACCCACGACAAAGAGTTGCACGACATTTGCGTGGCTCATGGATCAAGAGAAACAGTATAATCACTTTAAGTTTGTTTGGAAGTCTCAATGAAACACATAGATATTTCACAGATCGTAAGTTAATTTTGTTTCATTTATCTGACTTGTATTGCGTTGATGTCAAAACAAAGATGATAATACTTTTATATCTTATTGAAAAATGATAACAATAAATGTCAGACAAGTAAGGTCGGAGGAATTGATGTCATAAATGTTATCATTTGCATTAGTTTGTAGTGGTTTTTAAATTCAATTTTGTTTTCACATTTTTCTATATTGCTAATAAAGCCTTGCTAGATCTTTGCTAGATCTTATTAGATCTCAGTATCATTATAATACCAAAACGTAAAGATAAAAATATTATTAATAGTTTTTCTCGCAATTATTACAGCCGAATATTTGAGGTGCAAAGAAGCCCAGGATAGAGTTTCAGCACCCACAACTGTAATAATGGATCTTGAAGACTGGAGACTGTAAATGAGCTCGGGCATCATAATAGTGATACTAATGATATATATATATATATGCACATACTTGTAAATGACATTGTTTTAATTGCAGGCTTTGAATAAAGCCTGATAATAGGATAGTTGTGTTTTGTTTATGATTATTTATAGAAACAGGCCAGATAAGTACATTAACTTCGTTTGATAAGTACGTTAACTTTATAAGATATGTACATTAATTTTAAAAGATATGTTCATTACCTTTATAAGATATGTATATTATCTTTTTGAGGTATGTACATGTACTTTCATTTCATAAGATAAGTTGACAATCTTTGTGATATATGTACATTAATTTTACAAGATATGAACTTTAACTTTAAAATTTATCTACATTAACTTTATAAAATATGTACATTAATTTTATAAGATTTGAACATTAACTTAATAAGACAAGATCATTCACTAAGAAGGATATGTACCTTACTTTATAAGATTTGTACAATAAGTTGATAAGATACATATAATAGCTTTGTAAGATACCGGTATTATCTGTGATATAAACAACCTCCCGTCCTCGTTTTGTTTGTCAACTAAGTAGAGTTTAAAAATGTATTATACGCAATCAATAAAACGAATAGATTAGTGTTTGATAAATGCATTTGATAAAGATAAAATATATGGATGTATGTATCTATTAAACAAACTAAATTGTATATATAAAACATATGTGTGTTAGTAAGAGGTATTTAACATTTAGTGCTTCGTATCTGGTATACGTGACATTTTTACAGTCTGTGATATAAGCTTATATTTATGAAAGCAAGATTTAAGAAATTAGATAGTTTTTTATGTATTTTTTTTTATTTTCAAAGTGGTTTCTTTTAGATCAGATAAAATATTCGTGTTTTTATACAATATATTGTAACTGATAAATGTAAATGTTAAGAGGTGATAAAAGAACTGTTTTATCAGTGAGCTGTTTTATCTGTAGATCTATATGTTTCTGTCATTATCTGTCTCATTGTATGGATATATTGCACATACTTCATGACCTATTGCGGTGATATAATTTATTGGTACGGAAATGAAATATTTGATATGACTTAACATGTACTTAATATTCTCTTGTAGATATATAGTTCAATAAATATAACCAGAAAAGAGTACCTGTTTTTTTTATTTTGTATTATATACATGAAATCGATGTTATTTTCTTTTACAAACGCTGAATTATACATAGTAAAACGAATGTAATGGTAAAACTTAATGTTATTGTAAGGGTTTTGCAATCTATATGAATGCAGTGGGTGGCAGAGAAAAATGCGTATAGTATAATATGAGATTGTTATGCATTGTTGAGTACAATATTGTATTGGACTCGAACAAGCAGTCAAATTATACTGGACGAGGTGATAGTCGAGCCTTATATAGGTTTTGCATCTGTGTACGAGTCCAATAGAATCAGTATTGTTCGCATCCATGTTTAATAGCCTCTTTATTTCACAACACCATTTTATTGACATTTGACAAGTTCAACTTTGTTATTTCAATTACAAAAAAGAATTGTTGTAGATTTTGGACTCTTGAAATGAAACCGAGGCTTTGGTGTGATATGGATTTGATAGGAATATTTTGGAAATGAAAACGAGATTAAATTGATAAGATTGGAGCCAGAAATGATTGAACATCACTGGGTGCAAATTTTGAAAGTGCATTGGTTATACATGTATTTCATTCGTTGTGAAATAAAGAATGGTACTACCGATTTACATCCATATACATATAAGATGTACATTAATTACATGGGTGTAAATTGTACGGTGAATGACTTCTCGTGATTATAAGTTTCTCTCAAAAAAGGATTTGGCATACGGTGTCACAGAAGACATTCACCTGTATAGTTTACTTGATATTATAAAATTTAGTGCTGCGTTTCGAAATTTCTAATACCACTTAATAACTTTGCAAGGGCTAATCCACAATACGCAAAACAAATGAAAATAAATATATGTATATTGTGGCTGCAGTTTAACACTGTCAATAATAAAGTCGACATTAACAATGAAAGTTAATAAGCTTTTAACTCGTACTGAAAGCGTGTATGATTAATCTTAATTTCAATAACATGAATGATCGATACTTTTAAATAAGAATTATGAACCTTTAATGTAAAGTATATAAAAATGTTTGTGAAATGGTGCATTCCAATCACTTTTTTGTACATTTGAACATGGCCGTGTTCGTAAATAAAAGGGCAAGCAAAAACAATATTTATATTCTTTTTACATTGATAGATAACTGCACTTGTAGATTCATTGGATACACTTTAGAGCAACCAAAGTCTACTTAATGATTTAGACTCCAAAGTTCAAAAACCTAAAACAAACTATATAATTGAAAATTCTCATATCTATAGATATACTGGGAACAAAACATGGAAAAATATGCAAAGGCTAATAAAGCAATATACCCAGATTAAAATAGAAAGTCATGTTGTTTTGCTGTTCTTTGCCAGATTTGAATTTTGCACAATTAAATAATTGTCTAGAAAACGGATGAGCTTATGTTCTAAAATATTGAACACAGGTTTAAACCCAAGAACCACAGCAAATACTTCATAAATCCTGAAAATATTTCTGGTCTTGTCATGTAAAAATACCTTAGTGGTGTCCCTTTCATCCTATAAAGCTTTGACACGTATTCTGTATTTCGTATTTTATCATATGATATAGGAAACATAATATAATGATTATTTTGTAAGTGTATATATTCCGTTAATGGCGTCTATGTAAATACTTTAATGACAATAAATAACATAGATCTAACTAAAACATCAGACATTCATACAAAGTTGTATTGAAACATGAAAGTGGAGGTTATGCAAATTTAACTGGCAACCATGTACAATAAATAAATATTTACGTTTAATATATGGTAAAAGAAGTGGGGTATAACTTTCATATTAAGAAGAAATGTCTACTTTTAATGTTTTGTTAACCACTAATCTGCTGGCACCGAAAATGATAAGTCCGTTCATTAGAGAGCCAGGCCAGCCGGGACCTCCGTGCAGTCAGACCTGGTATTATATTGTACGCAATTTAATACTTAAATCCTCAAAAATATAAATTGGCTGTTCCAAATTCAAAGCATGGCAAGGTTAAGCATTTTTATTCAAATTTTGTAATATTTTACCATCAGGAGAGTCTAGCTGTATAAGAAGTGGTTTATATCAAAGCCATTTTATTCACGTTTATTGTGATAATTATTAATCTTTTGACGTTTGACTTGACATAAGTACAAATATTTATAATTCGAAATAAGCTTTATTTTAAGTAGCGTAATCCACCTTCTCTTGTAGTTAAATGATGTTCATTTACCACGTTTTACAATTATTCATTAATTACGAAATTAGGAAATAAATACTCACAATAGCAAAAATGATAAAAAATAAAAATAAAGAATGATAATTCAAACAAATTAAAACTGCCAACGGCTATCATTAGCCATACAAATTTAAAGTTATAGAATGAAACATTATGTGTTGAAGTGTTGATTGTCGGTTGACTGAACGTATTGCTTGCCCTTTTTTAAATACAGTACAGCAAATCACTTTTGAATATTATGAATGTTCATATTTGATCCTGGAGTTTCATTGTTTAACCTCTTTCATTAGAAATCTAATGGTACATAATCACATATAAATATAGCTAAAATCAATTTAACATTTACAAAAAGAGGGAAAACAAAAGATTTCGGGTTGATAGGTATATCCTTTTTGAAATAGTCGTGAAATATCGCTTTTGTGGAATGCTCTCTTTTAATTTGTTATTTCACGGATCAGCAAAGTCCGTAAGAAAAATGTTTGCACTGTTCCATATAGCTGGCCATGTTATTCTTACCCGTTTCTATTGTAGTACGTACCTGTTGAAACTATTTAGTCGCATTAATCTTCTCGTAGCCCTCCAAAAACGATACTTTATATATTGTTTAAATATCTACTCAACTAATATACGCTGATCGGTACAATTTGAGTAGCTCCGTGGTAAAAACCGACTAGTGTATGCGCAAGTTGACAATAAAGTAAACAAGAAAGGAAATAATTGTAATTTACATTAGAGAAGGGGTACAATTTTGAAGTATAATTGCAAATCTGTGACATAGAGTGTAGTTTAAACATTTGTTAAATACCGGTAAAGACAGCCAGTTTCATGTGAAAGTTTTTATTTATTCTGGATTTTCGTTTATACTGTTCTATGTAAGTACTTTAAAATTTCGAATATTTTTTTTTTTACTTGACTTTTCTATGAGTTGTGCTACTTTGCTGCTTATGTAATTGTAATTATTTTCAATAATACAATATTGTAACAGAATATTAGAATTATTTCAAATTAAAGATTTAATTATTTTTACAATTTATTCTGGTCAGTTCTATAAGAGGCTGAAAATTAACTGCAATACAGGGCCTGATAAAACAATCAATCGTATCTCTCGCAGAAATAAATTTGCCAGCACGAACTTATGAGAAGTGCAGACATATAATAACGTCTTTAAAATGAACTTCATTTTTTTTTATAGTTTTCATGAACTGTTCATCCACGAATAGTATAAAGTTGTTTACTTATATACAAACTTAAAATAATAAAATTGTGTTTTAACGATTTACATGAATTACCAACAAAACGAAAACAATTAAAATTACATGTATACAGTTACAAAAAAGGCAATGGGCTGAAATATTAAAGGGTTAACACTTATTGTATGAGATACAATTACTTGTTTTGATTGACTGATCAAATATACGAATATATTGTCTTACTTGTCAACCCATTCTTATCGTTTCAACAGTTAAACATTGGAAATATTGATTTACATATTAAGTATCTGTAAAATATTATATAAGGGTGGTGTATGAATATATATAACAAAATGAGACAAATCACAAACGGTGTTAAACATAACAAGTCTATAATAATCTCTGTTGATGCGATCATCTAGCATTTTTACACTGATTTATATAAAATATATTGACTAAAGATAAACAAAGCTCAATAAATAATGTGCAAAATATCCCCTAAACCGTATTTTATCAAAAACATAGGTTTGAATATCCTTTGCAACAAAGGCGATTACAAAAAATGAATCCAATAAAACATGTTATCTCTTTGCAACATTAAAGAGGATTTAAAAATGTGTCACATTTCACGAAACTTTATTTTTGAAAACAACCCTAAATATACGTTTCCTGAAAGATTCGGTTTAGAAATCAAGTCAATATACACGAAAAATATATACAGATTTTTAAATTAGATATTGAAAAAAATGCAAAATACGTATATACCTAACGAAATGGAGAGTATGAAAAAAGGAAAATTATCATAATGACCTTTCTTGTTATGATTCAACAGTGATAAGATATGGACGAATGTGGTATAACAAAAGTGTTTGGAGAAAAGTAACGATATTATACTAGTACTAGATCTAGTATACTAACTAATGTGATGATATTCAAAGAGCAGGACTCGCAAATATTGGTGGTAGTGTCTAACATTTAATGTCATGAATAATGGCGATGTTAGATTATCAAAAGCGTTGCTGGTGGTGTTATTTTATATAAAAAAACTTTATTGTAATAATAGAAATTGGAATACATTTATGAAAGCTATGTTAAAAATACTCTTTAGATTTGTACGACAAATACAGAGACGTCATTTGAAGTCATATGAATACATACAAATATCATTACAAACCATAAACTTTGTGGTCCATGATATTTGAAACCGATCATTTCAAACTTGATAAATATTGCTGAAAAGCATGCATGTATACATTAATACTATGGCAATATCATTTTCATATCAGATCTTATTTCAGTATTAAAAACATCAGCAAATATTATTTGAGCCGCGTCATGACAATACCAACATAGTGCGTTTGCGACCAGCATGGATCCAGACTAGCCTGCGCATCCGCGCAGTCTGATCAGGATCCATGCTGTTCGCTATCAGTTTCTCTACTTGTTATAGGGTTTGTAAGCGAACATCATGGATCCTGATCAGACTGCGCGGATGCGCAGGCTGGTCTGGATTCATGCTGGTCGCAAACGCATTACGTTGGTTTTGTCATGAGGCGGCTCATTTATAAATATGTTCATCATTGCCTAAAGACATTATGATAGTTTTAATGTAATATTTTTATCGGGTCGATATTGGACGTTGTAATGACATGCAATAAATTTTACAAAACCGAAAGTAACCTATAATAATGTAATGGAAACCATTATTTAGGGACAAGGCTGAAAGCAACAAACTGTAAATCGGTTGAAATGATGTAGGAATAAGCTATTTATATGCTTCTATAAACAATTTAAGAATATATCTTTAGAAATAACGAATATCAAACGGGTTGGACATCACTGGCGATCGGACCTCCCCATTTACAGTTAACTGTGACATTTCCTCGGGTCTTCTTATTATGATATAGAATATTCTTGATCAAACAATGTGATAAAACATTAAAAAAATAGTAACGAGAATCTTATGTTATGTATTTTGGAGGATAAATTTAATTATAATTTGATGTAAATCAAAGTATAAATGCTTACTAAACATTCAAGTGTCTTTGAATATTGATGTTTTTTAATATCTTGTAATTATAAAGTTATTTAGGTCAGGTTAGGTGAAATTATCCTAATGGATTTATAATGAGAGAGTTATTAGATAAATAAGCTAAGTTAAACTTGTATAAATGTAATGCCAATGAATGCCTATATAAAGAGGATTTGCATTAATTTATTGCTAAATAGTACATACAGTTCGTAATCATATTTTTGGTCAATATATAACTCCCATTTGACCTACAGTAAATATTTGAGTAAAATTAATTTATGTTTTCTGTTTGTACAAATATTAGTTCAAAAGAACCGAAAAAACAAACGAGAGAAAAAAATTATAAATGATAAATGAGTTTTGATAATAATGTAGGGCCATTTGTGATGTGTTTTTTTGTTTTAATTACTTTTTGTGTATTATCTATCAATAAACAATGTGTTATTGAAAAATGAAATGCGCAAATATATTAAAAGAAGCGACCGATTTTGGCAATCCGAATTAACATGTTTATTTGAATAAAGGTTATCGATGAATATTTTCGTCTTGCAAGTTATTTATCGGTCACGGATTGATCTTAAATTTGCTACATATATTAGGGTAATGAATGTAGACATGACTGTACTTAGATCGTAAGAGATAATGTTATAATAAAACAGTTATGTAGTACAATAGGAAAGGTTAGTACCTGTAGTCTAAAAGAATTAATCAGTGATAATAATCAGACAAAAGTAAAAACGTCAGTAAATTATAACAAATTGCAAATATTACCTTATCGACACATCTGTAATAAATATTACAAAAAAGATTGAGAGTGTCAAAGAAATCTGTCAAAAAAAATTGAAATTAAAATTTGAATTCGTTTGTTTGCGTTTGTAGTCTAAGAAATTTACCTATTAAAGATCAAAACGTTGAGAAGCTTAAAAAACGAGGACTTTGGAAGAAAGCTCTTCAAAATGTAAAAACTGACATTAAGTGATATATGTCCAACAAACAGAGTTAATTGTAAGTTAAGGTCAAGTGTACATTAGTTATTTCAATACGAGAAGTAAGCGAGAGGTTCATATCATTGAGTGCGTCGTGGATTTGAAGTCATTCTAAATTATCATGTAACCAAATGCTTTTATTATGAACCGAACGATATCATAATTAACCGAACCATATTGCAATTAACCGAACGTTATTATAATTACTCAACACCTTATATTAAAATGTTTTTGAAGTAAGAACTTTGAATAGAAATAATAAATACGCTCCTTTTGTAAAACTTCGCTTATATTTTGTTTGATATTTGAAAAGTATATAAATAGTGTATATTTACTTTCAGATTTTGACGTTGGTCAAACATGCACCAAGTAAGTGTAATGATTGTAATTTAGTCTTTTCTTTATTTGCATTATTGAACTATGATAATGTTTTATCGATTTGTTCCTTAGTGCTATTTGGTTACAGTTACATTGTTCAAGTAAAATACTTATTTATGCAAACAATTTGTCAGACTTAAAAGAATAAACTATGAATGCACTTAGTTTTATATAACATCTATACGTTTTGTAAACTATTTCCCTTAAATGTAATATTGTAATTTGTAACCATATCAAGCACTCACTGAAAATAGCTGGGACTTTGAAATTGGTAAAGTGCTAAGGGGACAGCAAAATGATGAAAATCCCGCTAAAAGGTCCGCGAATATGATCAGAACATATCATGGCTAGTGTAGCGTCAAAACCAAACCACCGTAATGACCAGGAAGTGTGGTTACAGACGAAAGGTAAAACCTGGCCTATTTTCCTCATGGTACCGTAGTAAAAATTGGCATGTGCATCATAACATGCGTTAACTGAAGTTTGTGAATAGATTGATGTTTCAACGATAATTTAAACACCGTTCAATAAGCCAAGCTATGACTTATAGTCGGTTGCCTCATGAAGTTATGTTAATGTTGGTATAAACATGTAACATTTTGCAATATACGTACTTTCAGAACCAGAAACGAGAGACGAGGTACGAGCCTCGTTATGAGGTAAGACCATGTTTGTCTAGCTTTATATAGATCTAAGGATAGCCTTTCAACTATCATAAAATCATATTAAACAGATTTAATTGTTTCTTTTTATTGTTGTGTATTGGGTTTTGGTTTTCCTTCACTTCGAGTGATATTATTCTATATGTGTGTTGCATGGCAAATATCACTTTAGTACTTTGACTTTCTCTATCTATGGGTTATCAATCACATAAGAGTCACAAAACACAAAGAAAATCACGAGTGACGTATATAGTATCCATTATGAAAAGTTTAGACACTGGAAAAATTTCAATATGCTATTTTGATGGTGAGAAATCTAAATATTTATTATCATATAAGACTTTGACTTCGTATTGAATACTAATTGTAATTACTGTTTACAAACTATTTATGCACTTATTCAGTTGTTTATTCAGAAAAAATATGCACATACTTAATTGTTGCTTTGTAGTAAATATTATGCGCTTGTTTACTGCATTGGCTTATTTGCAAAACAACGAATCATCAATTGATCGATAGTTACGAATAAGATAACATAGTTAATGTTAAGGTTATTTGTTTATGTTTTACCTGTTGATCAGGACCAAAGAGCCAGTCCTCAAAGACAGATGTATGAGCGGACACGTGACACGAGTCCACAAAGATACCAGTATAACCGTGCTGTGGACCCAAGGGCAAATCCTCATAGCGAAGTATACGACCCTAGATTTAATCCTGCTTCTCCCCTTCCTGATTATCACAATTTTCCCCAGCCATATTATCGACACAGTGACTACAGGGAAGGTGTAAGTCCCCAACCTAATTACCTACATAACCAGGAGAGAGTGTGTGTAAGTGAAGCGCTAAGCCTTGCTTACCAGTGCAGATCCAGACAATGTATTAAATAAAATCAGCTTGCAATTTGATTTTGTTTTGCTTATATCTGGATCTGACAGACTCGGCTTCTACTTAATTGTCTGTGCCATTAACTTAACCACCAGGGGTATCATATTTAGCTTCCTAACCTTAACTATCTGTCTTCATACAAAAAACACGAATAGAAAAGGCAGTCCGGTGACATCGAGTAATGGTTATTTGTAATATATTGCTATACCTATATATATCCTATAATGAGAATTTTTTATGAATTAATGGCAGTTTAACAGGTGTGAAGTTCGGTTTGTAATTCAGTAGAAAAGGAACCTAGCGTTTTGACAGCTATCCAAATACTAATTTACATATTTACCTAAAGAGAATGAAAATATATCAAATTACTCAATTCCGGTTAAAACCAGTTTTAACTTCGTAATAAATGCTACATTCCCAATCAAGATTAAAGTAGTCTTTGAATTATTAATACGCAAATCTAATAATAGCTCTCCTTTTATGTATTGTATTATAACAGTAGGACCTAAGTCTCTGACCGACATTTTATCTTCAATGCATATATTTATAGAATAACTACTAACGGCAGAAATAGTTTTAATTATAGAAATCACATTAATCGTTTTCATTATATGTTCTGTATTTAATACGGTTTAATCTGAATAATATGCTTCAATCTATATACATTGTATATGGCTCGGCAGTTGATTTTATTTCGCTACTAAGTTCTCTTTCTCTCTCAACTCATCCTGTGGTCATCTTATTCTAGCATATGGTGGTGGCTTATTGTTCTTGACTGGTATGGTGTAGGGCAGATGTTTCAAATTTAGACGGTCTAAAAGCAAAATAATTTAATTTTCAGAAATACAATAGAAGAGAACCCGTTCAGGGTCAGAGATATCATGAGGTAGTTCAACGGCAAACACTCTAGCAACTTTACCTTAGTTTCTTAAAGTTTCCTTCACTTTATGGTCATTTCCGGGTGTCTCTCTCTGAATTTCAGACGAAGTACAGCAAATATTAGCTTTCCCATTGCTGTTATAATATACTCATTTGATAGAAACTTTTCTGATTTACTCTTCAGCCTTTAGTTTTGAAGTCTCTCTTTGTGATGCTTTTCAAAACTAACAAGCAATAAATTTTAGTTCATATTAGAAATTCGTTAAGTAGCCCACTGTTAGTAAATTTTTGTTGTGTTATGTAGATAGCATACAATAGCTTTAAGTCTTTATATTTGCGCAAGACTATACGTAGTTTTGCGGTTTTTCTTTTTTTAATGCTGGAAAAATTTTATTTTATTTATTTTAGCTCGATTAGGTATCAACCAAGAAGCACAGGCACGAGTATCGGACCTGGGATGAAAATATATGACCAGATTGATAATAAAACCTGTGTTCATCTTAAAAGTGTCAAAAACCAAAAAAAAAATTGTAAAAAATGACCCCCTTTAAAATATAATATAAGTTAAGAGAAGGCCGGAAACTCCAGATTCGAGCCTACGAGCAAGGGATTCATTTCCCGAGCCGTTGTGAAAACAATTGGCCAGACAATTAAAAAAGACTTTTATCACTATTTCACGTTTGTATTAAGCTTCCAAATGAGACCGGCCCCAAGTCTCTAGCCCTTCCCGTTCATGAAATATCTATCTTAATGTCATTTAGAAATGTATATCTAGTTAATTCCAAAGTATTTTTCCCTACTCATCTGTGCAAACATGTATTGGTTTTATGTTCTTGACTGAATGGTTGGGCAGATGTTCAATTCGTCTAAACCTAATTTTTTAGCACGAAGAGAACCCGTTCCAGGTCAGATATATTCATGAGGGTAAGGCCTCTAGAACTTTCAGTCAAGTTCTCTCACTTTGGTAAAGGCTTTAATTCAAACGGAAAAGTGAAAATATTAATTTTGCCAAATTGCTTTTATAACTCTCGGTAAAATCGATTTCCTTCCAGGCTCATTTGAAGTCTCCGGTCTTTTCATAAACTTTTTAGTATATTATTTTAAAGTAGCTCATGTTTTAATTTTTTTTTTGGTTTTGTGACAACTTTAAGTCTATTTTGAACTACAGTTTGCTTATCAATCTGGAATATATTTTATTCATTCTATACTCGTGCTGTCCAAGAAGATGTAATTTGTTGTTTGTTTCTAAATTCTGTTTTGTTCTATATTGATTGGGCTTATTATAAGAGTTAAATGATGTATAGTATTTAGAGTGACATAACAAATTATTCTGACTGAATCATTCGTTATTGTTGATGCTGTTTAGATTTTATCTTATTATATTCATTGTATCACAACTTAATTTGTTTACAACTATATTTATTCAACACAGCCCGAAAGATATCAAGAGAAAAAGTTCGATTTCAGACTTGATGTAAGTTTATAACATTTTATTCTTTGCTTAACATTTAGCTATTTTGTGTTTTATTAATGTAGACAAAGGAGCCCATTCCAGTTGCGTTTTGGTTTTGTAATTTATGAATATGTAATTGGTTTGAAGACAAATGTGAAAGTACGAGATTGCAATAGCAATACAGATCAGAAATAATATTTTAATCCATTGTAAGTTTCTGTGACCAATGAGATAAAGCGTCAAATGAAGAAGAAGAGTAAAGAGTACAGTGTCTTCATATTAATGGTGATATTCAGGCAAAGATCTCACTAGCACCAGTTTATATGTTCTATAGTATGACGGGAACTCAATATGACCTTTTATCTCCAAAACAAACGTTGAACTCTTTATTAACCTCCTTTACAAGTTAAAAACAACATTGACAAACATAACACACAATGTATTGATGGTTACATAAATGTTTTATTCAGAATCGCTACCACAAAATGCCCGGTGAAAGACGGGAAGGACAACCAAAAGCTGATGAGCATTGGCAACCAGCATATGCCCCATATCAAGAGCGTGTAAGTGACATCAAATGACCCATAACAAACTCTTTATCTAACGCTCCATAGAAAGCAAAATATACATCACATAGTTTTTGTCGCTATATGTAATATAAAAGAACTTAATTCAAACTATTTTCAGGCAAAGGTTTTATAGAATTTTGTCCAGATCTCAGATTTATTTTGCCTTTTCTTTGCCAAGTAGAGAGCATTCTTGTATAATACACTAAGCAGAAACGACTTTTTAAACCATTGTTAAAATGCCATGAAATCTATAACATCGAGTTTAAACATCGTACTTTTGGTTTCAAATGTTTAAAACAATGGTTACATTAGAAAAAAAACTTTATTGAGAATAAGTAAGTTAAACTAATTTAATATTATGCTTATAAAAATTTAAAAAAGTAGAAAGTTAATCCAGAGCAAGACGTATCTTTAAAGTATTTATAAATATGTTTTCTTTATCAAAAATGAAATGCTTCTATGTAGAATGTGAAAATAATATCAAATAGACTCAAGTTAGCTATGAGTATATCATGATGTGAATATGCTCCACTTGATGTTATGGACATCGACCTTGCTTTTCATTTCAGCAATGAGTCCTTCTAAACTAAGTTTATATTTAAGGTAGTTTAAAACTTCATCGAAGTTCGGTACAGTTTTCTGGTATATATATTTTTAAAGATGAAATATTTACCTAAGAGAAAGATATAGTTAATATTGTTTGATTTCCTAATATTTTGTATCACCACATTACACAGACTGACAGTTTTGTATGATACCAAAGTTTTGTCTGTAGAATATTTTGTTTGTAAAACAATCCTGATTTGACACCAAAATGGTGAACTTTAGAGCATTCCTTAAAAAAATGTATACAAGGTTTTGATGTTGAATTGCAAAACATCGTATTAATGACTCGGGGAGGTAGCTAAGCCTATGAAAGTAGTATCGCAATGTTAATTATATTCATAATGACAATGGCGAAAATACTTTTTCGGACAAAGGTGTTCTATTGCTAGATATAGGCATTTTATGCATTGCTTTGTTTCAGAGATGAATTTCATTTTCATATCTAATCATTTCATTTGTTTCATTACATTGTGAGCAGAGTGAACAAACCCATAAGGAACTCTACGATGTAAGTTTACGTGTTGGGGACTTAGCTTATACATTTACAAATATATCTATTACAAAGTGTGAACTTGTAACATCAAAACATAATTGTACTTGGCTTTAACGTCTGGAGATAAATACATTGAATGCTATTGCAAAGCTTGAAATCATAAAACGGTGGCTGCAACTTTGTTGTCGGTGTTGCAAAAGGAATATAAAAATAATTGAAGTAATGGCGACAAAACTCATCCATGATGCATCCTGATGCATTTTAAACCAGTTAAGCTAGACTCTGTCATATGGTTTGGTAATGTTTTTCCTGACGTAACATCATCAAACGAAATGTATATGATGGATATTTCTCGACAAATGTTACAAGTTCATTCTTTGTTCCCTTAATATTCGTAAGGGTGCATTTAGTTTTGCAAGTTGTTGATATTCGGAACAATATAAAAACATCTTATCTTAAGAATGGAGTCTTCTTGATTTATTATTCTTAAAATCTGATGCCAGTTTTGTTAAATAGAAAACGAAAAACAAATGTTAAAGGATTATATGGCCCAATCATCGGTGCTTTTAGTATCTATAGGTATAAAAACAATGCGACTAACAATGCATCCTTATAGAATACTTACCTCACAACTCCATACTAACAAAGGTGGCATCTATTTCCTTATATGTATATATCCTTGTTGATTATTTTCAAATCTCTTATATTATTCTAGATTGATTTTTATCCATATTTTATCACATTTTTACCTATCATACCTATTTTTATTTATTTTGTTTTCCTGCAAATCTCATTAAAAGTTCCTAAGCTTTTGTTTTCTCCATATAAATCCATCTTCTGTTTATTTTAGAATAGCAAGTTTTTTTATTACCTATAAAAGATTCTTCCATATTTATTATTTTGCTTTTTCTTTATTTTTTGTTTTTCTGCACGTTTGATATTCTGCAAGGTAGCACTTTTGTTTGATGTTTGTGCATATTTAAGGAGATACAACCTGCGGGACGGGCAAATACCTACAACACCCGGATAACCGACTTACTAACTTCCATAAAGGATCCAGATATCAAAGATGATAGGCTAATTAGATTAATTGAGGCAGGTGTTTATTGTCTCTTAATAATTTATTTTCCTTAACAAAGTCACATTTCATTTTAATATATAAAGAATATACGACTATGCTATTGGCATAAAGAAAAATTATCATTATAACTTTTTTTTTTCATTTAAGGACATCATTAAACACTTTTTAATTGTGTTTATTGTAATCTACGTATCGAAATTTATTTTAAACAGGAAACATGCCTTGTCTTGTCCACATACCTTTAATTAATTCAAACAAACGAAGTGGCACGGAAACTTAAATAAAGACATTCTGCAAATATTATCCACATATTTATTTGCATTTACAAGTCTTATACCGCCAATTTGACAAAACATTCATATTATACATGTTCTCAATATCGAAATGAAATCAAAATAAGATTGTTTTCACATTCACTATATTTAGTATACAATTAAATCATCCTGGCATTTTTTCGAATAATTGTAAGAAAGTCTGTATGTTATTGATGTATGATAAATGTTTTTGTTTAGACTGACAAGCTGCTCGTCGTGAGTAAATTTCATAAGGATTAAAACAACATTTTAGTATCGTGTTAAAATAAGTAGATATTGTATTAACGACACTTACGTAGACAAATATCTGACAATGAAAGCCTTCTTTAGAATAGCGGCCACAGGTTTCCTTGAAGGCTATCTTATATTATAGAGTGTTAATATAACAAATATAAATGTTAAAATGTACACCATCTTTTTAAGTTTGTTTTTTTGCTGATAAAACATTACATAAATGTCAGTAATGTATATATTACAGTGAATCATACATTCAAAGACCTACTTTAAACCAACGGGTTGCATATGAGCATTTTTAAGGATCCAACTGTATTAACTTGTTAGTGAAGTCATTTACAATAAAGATAAGAATCAATAGAACCCTTGAAAATACTAATTCTCACGAAATATTATGTTATTCATATTTCCTATTTTTTCATTGTTTTTATTTTGGCTTTTTCCTTATAATAATCATATTTATGTTTTAGACTTTTCATATACCCTTAGTTTTTGAGATCAATCAGACAATTATATTTAATCTTTTTTTGAAACGCATTTATTTACTTTACTATACGTATAGTGTCCTTCTGAACAGTGCTTAAGCCGGTGCTAGGGGCGTGAGAAATGTTGCACTTTTACATTATATCTCATGAACAGACTCTATCAAATCGAGTTTGCATTTTTCATATTTAATTTAATAGCAATGGTTGTTTATTTGTTTTTTGCTTCCGAGGGATCTCCTTTTTTTCAAGACTTTTTGTGTACATATAACTCTATGCAATATTTAGTAGCAAAGTAGTCTTATTTTAATCTGTGCACCAGCCATAGTTACACTTTGACTTTGCCTTGCAAGCACCAGCTATGTATTCTTTTTAGTTTTTACTGCTTACTTTTAATTACAAATACAAATACACAAATCAAGGAGGATAACGGTAAAGTAAATCTAGAAATGCCTCTGCGATCAAATCTTTCCATCAAATTTAGTAATATTTTACATTAAAATCCTTGTTTATTTGTTTCTCTATTTCTTTATCTGTTTTGGTTTTTCAACAAAAATAAAATTATTCACTTAAGGACTGATTCACTGAATATTTGAAACTATTTATATATTTTTTCTGAATAGTTTTAATCAAATAATATACCTGTTTTTATTTGTTACTATAGCAACATAAAGGTTATTTAGTGATGGTACGGTTCCGACCTGGGGATATTTCAGAAGTGATAAACGCTATACAGCTAAGTGTCAGTACGCTGTCGTCACATAATGGTTATTGTATAGGATTCTCAGAACCTGGTTTAGTAAGTATCATGTGATAACCTATTCAAATAATGTTAAACTTGAACGGTACAATAAAGCCGTTCGGTTAGCTCAATGTGTAAAGCGTTGGACTGTGAATCCGGCGACCCGGGTTCGATTCCCGGAGAGTGCAAAACATTATGATTGATCTTCACTATCCTTTCTTCGGTCGTTTGCATTGTACCTCTGGTCTAACATAACAGAAGTTATCAGTTCCTTGCCAACGTGAAGAAGGCAATTAGTACTGGTAAACTGCTTGACAGCATGCCCAGGTTGTTGAACTGTGCTTTGGTAAATTCAATGCGGCTTACTGTCGTGATCCGGAGTGAAAACTACCAACACCTACACCACCACAGTAACTTTCAATGTTTCGGTCAGTGCGCGGTTACTTCCCTTGACCAGATTTTAAAACTACTCGATGGAAATATAGTTAGTTTACTGAGGGGATATTTGCAGTAATTGAAATGATCGACCTGAATAATTGTACAATATAAAGAGATGTTTCATATTAAATGATGTAATCATTCTTGAGCAATGATTTTTTTCTTTATAATGCTGTCAGAGTGCCTTGGTATTACAGTAAAAACCCTCTAATTGCGGGGTGGTCTTAATTGTGAGTATTCTTATTGCTTACACACTTTACGACCATGTTCTATTTTAGTCATTTTGTGTGAATAAACAATATGTATCTTAACCTGCAAATATTAAAGTATATTATAATGTTACATCTGATGGGAAGAAAATATATTTCTGAGGAAATTTAATATCAAATTCTATTTCATCTGATTTCAATATTAATTATTATATGATGTACATAATACAACCATCAAATAAGAAATAAATTCATAGCAAAATCAATGTGCTTAAAGCAACATTAAACCACTCTAAAATCTACTTTCTCACCTTATTTCATACAATATCCCAATAATAAAAGGTGTTTTTGACACCTTGTGAAATGAAGTGTCATGCCTAAGAGCATTTAAGCAGAAAATAACAACATAACAACAAATTAAAGATCTAGGTAGGTGTTGACTTTAAATCTGTGGTCTCAATAGTGGGGTCAAATAAAGAACAAAATAGAGAATTGGGACTGAATCTGGTGGTCTTAAAAGTGGATAAGCGAGGTGGTCTTAATTCTGGATCATGTAACCATTGACATAAAGAACAGAAAATTCCGTTCTTATAAAAAATGGTCTTAATAGCGGGGTGGTCTTAATTCCGGGGTGGTCTTAAGGAGGGATTCTACTGTAGTTCCAATGACGTAAAATTGTCTGAAAAATGCACAACTTAAATTAATGTCATTTGAATTCAAACATTTAATTTATTTTTTTGCACAGATGCAGATTGTGATTCCAAGTCATCAAATGATGGCTCAAGATCAGTGGTGGGATCCACGAAATCAGACTTCACAATACGCCGTCTGCTGTTTTTGGTTCCAGGACTACTTTCAGGCGCGTAGTTGGTTTCAGACAGGATCACTCCGGTTTAAACAACCTGACTTTCCCAATTCTAATCCTTATCAAGTAGTCGCTGTACCTCTGACATATGGAAGTGGAAGGGACCCGCGCCCATTTGGTCCTGACAGTAAGTCTTTATGATTTACTGGCGTGCGTATATTCAAATCAGAATAAAAATGTTTACACAAAGCAAGGGATTCATAAATCAGAAATATCATGGTCTTAAATTTGTGGTCGTATTTTAAATACGCAAGCGTTTTATAAATATTGACGATAGAAAAATAGCATTCATTGAGCAAAAGAATTGCGTCGCAACAATTCTAACGAAGAATACTAAGGTTCAGCAAATTGCAAGTTAAGGATACAAATTAATAATCTATTATCTTTAAAGCAATACCTAATAAATTTTTTATTATAGGGGACGAAATAACTCTTTTGTGGTCAGAATATCCGAATATTTATGAAAGATACGAGTACGATTTCCGGGCCAACTATTCAGACCGAGTTAGAGACATTGTGCGAGCTTACGGAGGAAACCCTTACGTTTCACTTTGTGAGTATATTTTATAGAGGGAGGTGTGTACTTTCAGATAAAAAATTTAGAATGTTTTTGTCAATATGTAGTGGTTATTTTTCAATATTTTAATATATTATAAAAAATGTCACAATGTCCATGGATACATGACTGATGCTTGTTTTGTTTGGTTTTACGGCGCACCAACACAATTAAGGTCATATAGCGCCAAAACAGGAAAGATGATTTTGGCTACGCGATAGAAACTTAAAGCAGCATCAAGGGTCAAAACCACCTCACCAGCTGGAGCTAAGAGATGCATAGACTTCAGTAATTCGGGCCCATTTAGTCGCCTCGTACGATCACGCAAGGTTAAATGGTGGCTGCAATTCTGATCTGATGCCTTAACCCTATAAGGCAACCCCTCAGCTACAAGGGGGGGGGGGGGTGTACATGGCTGATGTAATAGAACTTATAATGGGAGTTATATTTTCAGATATATCTTATATTGTTTTCGTCAAACTTCAATATCGAAATGTTTAAAAAAAAATCTCACAATATCCATTGACACATGGCTGATGTAATAGCACTCTCTACTCCTGTCTTTCAATCTATTGTTACATATATAAGGAAACATATAGTGTAATAACATGTAAGAAACTGATGTAATTTATTGTAGGCCGATACAGAGCTGGTGAACCTGTCGATTTAAATAAGTTCGGTTCCCCGGGTTACGCTCGATTTGAGATACCGGAGCGGGACAAGGAAAGGGTAGGACGGTCATGGAAAAACAGCTGGATTAAACCAGACACATTTATCACAGTCAGTACATTCCCGGATTCTGATCGCGTTCGCAGCTTTTACAATGATAGTAAGTATTTTTGTAATATGTATCATTCCAATATCGTAAATAAGTCAAAGGCACTCAGAGTAAATCCAAACTTTCTTAATGAAACTAAAAGTTAATGTAAAGAAGTATCTTTGGTTCACCAAGAGCAGCCTCTTTGTACAACTTCTACATCTAGTTAACAAAACACGTAAAAAATAAGCAGCGGCAAGTAGTTTATTTAGCTGATACTTTTATGGGTACAGAAAGTGGATAGAAGATGTACAAAAACAAGAATAAAGATCTAATTTACTAAAGAAAATCCCAAAATTTATTTTTTCAGGAGAATTCACCGATCTTCGATACAAACTGAGCCAGTACTCGGACCCCGTTGTGGTGGCTATCACACTGCGTAAGGTACAAGGAACCTCGAGGCCATAGTGTACGGATGTACGAAAGGGAACGGACATTGTAATTTATGCAATCAATAACCATTTGCCCAGTGTTAAGTTTTAAATGTTTCAGTGTTTATGAAAGTTAAGTTTGTTCGACTGCACTCGTTTACTGTGTATAACTGAATAGTTCTTAAATTACATTAATTAGCATAGAAATCACGTGAATATGACAATTGAAAATATCGATTGCGCTTCAACCTACAGTCGAACTTATATCACGTTTATTGATAATGTGTCTATCTTATAATTAAATACTTTTTTTTGCAACGTCATATTTAAATCATATCCAAATTTGTGACAGTCTCATTTTGTCACGAAGCTAGATTAAATAAATATCTGAATTTGCAAATGTACATAGATTGCCACTATTAATAGGATCGTATAGAACACGAATTAATATCACTCATAAACGTTTCTCTGATATAAAAAGTGGCAAATTTCTTAATAAAGAAATCATTCATATTCATTAAAACTCAGATCTTTTTCCTCAAAGGTCATATAAGGGCTGCTTTTCTCGAGGAGGAAAATTCATTAAAATCATGCGGTTTCCCCTAAGATTCGACATACATGTATATTAAGTGTTTCCTTCTCCTTTTGCAAAAATACTGTTATTTTCCCCCAAATTTTAAGGGAAGGGCACCTACATCTAACTGTGATACAAAGTCCTGCCATTGCTTGTTTTATATTTTCTTAAGCATACTTTCTACATGATATTTTTTACATTTTTAACGAGAACGTGATCGCTATACAAAGGAATATCTGACTATTACAAAATGGGACAAATGCACAGAGTTATACAATATTTTATCCCATTCTTTCTGACAAAATTAAAGAATATTCCCAATGTTAAAATATTATAAATTCATAGAACATGTTTGTCTTCTTCACTATACATCAAACACTAAACAAAGCATTGTGCTACCCTTCATGCCATCGGTTTGTACAATATAGATCCTGTAGAACTTTATCAAACAATTTCTTATTTATTCAGTTGTGATAATTTTTCATTTTTGTATAATTACATTGCAAATTATATGTTTACCATTGTGATAATATGTTTTAACTGGGAATTATAATTATAAATATATACTGTATCAATAATAAAGTTTTTGTATTTTAACTTCTACACAAGTTTTGTTGTTCATTGAGGAGATCAGTGGTGTAACATTTATGCCTAACCAATCATGTTTCGGGGCTTACATTATTTTGAAGAATGTGATTGGTGCCATACATTAATAGGTTCTTTCTCTTAAATCGGTGCTTTTAAGATAATTATTATGCTATGCTTAAATTTGATATTTGACAATATTAATATTTGATACAGTCTCTTAGTAAATATAGAATAAACATGACTTCACACAAAATAGATATGAAATATTTTAATCTCTACACACTATCGGTGGTCACAATGAATATATAGCGTCATTAAAGAAATGGCAGTTTTTATAAGAAAGGACAAACTTTACTTGACCCATCATATTAAATAGGGAATGCAGCTTCCCATACATAGTTTTTAACATTTTTTTAATTCAAATTAAACATATTTCTGTGAGAATTTCATATATTTCAGTAGATTTCTGTGATAAAAATATTTTACTCAAAGATAAGCATAGTATATATTTAAACAAATCAATACTTTTAAATTTAATAATTATAGTCCTTTTTAATTAAATAATTATTGTCCTTGTAAATACAAGCGCCAACCGATTCATTTAAAACATGACATGTGGTGAGCTTCTTTAATAACTATTTCCATAACTGTGTGCCACTAATAGTGGGAAACACTATCGCTTTCAAAAAGTAAAATATTGGAAATCAAACCTAGTTATGTTGGCTGAAACGTTTTAAACCTTATAATATTTTTTTTTACTGTCAAGTTATTTTTAGAAGGTAATAAAATAATGAATTAAGATGCGACATAACCTACAGGTTTGGTTATATAGTGAAATGATAAAATGTTTATCGATCAACATTTCTATAAATAGAAGCAATCACATCACAGTGTAACATATTTTGTAAGTTAAAATACTTACATTCTTTCCTAAATTATTAACAAGAGCGATCAGTGATCACATGTGTCGCCTCATGATGGCCAATTTCATGTGGGACAAGTTTTGTGACAGACGGACAGACAGTGCACAACTAGATTTGGTACTGATCATTCCTGTAAAGTTTGGATAAAATTGCACCAGTAGTTTATGAGTAGTACGGACAAGCTTTTGTGTATCTGGCAACACACAGAAAAAAAACACCTTTTTATCAAAGGGCCATAACTCAGCCACAAATCATTCAACCGGAAAACCCGTGCAATATGCGCAAGGACTTGAGCTACAGATCAATCCTGTAAAGTTTCATTGAAATTGCATGAGTGGTACAAGAGAATTAGTCCGGACAAACTTTAAAAATAAAAATTATTAAAGGGCCATAACTCTGACAAAAATCATTGAACCGGAAAATGCTGACAATAGCACAACTAAACTTGGTACTGATCATTCCTGTAAAGTTTGGATGAAATTGCACCAGTAGTTTATGAGGAGTAGTCAGGACAACTTTTGTGACGGACGGACAGACGGAAGTTCTAACAGGAGAGTAATTATGTGGCTACTCTATTATTCTCTCTATTGTTCTTTTTAGCCACACAAAAGAAAATAGCCACATAAAAGCATTACGGAATGAATGACATCAAAGAGAAAGAACAGTTACCTATTGTCCCTCTAGCCACATAATTACTCTCCTGTGAGTGCGGACGGACGACGGAGAAGTGATCCCTATATGTCGCCACTACTCCGTAGAGGCGACACAAAAATAACACCAAACATATTCTAAAAGTTTAACTTTATTATTGTAGAACAATATAAATATGAAAATAAATACATAAAAAGTAGAAAAAATTATAGATATATAAATTTACGAAAATTAAAAAAATTACAGCAAAAACTTAGAAATCACAGGTTTTAGAAAAAAGACTTACATAGAGTCTCACTTATCATTCAATTATAAGATTTTTTTCCCATTTTCATAATTTCAAACCAGATTTTCTTTGTTAGAACAATAAATGAATACCACTTAAGTAGATTAATCAAAATATATAAATTTACTACATACATTGTACATTTTACAAAAAAAAATGGGAACCTTACATACTGCCCAACACAGCAAAATGGAAAATGTTGAAGGCTTGGTTTTTACTGAGTATACTGGTTGACAGCAGTGAAAATTACCATCCATAACCCTCTAGCACCAGTTAAAGCAGAATTTGTTGGCACCAACACAGTATAGATCATATTGATGACTTTCCGGCTTTACTGATAGAGGAAGACCTCAGGTGCCCCTCAGTACATTATTTCAGTCACAAACGTGCACCTGAGAAGAGCCACCAGCGTTCCGTAAGCTAGCTGGATAGCTTTCCAACATTATTTAAACCCAATTTATTTCAGCCCTACAGATAAGAAAGCTTATAAATTATTATTAAAATCATTGAGTAATTTGATGATTTTCATGCAGTACATTGCACCATGGTTGTGCAAACCTTATATATTGTGGTAGTTATGTGAAGCACATTTGTAAATTCAAATGTTTCTTAAAGATTGTCATGGGTTAAATTGTGGAACAGTAATGGGCATCACAATGTCACAAGCTTATGATAAAAACGTTATCATAATATAGAATTCTAAAAAATAAGCAGCAAAATTGGATAAAAAGAGGTAAAATTAAATATAAATATAGACAACAATAAAGACAAACCATAATGATTTTGAGCAAAGAAAAAAATGTTTGCTCCTTTCATAGTTGTAGCAACACTTTAAAAATAACATTGGTATCACAATATAAAAAGTAGCATCTCTTAATCATATAATATTCAAATTAAGAGGATAATATTTGACCTATTTCATTTTTACTCCAAAGTGTAAATTGGATATATTCATAGATATGGGGAACCCAAAAAATGTCAAAAGACGACCTTAAAGATACATATTTCACACAATTTTGATAATGTAAATAAAATAGGTTCATCCTTTTTCAAATAGTTTACATATTAACACCTAAATTCACATATCAACCAGAAAATGTTAACAAATACATGAAATAGACATAAGTTACAAAATAAATCAAACCAGACTTATGTTTACATGACAAAATGGGGCGAATATCAAAATTCAACACAACTAACGGTTCAACAGGGTTATAATAAGTGTATGTTGATCTGCCATCTACATTCTGGTTAGGACAGGATCATACCTAAGTGACTGGTAGGTGATAAGCTTCCAATGTGGCCTGCTTTAAAATAGTTCAAGAAAGCCAAATATGGATTTAATTCACTACAGTGTTGGAGCAGTACCTATAGACCCTTGCAAAAATCATGATTACAAAGTAGAAAAATATTTATTTTTTTGGCAATTCTTAAATTTTTCATTCATCTTCCTATATAAATCAGTGTGAAAATATTCATTTCTCTACGTGAAAAGGCGAGATTTTAGCATCTAATAATTCAAGTGCCTTGTCCGGTATATACCGGAATACAGTATTTAGTGTGTGCTCCAACACTTTTTTTAGTCTCACTCGCCAAATAAACTTGCTTTCATTATGTATTTTAGATTCTGCTGGGTCTTATAGTTGAATAAATTACAAGCAATGTTTGCAGTTTAATACATGTATACATAAGTACAGGTATATAATTAGACTTTATAATACTAATATCACATGGTAAATGGATTGTACAAGAACAACACCAGGGTATAACAAATATGTAAAAGTGAAATATGTGAATAAGTTGTATAAATATATGAGTATGTAATACAATGTATGCAATGGCCTGCCATTATAAAAATATAAACATGTAAATGTTGAGATAAAAGACAAAGTAACAATTGTAATGTCATATTTTACATTGTAAGAATTAGAAAACAATATGATGCTTAAATGGTCACATAATCTAAACCTTAACAAACCCTTTAATTTGACTTTTCCATACATTATCCTTATCCCTATATCTTGTATAATATGTTTTTGTTTATCTTGGTATAAGTCATTCCAATGTACCTTAATTGAAAACAGATTTTCAAATATTTCTAATAAAATGGGTCATGTGTGCACATCATCATTAAACCTAGTAACCTTCACTAGGGTATGTTTTAATCTGCTTCCTTGTACATAAAATTCATATTCAAATTTTTTAAATAAGAGAAATACTTTATCCAAACTCTATTTAAATATGACCATAAGACTATGAAAACAAGATGACTTAACAGTTGTTATCTAAATATGTTTAGTACACTACTTGTGGAAAAATACACATAATTTTAGTAGAATTGTTTTAACATTAACAAAAATAAAATCTAATTTTAGATTCGCATTCCAAAAGTTTGATTCTTTCATTGCTTTATCTCAATTTGTATCATTTCAACAAATCTGCTTTTAACTCATATAGGGTACAATATAAATGTCATCACCTTAGTGCAGTAACAGGTCAAGTCCTTTAATAGGAGTTAACCAGTTATTTTCATAGTTCATTGATTCACTTTTCAACAAAATAAGAACTAATACAATATTCTAATAAATATACATGTACTTAATGCAAAAATTAATAGATTCCAACAAAAAATTCTTTGAATATCATCGCTACTACCACACTGCAAAGTTTTCAGGTGAAGGTTTAGGCCGTGTAACTTGGAGTTCCTCCGTTACCGGGGGCGACTGCTGATTGGCTAGGTATGCTGTTAGATCAATACTGAGATCCTTCAGTCGATTCAGATGCTCTATCTTCTGCTCATCTTCTTGTTTCTTTATATCTGATAGGAAAAAAATATTGGGAATAATTCATTATTCATGCAGTAAACTTTTGCTATTCCTCTTTGCAAATGAAATTGATAGCTCTACTTTGTGACAAAATCTTCACTTTTAACTCAGTGAGACCCGTGATTTTTCACCTTATATAACAGATATCTATAAAAAGCCTCATCCAAATGAAACTTGCTTTAAAAATCATGCAGTTTTACACCAAAGTCTGAGCTTACACCAGCTTTTTTAATTCCAAAATTAGCAATTTTAGCCATAACTCTTAATTTTTTTAAATGTAATTTTTTGTTTTTACAGTTCATTATGTAAGCATAGATAAATCAAAACAACAACTTTCCCTTTCGTGTCAAATTTTATCCATACCACTCACCTAGAAGATATACTGCAAAATTATTATTATTCGCAGGGCACTAATTTTGGTTGTTTTCGTGAACAGGTCAATCTACGAATTTAAGATCCAACAAAATTTCATTTTGCCTACTATAAGATTATTTTGCATCACATCATTTACATTTTACCTTTTAGAAAAATATACAAACTTTGAAAAAATTTAAGAACCCACAAAAATGTTTTAAGGAACAAAACCACACAATTTTATGTCCACAAAATATAGTGAATTCACAGTAAATCCACCATTCAGCAGAATATCATTTTCTTACCTAGTCTAGCTTTTGTCATAAGTTCTCTTATATCAAGTTTCTGTTCATGTTCCAAGTGTTGTAAGGCAAGTTTGTGTGTTTGAACCATGTCATCTTTCTTCTGATTATGTAACTGTTTACTCTTTTCCATCTCTTGTTCTGAAAATTACAGAGATATTAGTAATAGATAGAGGTGCAATAATACCCATATATTGCGATGCAACGTCAGGGCAATATGTACTGCGGTACTGAAACCTCGCATTACAATATTTCCTTTTATATTTGTCTCCGTTTGATCAAAATATATTTTTTACATATTTTGACTTTTTCAAGACTTACATTGTAAACGTGTAAAATCTTTATAAATTGCTGCTGCATATCAATTTATCTAGACTATCAATTAATCTAGACTTGACAATACTGACAAAGTTTTTTTCATTTTTATCGTATAAATGCATCTATTTTTGATGATAAAAAAGCTAAGCTAATAATTACTTAACAGATTGGTATAATGTACGTACTGAGTTTAACCCTCTCCTGTTCTTTATTCATCTTCAGGTCAGCTAGTAGTTGTTTTTGCCCCTCTATCTCTGTGTTCAGACGAAGCTGGGTTCGAGACTCAATCGCACTGTTTTGCATCATCTGCCAATTAACAAAGACATAAGCATAGAAAATTAACTTCTGCTTTATTTTTTCTTTCTTTTTTTTTACCAAAAAGCGTATTTTTATTTCTGCTATACTCTATATTCAAATTCTTCGACTTAAGGTAGACCATGGGTAATGCATTACCTCCACTTTGAGGGTAGGGTAACATTTTTATACATATTAAGAACATTTTGTTTAGTGTAATTTGTTACCTGAATGTTATTATTTGTTTCTTAACAATGGGCAATAGAAAAACATTTTTTATAATGATGATATTATTTAGTTTCCTCATTTCTGAAAATAAGCCCTTCTAACGACAAAGTCTTAGTTTAGAAATATATCATTAACTCATAAACCACACGGTAAATTTGATTTAAATTTTGCATACAGGTAACCTTGAAGACATATAACTGTCCTATGTTGTCAATTTTACAGTTCCTTATGGTGCCCATTACCCATGGTCTACCTTAAAGAGTCCAAAATTCAAACATTCAATCAGTTGTTTTTTTTAAAAGAATATACTGTATTTTTGTTTTATCATAATTATAAGCATTAGTGAAACTTAAAATAAAATGAACTTCATTTAAAAAACCTATTCAAATAAGCACTATTTCCCTTAAGTTATAAAAATATAACACGTGTGTAGATCCATATTCTTTGTATTTTGTATTGTATATTGCTGAACTCATGCTGCAATATATTAATTGAAAGATTCTGTTTCTATTTATTCCCACTTTAACATCACATTCTGTTTAGCACATAGTTAAATGGACGTTGGATCATTTGTTAGTTTATTAATGAAGAAGACAAAATGTGAAAAGCTAAGAAAAAGTGTTTGTTTTACTGGGACTGATTATTGAAAAATAGGTCAATCATTGAATTTGACATCATTTATTACTGTACTTCAACAACGAACTTGTCCAGCTTCCAAGTTAGAACAGCTTATCAGTAGTTTCAGATATTTCAATAACAAATACTGAATTTGAACATCCATCAGACTGCACAAACAAACATGCATGCTAGCCATCCTCTATATTAGTGGCATAAACTTGTCATTTTAACTGTTATCTGTCTAAGCTATAAATGAGCCCTGTCACGACAAAACCAACATAATGGGTTTGCGACCAGCATGGATCCAGACCAGCCTGCACATCCACGCAGTCCGATCAGGATCCATGCTGTTCGCTTACAAATCCTATAACAAGTAGAGAAACTGATAGCGAACAGCATGGATCATGGATCAAATATCTTACTATTACCTGTAGTTGATCGCTGGAATGGTACCCTCTAAAGACTATTTTCTGTAACTGGTACCCTATCTTTTCTGCCCTCTGTTCTAACTGAGTATATGATGTTAAATCACTGAGTTTGTGTGACTCTTTCAAAAACTGCTCAAAGCTAAAACAAAGTCACAAAGAAGGAGACGTTTAAATGATTACAACAAAAACATTACAATACTATCATAGACTAAAGCTAATGAGCATATTATCACTATATAAGCTATACATTTCCTTTATCTATAAAATCTGGAGTATAAATTAAGATCTCGATAAGACATGTCTTTCATTCTCATCCTTTTCCATTATGTAAAAAAAAATCTTGTTTGTTGTTTACTTGTATGTACATTACATATAATTCTGGAAATAACTATGCTTAAATCAAATTGTGGAAACCAGTCAAATATTACATGAATATGAAACTGATTTACAATTTGTTTTCACTAGCTTACTACAGAAAACAAACACTCTCTGTAAGTAATTATATGTACTAACCTTAACTTGCCAGTAAATGCTATCACATCTGTACATGTACTAACCTTAACTTGCCAGTAAATGCTATCACATCTGCACATGTACTTACCTTAACTTGCCAGTAAATGCTATCACATCTGCACATGTACTAACCTTAACTTGCCAGTAAATGCTATCACATCTGCACATGTACTTACCTTAACTTGCCAGTAAATGCTATCACATCTGTACATGTACTAACCTTAACTTGCCAGTAAATGCTATCACATCTGTACATGCACTTACCTTAACTTGCCAGTAAATGCTATCACATCTGTACATGTACTAACCTTAACTTGCCAGTAAATGCTATCACATCTGTACATGTACTAACCTTAACTTGCCAGTAAATGCTATCACATCTGCACACATTCCACTGTAAATATGAGAAAATATATGTTTAATTAAATGATCCAGTATTTTAATGTTCAAATTTTGTTTATCTCATATATAACACATATAACAAATTAGTTATATTCAAACAATAATCTAGATTTTATTGCACTAGCCTTAGGATTCTTTCGATCATCAAATAATATAACATTACACATTGTATATTTAATCATAAAATCAACTATATCTTCTCAACAGATTTTGAAATAAAAAAAAATCACTAAAGTGCTTTATAAGTACCTATAATTTGATTGCAGAATAACATATAGGATATCTGTCATTTCAGGCACTTAGAGTATGGTCCCCCTTTTTTTTTAGTGCCATTAGCACTGCTAAAGTTATAGGGAGCCTTTATAGCTTTACTGATAAAGGAATATCTCATAATTGTCTTTCTAAGCAATATTTAATATACAAGCTGGCACCAGGGTAGAACCATCTGTCTTCTACATAATTAGTGTCGACTACATAAGAAAGAGTTCAACTTCTATGATGAGATTTAAATTCAACATAAATAAAGACAATAATGGTATCAAAATCTTTTAATAAGTGAATTGTTAATTTATATTTAACATGGACAGACAAGCAATGTAATAATAACAAATCATTCTTACTTGATCATATCAGCTATTGGGTCGTGTGTTGTGTCAAGCTGCAATATTATTGATAAAATACATCATTAATTGATATATATGAGATAACTTATAAATTTTACAAAAATATTTGAATTCTTATTTTTATGTCATTTGAAATCGCGAATTTCAGTCGCTGTTTTCATTATAACATATTTAATGTAATAAAAAATATCAATTCTAATAATGTAAATAATAATTATACAAAATTCAAATAATGAAATATGTAAAAAAAAAAAAATGTATGTTCATCATGTTCTATCACAAAATCTACAGGTAGACTGCTGAAGATACTTCAACATTTAAAAACCCGTAACACAATTTTTTTATGGTTTTATATCATAAATAAAATGCTTAAATGAACATTTATCAATATTGTAGTTCCAAAAAGCATTATTTGTCAAGATATTACCGAATTTACATTTCATGTTAATAAAGGAAGGTAATTAGAAATTTATTTACTAAAAACTCTAAGTCATTTTTTTTAATAAGAAATGAATGCATTTATTTTAATGATTACATATAATGTGGACAAATATTTGCAGTACATATTTTACATATTCTTCGATGTTTGAAAATTGTTTTAGGAGCTTAATTATATACATATATAAAATTTCACTTAAGCCCGTGGTAACAATCTTAATTACAACATACCGGATCTTTAACTCATTGAATTTAAATCTTAATTTACCTGTTATGCAATCATTGATCTCAATTAACCTTTAACCTTTTAAGCTATTTCTGAAATTCTTTAATTATTAATTATAATATAAAAGTAGACATACCATTTTGAGAACATCTTTGAGCTCATAAAACAGCATTAACTTCACTGTGATCATAGTATCATCATTTGTTCTTACATCTCGTACCTGAATACAAATATAACATAAACAATATGTTAATTAAACTTTAATTACATACCAGTCTAACATAACACTGACATTGTAAACCTATAACCTGCGGAATTTCTTAAATGAACTTGTTTATCTTCAAGTTTTTGAACAGTCCATGATAGTTTTGTGGGTATCAAGACGAAAACTTGAAGTTGGTCTTCTATCACTATAGAGTCTGAACATAGATGTGCAGACTGGCCTTGTTCTATACTGGTTGTGAAGGCTAATTGCTTTCAATTCCAGCAGGTTACATGCTAAAAATCCATTTAATGCTTGGTGCTTAAAACAGATTTACAATAACATTTTCAATAATGGCAGATTTTCTATATACATCCACTGCTGTTTTGATATAAAAAAAACCATATATGTATTATATTTTAAAGACTTTTAATGCATTAACATGTATTTAAAAGCTATTCTGTAATAAGAAAAATTTGCTATCTCTTTCAAAATTGTATTGTACTTGAAGTAGGGCTGTAAATGTTCTAAAATTCTAGTTTGAAGATAAGTAGGTGACAAGAATACATTTTCTATTCTTTATGACTACATACACAACTGAATGCTGTTCAATATATTTGAAATAAAAGTTTAGTCAAAACATTGAAATTCAAAAATGTACATGTAGTTTTCAGATAAAATATTCTATCTAAGTAATGTGTTGCAGTCTGTCATTGGACAACTTGATGATTAGGAGGTTAATGTTAATTATACATGTGTAGTTTTCTCTAAATATGACTTTATCTGACTAAAACTTTTCAAAAGATCTAAGCATTATGATACAGAATAGAAATATCACTTAAATACAAGACATCAAGCTTTTTTTAATGCAATGATAATTCAAATACAGACTTAATTATTTCTGACATCTTACATTGTAATAGAACTGTTCTGGGATAACAGCAAGTTGATGGAATTTATCTTTGCCAGGAATCATCCTCGTTTTGTTATCTGGGTCAGTACCATGCCATTTAAACTCATGTAACCTGAAATAATAGTAACTTATGTATAACTTTCTTGTAGAAAAATGATACAATGTCAAAAATAGTTAATTACAGAAACAAATTAAAATACTTCTATTTAAGGTATTAGGACCCTAATGGGCACTATCAGGAACTAAAAAATTGACATCATAAGTCAGATGTATACCTTAAAGTACGCCTGTATGCAAAATTTAAACATAGTTTACCGTACGGAAATCAAGTTATGGCCACTTTTCTAAACTCAAGCTAGGATGTTATGAGGGCCCTTTTTTAGAAAGTAGGAACCTTTAAATAATCTGCAATAACATTCTAATGAAAAATGTTTTCCCATTAATTTTTGGTAAGAAACAAATAGTACCATTCAGCTAATAATCCAAATAAGCAAAATTATGGTTTCTACTTAAAATTTATGAAATCTGTTTAAAAATGTTACCCTACCCCACCCATTTTTACCACGTGTCTGACCATTTTTCTACTTAGGGAGCCTAATTTAAAAAATTCTTAAAATTTACCCAAATGAGTGCCTGTTTTCAAAGTTTCCCTAAATTTTTAAAAAAAGTATATTGGTTGATCTTGTAAAATATGAAACACTTTTACCGTCTAGTTTTGATTATATTACACTTTGAAAATATCAGGTACCATATTAATTACTAGATTTAGCATAATTTAGCCAATAAATACCTATATAAATTAACAAGAACTGTCGGAGGACAGTAATGCTCGACTATTCGAAAATTTGTCACAAGGGTGTTTCATTGAGTATAATAATGCTTACCTATATGAATACATAAAATTGTCCGAAAAGGTACAAACCCTTCAAGTTTCAATACATTCCCTTCAGTAGTTATGGAGATAACAGCTTACACGCAAAAACTTAACCAAGAATTTCTAAGTCGAAAAAGGGGCATTACTTATTTATAATGTAAAAAAGCAAATTAGAGTTATGGGACTTGTGCCAATCATCTAAGATAATCACAGAAAACAAGTGTGTGAAGTTTCAATCCATTCCCTTCAGTAGTTATGGAGATACCTGAGCTTACACGCAAAAACTTAACCAAGAATTTCTAAGTCGAAAAAGGGGCATTATTATGTAAAATAGCAAATCAGAGTTATGGGACTTGTGCCAATCATCTTAGATAATCACAGAGAACAAGTGTGTGAAGTTTCAATCCATTCCCTTCAGTAGTTATGGAGATACCAGCTTACATACAAAAACTTAACCAAGAATTTTTAAGTCAAAAAAGGGGCATAATTATGTAAAAAAGCAAATCAGATTTCTGGGACTTGTACCAATCATCTTAGATAATCACAGAGAACAAGTGTGTGAAGTTTCAATCCATTCCCATCAGTAGTTATGGAGATACCAGCTTACACGCAAAAACTTAACCAAGAATTTCTAAGTCGAAAAAGGGGCATAATTATGTAAAAAAGCAAATCAGAGTTATAGGACTTGTACCAATCATCTTAGATAATCACAGAGAACAAGTGTGTGAAGTTTCAATCCATTCCCTTCAGTAGTTTTGGAGATACCAGCTTACATACAAAAACTTAACCAAGAATTTCTAAGTCGAAAAAGGGGCATAATTATGTAAAAAAGCAAATCAGAGTTATGGGACTTGTGCCAATCATCTTAGATAATCACAGAGAACAAGTGTGTGAAGTTTCAATCCATTCCCTTCAGTAGTTATGGAGATACCAGCTTACATACAAAAACTTAACCAAGAATTTTTAAGTCAAAAAAGGGGCATAATTATGTAAAAAAGCAAATCAGAGTTCTGGGACTTGTACCAATCATCTTAGATAATCACAGAGAACAAGTGTGTGAAGTTTCAATCCATTCCCATCAGTAGTTATGGAGATACCAGCTTACACGCAAAAACTTAACCAAGAATTTCTAAGTCGAAAAAGGGGCATAATTATGTAAAAAAAGCAAATCAGAGTTATAGGACTTGTACCAATCATCTTAGATAATCACAGAGAACAAGTGTGTGAAGTTTCAATCCATTCCCTTCAGTAGTTTTGGAGATACCAGCTTACATACAAAAACTTAACCAAGAATTTCTAAGTCGAAAAAGGGGCATAATTATGTAAAAAAGCAAATCAGAGTTATGGGACTTGTGCCAATCATCTTAGATAATCACAGAGAACAAGTGTGTGAAGTTTCAATCCATTCCCTTCAGTAGTTATGGAGATACCAGCTTACATACAAAAACTTAACCAAGAATTTCTAAGTCGAAAAAGGGGCATAATTATGTAAAAAAGCAAATCAGAGTTATGGGACTTGTACCAATCATCTTAGATAATCACAGAGAACAAGTGTGTGAAGTTTCAATCCATTCCCTTCAGTAGTTATGGAGATACCAGCTTACATACAAAAACTTAACCACAGGGACGCCAACGCCGACACCGACCAAATGGGTGACTGCATTAGCTCGATTATTCTGCGAATAGTCGAGCTAAAAAATGAAAATTAAACACTTTTTTCTTTCCAAATGGGACATGAGAGATACATAAATAATGTTAAAAGAAACAAGAGGGCCATGATGGCCCTGAGGTCGCTCACCTGTATATAGGCCCCCCAACTCCCACCCCCCCCCAACGTTGCAGGGCCAATTTTGACCCCAGGGCTTTTACTTGAACAAACTTGGAAGACACTTATTAGAACATGTTTCATGCTAAATATCTTAGCTTTAACTCTTTTGGTTCTATAAAAGAAGATTTTTTAAGTTTTTACTGAAAATCAATGACCCCCTGGGGTGGGCCAATTTTGACCCCAGGGCTTTTATTTGAACAAACTTGGTAGACACCTATTAGAACATGTTTGATGCTATATATCTTAGCTCTAGCTCTTTGAGTTCTTTAATAGAAGATTTTTTAAGTTTTTACTATATGCATATAGGGAAAATCAATGACCCCCCGGGGCGGGGCCAATTTTGACCTCAGGGCTTTTATTTGAACAAACTTGGTAGACACCCATTGGAACATGTTTCATGCTAAATATCTTAGCTGTAGCTCTTTTGGTTCTTTAAAAGAAGATTTTTTAAGTTTTTACTATATGTATATAGGGAAAATCAATGACCCCCCGGGCGGGTCCAATTTTGACCCCAGGGCTTTTATTTGAACAAACTTGGTAGACACTCACTAGAAGATGTTTCATGCCAAATATCTAAGCTCTAGCTCTTACGGTTTTTTAAAAGAAGATATTTAAAGTTTTTTCTTTCGGTTGCCATGGCAACCAGAGTTCTGCATGGAATTAAATTCTTTGAACAATTTTTAAAGGTGACCACCAAAAGAACATTCCTGTGAAGTTTGGATGAAATTGGCTTAGTGGTTTATGAGGAGATGTCATTTAAAGTAAAAGTTTACGGACGGACGCCGGACGAAAAGCGATCACAAAAGCTCACCCTGTCACTTTGTGACAGGTGAGCTAAAAAAGAAAGAAAAAAAAAGTTGACCCTTCTGGGGATTGAACCCATGGCCCTCATTTTCAATGTAGTTAACAGTAGTTCTAGCCTATTTGAATACTCTTCAAAGCGGAGGTAATGCATTAGGGTGCTAATACCTTAACTGAAGTTTTAACCAATACAGAAAATGCAAAAGATCATGAACTAAAATTTATAAATCCCAAAGATAACAATGTATAATTTTTATAGAAATATTGTAATTTAATAAAGGCAAGACATTAATTTACCAAAGTTCTATTTAATGAAAAGCTCTTATAATCAATTTTTACTGTCAGATAATATAAATATGTTATAAAATTATCATTTTAGTTACACTATAAATCATATGTTACAATAATAAAATGTGAGTGAGTACATACCATTCTTCTGCCTCTGGTACAAACACCGTCGGACCTTGTATAATTCTTCGTTGTACCGTGCTGTCCTTTAACCTCTTATATACAACAATCATATGGTTAGCATCTAGCTTCAGTGCGTCCATCACATTTATATTCTCATGCAACATTGGGTTGAAAAATATCTCACACGGCCTGTAATAAAATACATTAATACACTTGTTACTATAAATACACTGCAGTAACAAATTACTATAAAAACATGAAATAGTAACAAATTTTACCACGATTTCAAATGACTATGAGCTATGTAAAGTGTCATTTAAATTAATTAAATATCTGGCAATATACAATGTAGAAACAAGTTGATATGCTTTCTTTACAGTGATGATTTAAATGCGAGTACTTTATATATAACCATGCGGCTGGATTACTTTGCCCGACACAGGTTTACTTTATTTACATGTATTGTCCTTCAATCTTTTTATTGCTTTTTGCTCTAGTGAATTTAAAGTGGCTGTGATCAGGAGGATGAAGTTCCACCACCACTTTATTGCTTTGTTTCTGTGAGTCTGAACCAGTATTTTAATTTAATTAACTGTCCATATATACAGAAGAAAAAATATACTTTGAAATAAATGTCAAATACCAAATTACATGTTCAGTTCACTAACCCAGGTTTGTGAGTAACAATTCCATTGTTATCCCTGATTTTCAAATACTCATGTTGTGTTGCTGTGTGTCTTTTCAACTTCTGTAACCTCTCCCTGAACAAAAACACCTGTAAAATATTACAACACCTATAATTTGATATCATATCAAACAATTATTGCTGAAAAATAATTATTAATCCTAAGGAGAATCAGTTACCTTACATGTAAATCATTGAATAATTATTTGGAATAAACTTTAATATAATTCTAATTAAAATTTGTTTATTTTCAATTTTTTGTATATTTTTTTTCACCATTGGGCTAATATAGTATATTTTTTCAGTTAATACGGTAATGTCAAATGTATTTCATGCTTCAGCTTAGATTCTTAAAACCATTAACAGAATATTTTCATACATAATTATGCATTATGCAGTCATAGCAAGATTTAGAAGAAGCACTTGTCAAACAACTTTTAAAGCAAATTATGGAACTTAACCAGAACTTCGGGAATTAATTAGTGTTATTTACAACTAAATAAATTTAAGAGTAAAACAAAAACGCAAATCTTTTTCTAACTTTCAATGATGTACATGTACAATGTAGTTATGATAATGAATATCAAAATTAGACGAGAGCATATATTTTGTTACCTGGCTGTGCAGGCATTGGTGAATTTTTTGAAGGGTCACCCACCCAGCCAGGTGAGTGACCCTTCATATTTAATCACCCACCATAAAATGTACTCATCCTGCATTTTGGCAGACAAAATTTGTAAAAATCAACATGCCTCTCTAATTTACTATTTACAGGTCTATATCAGTAAAATTGGCTTTATTCCTTTAATATTTAAAATAATGTTTATAATCCTTCCCCCTTTTTTTTTTTTATATAAAATCTTCAACATAACCTAAATACTAATTTCATTTAAATTTTAACGCACATGCCCACTCAGCTAAAATACTGATAGCTAGCATAAAACATTACTGAATGCGCATGTCTCAAACATTGTCAAATGCTGCTGTCGTTACGGTTACGAAATCAATTCATCATACGCGTTTGACTAGCAATGGTTTATCTCTCTTAATTGGGAAGATGCATTAGCCTCTTCATTTTGGGAAAAGTTATTGCTAAAAATGCTGATTTCGGGAGTAAAAAGCTGGTTTAAGTTCAGATTTTTAGGAAAACTGCATGATTTTAAAGAGAATTTAAATTGGGAAGAGGCCTTTTTTCGGAGTCTGTTATATCAGTAGGACTAGGAAAATCACTGACTAGTCATAAGATCAATTTCCAGCTTTTTTGACATAGCGTTGACCTGCAGTTTGAATTTTTTACCGGAAAACTTCATTTACATTAAAAGTTTAGCGAAACATCATTTGGATCTGATGAATCTTACTAGCCATGTCGGGCAAGTGGATTTGTCATGGCCTGCTATGTGCCTTGCACAGGTCTGAGTTCTTGACAATTGACAGGTACATCAGGCTCAGCCATAACATACTTTATTCTTTTTATAGACAATTGATACTTCATTTACTCTAAAAATCATACACATTATTACCCTGTGATGCTTTGTGTATGCTAAAATTTATGAGAAATGATAATCAATGTTTATAATGATTACTGTAGTAGTTATATATACCCGTGCAGGTCCAACCACAAGTCTACCTTCCCCAAGATGGTTGAATATCACTGCTTGTTCACCTTCTAAAACTGTCTTGAATTTCATTTTTCTATCTTTACCAATTTAAACAACAAATTGGTATAGTGCAATATCAATAACTTGATATTTTTATCCGAAATAGCGTATCCGAATATTCTTTTACTAATAACTTTGTTGACATTACAGACAGGAGCATTCGATTTTGATTTACATGTCACTCACGTATTGAACACATAATTATTTACGTGTTTATTTCATATGGGTACTTTATTTTATTTCAAAAGTCTTCTAATTACTAATTTCTAAATTTATCAAGCAGGAAGTCACGAAACGGTGTTGCGTAAAAATTGTTATGTATATCTTTGTACACTTTACGTTTAAGGCCACGCATTAGGCTACTAAATACATCCACAGGCACGATTATCGGACCTGGGAAGAAAACATGACCACGTTGTTAATAAAACCTCTGTGTTCATCTTAAATGTGTCAAAAAAATCGAAATATGAGCCCCCTTAAAAATATACACATATAAGATGAACACAGAGATTTTTTTTATCAAAGTGGTCATATTTTCTTCGCACGTACCTGTGAATACATCTACAGCAGTAAGTAAGACGAGAAATACCGTTGCTTAATTTTTTAATTGGTTACTTACCAAAGACAGTTATGCTTCAAGAAAACCGGGGTTTCAAACATTTCAATCATAGATTTTTAGCTCACCTGAGCTTGCTCAGGGAGAGCTTTTAGGATCGGTGAATGTCCGTCGTCCGTCCGTCCGTCGTCCGTCGTACGTCCACAATTGCTTGTGAACACTCTAGCGGTCACATTTTTGCCTCAATCATCATCAAACTTGGTCAGGATGCTTATCTAGTTGAAAGCTCGGATGAGTTCGAACATATGGCGCATCTCGGATTAAAAACTAGGTCACAAGAGCTAAAAATAGAAAAACCTTGTGAACACTCTAGAGGTCACATTTTTGACCCAATCATCATCAAACTTGGTCAGGATGTTTGTCTAGGTGATAGCTCGGATGAGTTCGAACATGGGTCATCTCGGATGAAAAAGTAGGTCACCGGAGCTAAAAATAGAAAAACCTTGTGAACACTCTAGTGGTCACATTTTTGAACCAATCTTCATCAAACTTGGTCAGATTGCTTGTCTAGTCAATTGCTTGGATGAGTTCGAACATGGGTCATCTCTGATGAAAAACTAGGTGGAGAGGTGCGCGCGCAGCCGGAACAGTCGTAAAATTTCGTGCTCCATTTTCCAAAAGGAAAATAATTAATTTCTTCGTAATTACAGTGTTTTGAAAGTGGTAAACTTGTGTAAATGGTCACTATGAATTATTCTAGGCATACCACCCCTGTCATTATGGTTTTCTAAAGGCACAAGTAGCTGGTAACCGCCCTCAGTCACCAACCAGGAGTCCTTGCAGAGTTGTCTCCCCTAATCCAAGATGGCGGCCCCCATCAACAAGAAACCCGTATTTCTACAGTTTCTACTGGCCTGCACAGTTATTGGTTGTATCCTACTATCATATGGAAATGAAAAGAACCCCTCCATATTGACTTCCATCATATTTAACTGCACTCATCCGAGAGGTTTCACCTATGCTAGTAAATTTAATATTTATACAAACAAGGCTGTGAATCAATGTGAATCGAAAGCCAAACCATGTATCTTTTTGCTGCTCATTCTACTGTCTGGTGACATCCAAATGAACCCAGGGCCTAGGAATGCATCTATTTTCCCCTGTGGAACATGTGAAGCCCCTGTTACTTGGTCTACCGACGGAGTATGCTGCCAGTAATTGTAGTATTTGGTACCATAAAAGCTGTGAAGACATCTCTCTAAAAACATGTCCTACTTGAACAGACCCAGTGTTGTATGGCACTGCTGTAGATGTGATAGCATAAACGTCGATGGTTTCACATTCAACAGTTATGAACTAACTACATCCAACTTTTTCACACCAATTGCAAACCTTGATTCAACTCTAGACTCAGTTACATCCTCGTGCTTCAGTCCGATACACACCAGCAGCCCACGTAACTCATCAATTAACAGCAGCCGGCACAACAAACATCCATCGGTAAGCCAAGCTTCCCAAACCCATGGCCCAGAACATTACTCTGCAAAGTCTGCAAACCTACGTCTTCTTACAGTTAACTGCTGTGGCCTGCGTACAAACAGAGCAGAGTTCCACTCAGCCACAGAATACATCAAACCAGATTTTATATGCGGTACTGAGTCCTGGCTCAAAGGTGTCCAACCTGGGAAAGACCCTGGAAAGAATGCGATTAAATCAAGCGAAGTCTTTCCGGAGAACCTGATGGTAAACAGAAACGACCGGGCAAACAGTGTGGGAGGGGGTGTATTCATAGCTACAACCAACAGCATCTCCTCAGACCCACAGCCACAGCTAGTTACAGACTGCGAAATTGTATGGTCCAAGATAAAGATGACAAACCATAATAACTTATATATATGCTCATTCTACATGCCACACCGAAACATGAAATACATCTCTGAACTATATAACTCAGTTAACAAGCTACGTGAATCAGTTAAGGATAGCCATGTGATAATTGCTGGCGACTTCAATTGCCCAAACATCAACTGGAACAACATGACAGTGGACAAGGGTGCCCCGGAACGGGATGTACAACAGGCATTAATAGATCTAGCCGTGGAATTTGGCCTTACCCAAGTACACGAACAGCCCACACGAGACAACAACCTCCTAGATCTCATACTTACAAGCAACCCATCAAGTCCTCCACATCTGTTCCAGGCATCAGCGACCATGCCATGATTGTTACAGATATTGACATCTTACCTCATTACATCAAACAGAAACCACGTAAATTCTTTCAATATAATTAAAGCAAATTGGGACACGTTGAAACAAAGACTTTACTAAGCTAGAAAGGAGATCATCTCAAGCAATGAAATGACATAGAAAATATATGGTTACTCTTCAAATTAAGGATTCTCAAAAGTGTAGAAGAAAATGTTCCATCTAAGATGAGCAAGAAAAGAAAGTCTCTACCATGGTTCAATCATAAACTTAAACGTATGGTCAAAAGAAAATCCCGCTTATACAATAATGCTAAGAAGACTGGAAACTGGACTCACTTTAAAACCTTTCAACGTGAATGTAAAAAAGAATTCAAGAAGGCTGAAATCGGACACATAAACAGTACTATCATCAAAGGATTAGAAGAAAAAAATAGTAAACCTTTCTGGCGGCTAATTACAGTTGAGTTCACACTAAACTTCCCACCCTTGTGCACTACTAGTGCACTAGAGCTGAACTAGAAGTGCACACCGTGTGCACTTCTAGTGCACTAGACCATATGACCAGGCTGGCCAGGGAAGGTGACACCTAAGTGGTTTATTGGATAATTGTATATCAATTGATAGGGGGCATCTATTGTTAAGCTGCTGTAAGAAAAAAAAACTTTGGGAATATATGGCCCATTCATGAATATAAATAAGTAAATATTAACATTTTAGGTGATATCATGTTAAATCTTAAAATTAAAAAAAAATATTTATTGTAATTATATTTTTATTAACCAATATTTAACTGTAAGTGTAAAATAATACGGCTTAAAATCAAATTTATAGAATTAATAAGGTAAACTTTAAATATGCTCCGTAATGGATAATTGCGTAAAAGTGTTTTTTAAAGAATATTTATCAGCTGATTATAAGTATGACCAATTGTATTTCATTTTTTTCTAGTGCACAAATGGGAGAATCAATGTGATAATTCTGACCCAAGTTCATAAGCTCAAACAAATCAATGAAAGGTTTATATTTAAGCTAAAATATTATTTCTATAATATATAACTAAGAGACAATTCCTCATGTTCAATATTGAAAGAGAATTTTTATACAATGAACATTGATTTTAAAACAATTAATATACTGTGATAATTTAGTATTCAACTGTGTGATGCTTGCATATGTTTTAAAGATATAAATAATTAAAATATTATCCATAAAATAAATAAATTTGATAACTTTATTCATGATTTCAATATTAAAAATTTAATGTATAAAGGGAACACTTTTATTGAAGAGGAAAATCTCAAGTCATGCTGTGTATTGGTATTTTACTAAGATGGATTGTTTTCATTATACCACTCTCTTGCTGATAAGAGGGCCTCAGGGTAAATAACAAAGAACAGTCAATTTTGCGGATTATAAGTATGCATTGAAATTCCCTGGTTTTCTCAAAATGCATGTTAGACATAAGCCTGGGATTCATCAGGTGTTGGCACTCAGGCTAGTTAGTCCTATAGATAAATTACCATAATTTTTGTATAATCAAATATACAAAAAAAATCATAATGGCATAAATGCATATTAGATATTATAATTTGTCTCTAAAGCGGAATTTTCTATATTTATCCATTTATCCACATTTCTTGTCACTCTGCATTATAATGTATAACTTAAGAGGCAATTCCTCATGTTCAAGTTTGAAAGAGAATATTAATTCATTGATTTTAAAACAATCCACATACTGTGATATTATGTTTTCAACCATGAAATGCTTGCAGACTTTTTAAAGATATGAATTTTTTTTTCTCCATGAAATCATGGAGCTAAATATAAGTTTATATATCTGTGCTTAATATAAATATAATTGATAACTTTATTTAAGATTTCTATATCAAAAATTTAATGTATAAAGGGAATGCTTTTATACAAGAGGACAGTCTCAAGTCATGCTGTATATTGGTATTTTTCTGAGAGTGGCTGTTTTCATTATACTGGTCTCCTGCTGATAAGAGGGCCTCGGGGTAAATAACAGAAATGCAGATGTATGCAATATTTATTTAAAATTTCCTGTTTTTTTTCCCAAAATACATGTAAGACATCTAAGATAAATGACTATAATTAATTATTTTTGTATAATCAAATGTAAAATAATAATGACATAAACGCATGTTAGATATTATTGTCATTATTGTCTTTGAAGTGGAATTTTCTAATCTTATCATAAAAAAACTGGTTTAAAATCAATATCAGTGTTAACTATTCTGGAAAGACCTTATATTAATATTTATCCATATTTCTTGCAATTCTGCATTAAAATCATATTTTTGTTTCTGAACTGCGAAATGTTAATTTTTTCTATTATAGATTTGACAAATTTACCTTGTCAGTTTTAACACATTTAGAAGATGATATATTTTAAAGACAATATTTAAATACATGATTATAAATCTTTTGCAACTTCCTTTTCACTTTAATGCAGATCTGTTTTTTTTTTTTTTTTAAATAAAATAACATACATGAGCAGAAAACAGTTACAGAAGATTGAAGTGT